GGTTCCATTCTCATCAAGTTCCTCCACTTCTACTTTCATTCGTATTGATCTGCTCAGGGTTGTGACATCATGGCGTTTCCTAGTTTTACTGTGGTTACTAGTGTCATCCTAGGAGCCATTTCTCGATAGACAAGTTCAATTGGATCACATTGGGCTGTGTATATAGCAGAGAACCCCACAACATTTTACCTTGCAACCTTTTACAGGGCCTTTGTAACCATAGATAGACGGACGGAAATTAAATGAGGCAGTTGTATAGTCTCCTTAAGAACCCGGACAGGACTAACCAGTACGATGTGATCGGAATCAATGAACGTGATTGGCCACCTACCAGTAACTGAAAGGTTCAATCCAAATATAGAGTGATCCCAATGATTATCATTGCTTTGAAACTGGTAAGAACAACCAACATAAAGACCACGACCACAATAATCCCCTCAAAGCAATAATGGCACATAGAGCAAACCAATGAACTTTCTGTTGCACAAATGCTGAGGTGGCACAATAGTTATCGAAGATCCTGAATTTTGAGCTAAACCAATCAGGAATTTTACTCCTGGTAGACATAAAACTAGTTGAAGGTGTTTTTTTCAAATACCTGAAATATAAATGAAAATTCATGATTTCTGAGAACTAGAGAGAGATAGAGAAAGAGCAAAACGGTACCTTTTCATGACAAAGTCTTAACGATGTAGTTGCCATATGTTGAATTCGTTGTTGTGAATCACCAAAACATTGTGTGCATGCTTTTGATTCAGTTGCAGGCAGTTTGTAAATATGAACTCGATTCTAGCATATGCAAATTGGCAACAGCGCTCATATACTATTTCCAGTTCGTCTCCATTTAATTCTTCTAGGTGTGATGGAAGCTCTGGGAATGATTGGAGCTTCTTGCAATTCCTTGCATCTAAAGTAGTGACAACCGGAAGCTCTGGCAATGATTTAATCATTTACAATTGCTTATCCAAAGACGCTTTAGCTGAGAAAGTTGTTTGATGCTTCTAGGTAAGCTCTCAAAATTGTTCCCTTGTAGATTTAATATTCCAGAGAGGACATACAACAAAGATCTTCAGGGATTTCAGCTAGATAGCAATAAGACAGATTTAAGTGTGTTAAGGAACCTAAAACTGAAAACGAGGGCAATACCAAACTTCTACATGAGAAACAATCTAGAACTTGAAGTTCTTTACAACAGCAAAGAGGATGGTAATTCACTAATAGCAGTTCTTCTTGCATGGAGGGTCCTCAAAAATTTTAAATTCCCCAAGTTATCTGGCAATCTATCGACTTTGAGCAACCAGAAAGATACATGAGCATAGAGATGTCAAGCTACAAATACACTTGGAATGGTCTCAAGATTTTTGAGATCCACCAATGTCAACTCATGAAGCCCATTTAAATGTTCAATAGAAGATGGCAGCTCTTTAATTTAGTTGCTCTAGCTACAGAAAGATATTGTAAATTTTTTATTTTCTCTAAGATTTCTGGGAAACTCCTAAGCTTTGAGCAATTCCAAAGTTTAAGCCTACCAAGAGATTTCATTTCACAAATGCTAGTAGGAATTTCTTCTATTCTGGTCCCAGATAAATCTAATTGTTTTATACTGCCTGAAATCTTTGGAAGATTCTATTTTTGCAATATCTGAGATTCACAACCTCAAGCACTGGGCATGTGAGAGGTCTGGGATCCTAGTCAAGTATCTGGACTCATGAAGATCAATCAATTTCAACATGGAAGCAGGCTGTAAAAAAATTAAATGATTAAAATAAATTAGTATAAGTGAACCACATAGTTTACACATGAAATAACACATATATAATAATAAATAATGCCTTAGTCCTTTCCACAGTTGTTCCACCTTGCTATAAGGCAATTTAAGTTCAACAAGGTTCTCTATATCAAATTTTGACGGCAATGTTTTGAAAGGGTATCCCTCCCAATGGAGATACCCAACTCATTTGAGATATTTCAGACCCTGAGGAAGACGCACTTTAGAAAAATCCTCAAACTAGAGATGTACTTTAGACATTTTACAAACACTTTGTAAAATTTAGGAGTATAAAACTTCAGTAGTCTAAGATTAGACATACTTGCCAAGGCTCCAGAACTTAACCATAGGTCTATTATTTTTGACATATCTAAGATATGCCTTCAATTGAATCAGTGCCCTGATAATCAAAAATGTGGAGAAATATTTCTTCTATATTCATAATGAAATGTACAATGAATTTATAGCAAAAACAAAAAACAATCTAGGGAGTAAATTGTTACATTCCTATTATAATTCTATTTCCTATTCCTATTATAATTCTATTTCCTATATTACAAAAGAGATAATTCTATTTCCTATTTTATATTTCAACACTCCCCTCAAGCTGGAGCATATAAGTCAATGCACCAACCTTGTTACAAATAAAGTCAACACGAGAACCTTTGAGAGACTTAGTGAGGATGTCTGCTAACTGGTCGTTGGAATTGACATAACTAGTTGCAATCACCCTGATAGAACTTTCTCTCGAACAAAAGAAAAAACCCCTTGTAGTGACTGAGAGGCTGATTTTGAGTAATCCATGAGAAGGTTAGGTGTCTTGAAGCTGACAGAAAAGCAAAAACTTACGTGCACCGGAAAAAACAGAAACTCGCCGGAAAACAAGCGGCGCGTGAGGGCGCGTGCAGCGGCGGCCGGCGACGAAATCACTGGGTTATGACGACGATGGGAAGACGATCAGTCTGGTGTGATTAGACCAGATTCTGACGTTGCCGGAGAACAGTCGCCGGAAAAAAAAATTCCGAGAAAGAGAGAAGAAAAAAATTTGAAATTTCAGACACTTGGCTCTGATACCATGTGGAGAAATATTTTTCTATTCATAATGAAATGTACAATGAATTTATAGCAAAAACAAAAAACTAATCTAGGAAGTAAATGTTACATTCCTATTATAATTCTATTTCTATTCCTATTAAATTCTATTTCCTATATTACAAAGAATAATTCTATTTCTATTTTATATTTCAACAAAAAACAACAAAGCATAAGTGAATATAAATGCATAAAAGCTTCATAAATCTACAAAGGTAAAGATAAAATTGTATGGATTGATTGTTGTTATTAGACATTTAAATAAGAAATAAAATGAAATTCATAGGCTCTTGACCTTATTTTTTTTCAATGTGTTGTAGAACATGGCAAGCTCCTTGGGAGATTCTTGGAAAACAATTTCCCAACCCATTTCTTGCAATAAATCATGCATTGCAACTTGTTATTTGATATTGTGATGAGAGATTTCTAATGAGATTATCCAATCCAAAATTAAGAGATTAATAACGATCTAGCATTATTGAGCTACATTATCTTTATCCTCTCCTTTAAAGAAACATGATATCAAGAAATATCTCTTTCTCATCTCTGTAACTGTTTAGTCTGTATAACTAGCTTTAACATATCATGAACTTTGGGATCACAAACCATTTCAAGTTATACAATGCGCTTTCCCATTCACGTTTGCTCTTTTGAAAGAGGAGGAACCAACACTTTAGAGCTAATGGATTGTCTTTGCATAATTATAACACTACTGAGAGCTCCACAAGATCTTTAGGGACGACTTTGTTTAAAGGCATAATTACAAAACACACAGACCTTCATTGTGGTTGAATTCCTCAACCTCATATATGGTACGGTATGCACTCCACAGCTACAAAGCACTTGTTTATCCCAAGTAGTTATAATAATTCTACTTCACGAACGAATTGGTCAAGCCCTCAGTTAAGAGTTTAAATTGTTCAAAATATTTAAAACATCAAGAACAATGAAAACTTTTCTGCGTCGAAGTCTATCCTGGATAGTTGAGGAATTATGGGAGTACCTATTTTGAGATTTTCTTCTTCTAATATTTGAGAAAGAACTTGGTCTTTAGATGAATTAATCCACATTTTTCTGATTCTTCTCTAACATTATAAAAAAGTAGCAACCTTCAAATTCACAAGAAATTTGGTTTAAAACCCATTCCCCAAATTCCTATAATTCGGAATTTTGAAAACTCAAATACTCATGCATAACAATGACTTGATTGCTTAATGCGTGACTCTAGTCCAACAAAGCCTTTAGAATCACTTGAGATAGATATATTTTTCAATTTCTTCAAAATATCTTTGACAATTTCGTCTACAAGTGTTGCCTCAGGATCAAATGTGAAGATAAATAGTACTGAGTTGGAATGTACCATGATAGCATAATATATAAAGCAATTTGTATTTTCTTTTCCAGTAGAGGACTAGAATTGTGAATACCCCTTAATTTGTCCACATAAATAAAAGAATTTTGACAAGATTATGTCCTATAGTACTGAAGAAATTAATTTATCAAAAGGCTATCTGGGATATCTTTATGACTCTAATAACAAAGGCAAGCTTAATAAATAATCATTCAATAAAAAATACACTACAATATAATCTTTATCCAGTCATTTCTTAAAAATGCATTTAAATAAGATGTCTTATAGAACTCAAATGGGAGTTAAACAGTTTAAGTAATACCAGAAATTTCAATAAACTCATTCTGTGTATTATAACATCCAAACAAGTTAGAGAGGTCACTAGTATTGAATATAAAGCTTGATACAACAAGTTCACAACAAAGGACATACGAATTAAATAAGAAAAAAAAAAAAAAAAAAAAAAAAAATTTATGTAATCACAGTTCTCACAGCATCAATCAAATAGAAGATTTAAAAAAAATAATAATAATAAATGAATGGCGTCTAAAGTTTAATTTTCATTTACATTTACTCTGTTAGAAGTTTAAAGGTTCTCATATAGCATTGCTAGTTAGAAAATTATAAAGACTTTAGAGAAGAGTTGAATTACTTGGTTACAGAGGAACCCATCCAGATAAATTGGCCGCTTCTGTCAAAGCATTCCTCCAGTTCTGAACCTTGTTTCCCATCATTTTGAACCGTTCTTCATGCTTCACAAACGCCTCCCCGAAAGTTCCTGTTTGCTTCTGAATGTCCGACGGATTTACATGGAAGCATACTGGTATAACCATTTGGTTATTCAATTTCTTACATTCAAGAATTTGTACAAGTTCATCCAAGCACCATCGGGAAGACGCATAGTCTTTTGAAAAAATGACTACTGAAATCTTGGATGATTCAATTGCTATCAAAAGCAAAGGTGAAATTTCATCTCCTCTTGAAGTCCACTGTCATCAATAAAGGTTTCAATCTGTTTTCGCTGCAAAGCGGCATAGAGATGACTAGTAAAGATATCACGAGTATCCTCACCTCTGAAACTAAGGAAAACATCAAATTTGGCTTGAAGGGTAAAGGAATTACAAGATAACAATGATAATGAAGAAGCCATAAATGGAAAATACAAGATTTCATGATGCGAAATCAGTGAACAGACCAAAGAGATTCTCAATTTTAAGAAGTAAAATTCACCATAAGGAAATGTTGCTCCCTTCCACGCGACTTCTTATGACTTTCTTGGACCTTTCTATTACAACAAAATGTAAGAGAGCAAAAGTCAACGAGACAGGAATGTTGATGCTGAGGGAGAAAACGCGGTCAGAGGAATAAATATTGATTAAAGAGAAGACCAAGAAGACCTGTTACTCTTCTGGATAGTTTCTAAGTAGTAGATAACAAGTTTGTTGGATATCAATGGTAGAGAGACGAGGCCAAGGTGTTTGACAAAATGTTTAAAAGAGGGATACATTTTTGTTATTCAATATGATTCATGACCGTTTATTGGTGGTAATGGTATAATTGAAAAATTGCTTTAAACACCTAGCAGGGTCATTGATGTCCGGGTCAATTTGTGCACACCTCGACTAATCCTTTGAACCTTGAAATTAACGATTAGGTATACCTTCAAGTGACGACCCCTATAAACAATCGAGAGGAATTGGACTTAAAATCTCTTGAGTAAACCCCCCCAAAAAAGTAGGTTCCCCCAAACACTTTTTTTTTTTTTTTTTAGTTTACAAGCTCAAAAAAGTTACAAACAAACAGATTAACTTGATTTTAGAACTTATAAGCTGATTTGCTCAAACAAACCCCCTCTTAATAAGATAGATATACTTTATAACAAAATCTTTCAAGATCCCATTAGTGAGTTCTGCCAAATGTATAAAAATGAACAAACATAACCGAATACCTCTACAACAAACACAAACAATAGGATATTCATGAGCACTTCTGGCCCTCTTTATTTGTAAAATTCAGAGCCGTATCAGTGTTCTTCTCATTGGTTCAATAACCCTTCTAAAAGTCTTTGGAAAACATGATACATCCATTGGTTTGTTCTCCTGCAACCGATGGACAATTGTTTTGTTTGGATGTGGATTCAACAAATAACCACTTAAATAACTGAAAATAGTCATTACTAAAAACGCAGAAAACAGGGGAGAAAATAGAGCAGCTCATTTGTATCTCTTACAAATGCTCATTCACTCATTCAGATCAGGTAATTACGTTGGAGAAATGTTTTATAATCATTCTTAAAAACAAAAAATACACATCCCCCACATCATGTTAAATTTTCGTTCACCAGAGTTAATTTGTTACTCTCAAGTTTCACAACATTGTACTTCAGCAGTTTTAGCATATTTGGAAATTGGTAACAGCAACAAGAAAATTATTGAACTACCCAAGTTAAAGCATAGGTCAAGCATTCAATATAATCAAAAAGCTTTTTAATCAGTAAACCAAACTTAACTAAACATTTTGGCCACACAACTTCTCTTGTAAAATCTATAGAAACTAAAATAAGCAGCAGAAATTTGGAAGGGAACTAACTTCAGGAAGAGCCGCCTAGGCCATCTATTAGGCCACAGGGAATTTATTTCTTTGGACAAGCCTTCTGGGATAGCTTAATTAGTTGTGTGATCAAACACATCCATCCAGAATAACATTTAATTATAAGACTAAAATTAGTAAGAATTGATTACAAAACAAACTAATTTCGAATCATTTCATGATAAATTTTCTATAAACCCAAATCATTATTATGCTCAATCAATGCCCATGAAAATCTATAAAAGTAGTTCTTTGAATTCTTTATATTTATCCAGTGATACCTGATTCATATGCTTCAAAAGGATTAATCCAACTTCTCTATCAGCTCCAATTTGTGTCAAACCTAGCAGCAGCAAAAGCATCCACCTCCTTGATAAAGATAACTGCAGGGGCATTTCCTTTAGCAGGATGGAATCTAACACCAGCCATCCAATTGGCCTGATGTATACAAAACGAAAGATATCATAAATTATAACTCCCTAAAAGTATAAATGATATGGAACTTCCAAAATTAAGGAGAATACTCCTTTCCACTAACGATACAAGCTTTGCAGTTATCCAGCAAGCACACAGGATTTGTAGAATGTTAAGGATGACCTATCAAATATAGCACAAGTTTCATCCAATGTAGTGAAAGACATAAGAAGTTGTGAATTTGCCTGCATACTTACGAACAAATCCTGAGCCAACCACTCTAATGAATGATGCAGTAGTAAGATTAGAAATAGCTTTGGCAAGTGTGGGTTTTTCGATTCTCAGGAAGGGAAAACTAGAATGTTGTTGTTGGAGAAATATCCTTGCTCTAATCATCATATGCTATCACTAATAGTTTAAGCCTCAGTTGGGAAGAAAAAGGCTCAATAGTGTTTTTATTTATAAATAACAAATAACAAGAATAAGAAAACATTGGAATAGGTGTTGCATCTTCAAATGATTTGATAGAATAAATTCAATAATTTTACACTTCTCCGAGTGCCAAGGACTTAAATTATTTAATTGAAAAAATTTCCCACCTCGACATCACAATTAATAAACTGATGAGTATTCTAAAACGAATGATGTGCATTACATAGCAGCTTCAATGTAAAAATTCAATAGTATAGCATTACATAGTAAATTCAGAATAGATAAACAGTATAATAACTTATTACTCTAGCTGGGGGCTTAACCTCCTAAAACAAGGTGTAATGATGTGCATTTACTTCAACAAAAACATGCATATTTGAAGAAATTAATTAGAACAAAGAATGAGCTCAATTCCCCCAAGCATCATGCATAGGTCAGTTGAATCAAGAAATGTGTGTCACAAACACTTTAAAAAATTAAAAGGAGTGTATCAAAACGAGTAAAGATCTATCATATCAAACCAACCAGTAATTTAGTATTAGGCAGGGAAAACATACAGAATACAGCAACAAATTATGAAAGCAGTAATTTCCCCATGAACCATAGAACTCAGGCAATGTATCAAATATAAACATAATCAACCCAATACCAGCCTCAGAATTAAGCATTTAAGAAAAACTTCAAATTTTGATACTAAGCTAATCACAATGCATATTACCTGAAGCTGAAAAGTTCCATCAGTATAACTAGTACTCAGTTTGAAATGCAGGAACACAACAAAAGCATTATAGTGCTTTACACAAAAGCTTGTTGTGTTGCATGAAATGGAAATGTTGTTGATTAAATAAGTAAATAGAAAACACTATTTGATGAAAGTGAAGGTAAAATTTCAAACAATATAAGCTTCTAAGATGTATTACTTGTTCTCATAGCAATCAACGTATCATAATATGCGACTTAAATAAACCTTATCATAGAAGGTCTCTAGTTTTAATATTTCTTAATGGAAAAAAGAATAACCTGAGAGCTGAACTATGTTTCTGCAATTATAGACACAGGCAATACCTTATACGCAACATTCGAAGACAAAAAAATAGCATACTGATAGTACTCATTGAGAACAATTTCTAAATACTATAAGCTTTTAGTGACAATAATTTCTAAACAATCATTATTTCTTCATCAGATCTACAACTTAAACTTCTACTTGTGACATCATGATCAAAATAGACATCATGACATTCCTAATTTTAGTGTCCTCTCCCCAAAAACTTGATTGATTGCACAAATTCTCAGTACAAATGTTACACATCATACATAATAACTTAATACAAAGTAAAACTAGGCTTAATATTATTCTAGCTCTAGAAAATCAATATATGAGAAACTTAAATCTATTAACTGTAGAACAATAGGGACTTTAATCGATAAGGTAAGAAAATATTAATCCTATATAGAAACCTAAGAAATTTAAAAGTTAAAATACTAACATAAAATAAGAGTCTAATAGACATTATGTCAATTGAATTAAACTGATCACTCATCCTAAAATTAGCACTCATTTTTGTGCAGATATTTACTTGTAGCATACCACATCTTAATTGTATTAAATCAAGCCACAAAAAAAAAAAAAAAAATGCTGAATATTAAGTGTGTAAAAAATAACTCCATTGACGAGAGAATAAAATTATTTAAGGTCATTTGTTTTTCTTCTGAATATAAAATAAACATATATAGTCATCAACTTCGTTTTCTTCTATTTTCTTTATGAATGCAAATAATTAGCCACCACTTATAGGAGGGATAATGGCCAATTCATCTTTATCTTTAACAATAATTGAGTAATTTGCATATTCCTCGTTTAAAGCAAGAACCATGCAGCCATGGATCTCTTCCAAGCTTGGAAACTTTGCAACAAGCTTGTTCAAGCAATCTTCAGTTGTACTACCATATGATGCTTCCAGTGGTAAATCACTTAAACCGGTTAAATCTTGAGCTCTGGCAAAGAACAATACCTTTATTTGAACCGATGATATGTTGTTCTCTATAGATATACAATCTGAATTCCAAGACTTGGTTTCTCTTTCTGTAGCATCCATAGTAGATACAGAAATGTGTCAATTAAAATGGAACTACTCACTGCAACAATGTCAAATTCTAAGCCGTGATAAAAATCAATATCAAGAAGCAACATAATTGCCAAGAGTTACATCAGAGAGAACAAGAATCTAAGTTCTCTGAAAAAATAGTCCAGATAAAAATAATTTGTAAACGAAAGTAAACAAATCAATCCAACATTGTCCTACAACTCACAAGTAGAAGGCATTCAGAGATTCATCGAAGTCAAGTTTATAACCTATTCTTACAGTGGTTGATTTTTAAATTGCCAAACAAAGCCCAACTAAAAAATGTTTCAAATCCTAGAAGATAAAATCACTGTAACATGCCTGCTAGTAGAACTTATTCCCCTTGATAAACTAGAATCTAAGTAGGTAATCTCACCCTAAAGACGTAACAAGAAAGATTGGTACTAGCACTGTAATCATTATCTGTGATGAGAGAGTGGATTTTAGGCTATGCCTTTCCCAGCAAACAGAGCAAATATGTAAATTTGAGCATAAGTTCCCGGTGGCAGAGCCACCTTATGCTTCAGATAAAAGATTACATGATGTCAATTAAAACATATAACCCTACTTATTTCATTTCCTAAGTTTTGGCACCTCCATTTACTTCATTTTACATCATTCCAAATTGACCCCATCTCAAACACTTACAGTCCTTATATCAAATAATGTATACCTTTTCCATCATGTTGAGGTGAATGAAACCTGCATAAATTCAAAGTTAAACTCAGAATGTTACTACTGATATATGTATGAAACTATCAAGAAACAAGTTGAAGACCACTCTGTTAATGTGTATCACTGTATTGTATACAGAGGTTTAGCTTGAGCACATACTTCAGGAAACAAAAAGAACCCAACATTCTATTCAAGAAACCATTCAGGACGGCAATATAATCTCCCCTAACATCAACAATATGCTTTTGCCCTTTTGCAACACAACTCAAATTTCAGAAATTAACTGAGTGAAATCTTTTTTTAACTGCAATTCAAAATAAGAAAGTAGTGAAACATCAGCTAAAAATAGCCACAATTTTTCCGAATAATCATAGGGAGTTTGGGAAGTGCCTCTGGAAAATGTTGTCAAATAGTTAAAAGCTAAAAGCTGTAAGCTCTACTGTAGTGTCTAGCTGAAACCAATAAAAATGCTTTTAAAAAAGTGCTTTTGGGAGAAGCACTAGATAATTCTCTATTTATCTTGTGGCAACAAACAGCTCTTAAAGAGTAAAGTGAGTATTTAAAAAAAACACTTAATAAACATTTTCAGAAAGGTACACTTAAGTGCTTTTATGAAAAGCACTTCTACTAAGAAAACACTTCCTTCAAAATCACTTTTAAACCCAGCTCCACAAAATTAACACAAGCCACTTTTGAACATTTAAAAGCACTTCTGGCAGTTCCCAAAGCACTCTCAAGTCCAACACACACTATCATGTTGGCTCTCAATTAGCACAACCAGCATTCAAAAACAACAAAACCTTAAATATTTCAGCTCCCACAAAAAGGAAAAAAAAAGTCCTTGCTCTAGATATCACATATGTCACTCATAAGTCATACCCAGAAAAAAAAAATTAAAACAGAAAAATAATAATTATTCATGAATCAGTAAATTGAATAGTTACGAGCAATGAATCAGGATTATATTAATATACAGAAGTATAGAACCAAATTTAAACCAAAACCCAGCAAACAAATTCAAAGAATAAAAAGCTATTGTAAAGGAGAGTTACCGGGAACCTGAAGAGAAGGTCGTGGGGGAGACGGTGGAGCATGGAGAGAAGAGGAAGACGAAAATGAAGCGACAAAATTGAAATAAGAATGACTTGTGGATTTATTTTCAGAATTAAATATTATTATGTTCTTTTAGACATGTGAAAGGCTATGCCGCTATGGTGGGATGGGATGAGCTAAATAACCATGTAATATATATTTTATATTTTATTTAAATATTGTTATATGGGTGCGTTTGGGTTATTATTTCTATCAATGTCAGATTATTGGGGTAATGTCATCTGATATTACTTGATTACCACATTTGATTATCAAGTAATATAAGATTTCGGTAATCTTCAAATATCAATAGCAGTTACTATTGGTAATATTGGAGGTAATCTGATTACCTCTATTTTCTTAAGTATTCTGAGATTACCAGGGTTATCCTTTTTTGTTACAATTTTATCCCTTATTAATAAAAATTTTGGACAATAATGCCCTCATCTTAAAATAACTTTACATTAATATCCTATTTCAATTTTACCCTTGCTTAACTAAAATTTTGGACAATAATGTTTTTGTATTTAAAACAATTTACAGACCACTACCACTCAGCCACCACTACCACTGCCACTCAGCCACCACCACCACTGCCACCCAGGCACCACCGCCTACAGTGGCCAACCACCACGGACCGCCTCGAAAAACTCGTCGGAGTCCCTAAAAAAGAATGAGTTTCGGTGGGAGGCTCTGGGAGTCATCGATAAGGACGTTTTCGGCCATATTGATGGCCGAAAACCGCCAGATCTGGCCGAAAATGGCCAGATCTATTCTGGCCATTTCCGGCCAAATCTGGGTGAGATCTGGCCGTTAACGGCCACGTCCGTGGCCGTTAACGGCCAGATCTCGCCCAAATCTAGCCGCTAATGGCCACCGATCTGGTCGGAAATGGCTAGAATAGATCTGGCCATTTTCGACCAGATCTGGCCTGATATGGTCGTTTTCGGCCATCAATATGGCCGAAAACGGCCATATCAAAGCCTCTTAGTCACGGTGAGTTGCTGATGGGGACTTTCGGAGACTTCTGGCGGTGGTCTGCGGTGGCAGCAGGCGACGGCAGGAGGTGGGGGTGATTTCGTAATAAATTAAAGTTTTCTATAAGTAGGGGTGTTTTAACTAAATCTGAAATATTGGGGGTTAAAAGAAATTATTCAAAAATTAATAATAAAAACAATATTATATTAATATTTGTAAAGGGGACAATTTGGTAATTTAAATAACATACCCACCAATTTATTCCTCATAACCAACCATATTAATATAACATACCCACCAACTAACCAAACATATTTTCTTAAAGATTCCTAGTAATCTTTCAAGGTAATCTATCTTTCCAGTAATCCAATATTCCCAATAATCCAACATTCTCAGTAATCTAACATTCCTGAACCAAACGCCCCCTCAGTATTTGGGATACAATTTTTGAAATAGTGTTTGTTTTATTCCTTAAAAATTTGTATTCAATAAATACTAGAGTAAACGACATATTCCTACCCAAGGTTTGATGAAATCCCAGGTTGGTACCCCAAGCTCCATTTATTCCAGATTCTCACCCTTAAAATAATACTGTTAACATTTTTTAGGGTAGTGAGGGTGTAATTACCATAATGCCCTTAACCCTAAATTAATAAATTATGTTTTAACCCCTAAATTAATAAAATTATAAAATTAACCATCTTATTTTAAAATTACTTCAATTACACCCTCAATGACTGCGTACCATCTCGGTTTTCACCAGATCTGGGCTATTTCCGATGGCGGCGAAACCTCTGGTCACCTCCATCACCTTCCCCATCGTCCGTCATCCAAAAGCCCTCTGGTTCCCGACTCATTGGGCCCTCCAATTGCCGGTGCCGTCAAGCTTAGGTTTTCGTCGTTCTTCGTTGGATCCCGGTCGATTCCGGCCGACGAAAATCTAATTTGACGTCACCACTGCAACCAACGTCTCCTAATCTACAAAACCCCTATGTCCCAGCAATCGTTTAATGGCCATTCGCCTGTGGAGACCAACGAAAACCAGTCGCATGTGACAGCTGTCTTGGCTGGCTATCGGCGGGCGATGAGGGATTCTCAAGGGTAAGGTTTTGTAGAGGGGAGGATGAGGGTTCGAATGGTGGTGACAAGGGTGATTTTGGGTGGAAGAATCGCCGGAAAAGGGTGAAAAACATCGGCCGCGATGTTGCGAACGTGCGCCGGATCTTTGTTAGGGGCAGCGATATGCTAATGTGCGCCTCCTTTGTGAAATGACCAATTTACCCTTGAGCCGTTATATCTAACTATTTTCTGTTACTTTAAGGGTTTGAATCTAGAATAAATGGAACTTAGGGTACCAACTTAAGATTTCGTCAAACCTTAGGTGGGAATATATCGTTTACTCTAAACACTACTCTTACCATATTTGACCGCTATGTTGGTGGGGTCTATATCTGCAATTTTTTTTTTTTTTTTTACTTCTTTCTTCCTTTATTCCTTCTTCTTCCTCTTTATTTCTTTGGTCTCTCTCCCTTAACCACTGTGACAAGTCTCTCCTCCACCTACCATCTACCCTTCTTTCTTCTTTATTTCTTTCGTCTTCTTTATTTCTTCAGTCCCTCTTCTTCCAAACACCAACCACCGTTGCAACTTCTCTTCCACCTGCATTCAACCTCTGGCGAAGCTCAATCAGGCCGATCTGAACTATTTTGGCGCACAGCTCCCTGCTTCTTTCACAAATAGACAACATGACGACTGTACATGATAACATAACGACTGAACTGTGGGTAGCACATATAACTAGGTCATAGTTGTTAATAGAGTATATGTGTACAAACAATTCTAAGGGTTAATAATTAGTAGCTTTGTCATATATGTATTAATGTGGTGTTTTTAAACAGTTGGATTAGTACTTGAAATTAATATGAGTTTTTTTTTTAATATTTAATAGTTACGAAATTACCAATCAAATGTTTAATATTATTAAAATATAAATTGATAAGTTTTGAGGCTATAATAATAAATTATTTTAGCAAAATGCACCAAAATATTATATCAATAAATCATTTATAAAAAATATATCAAATAAATATTCAACAATTTATTCAACACAAATAACAAGGTCAAAATACTCTATCAAACACTCTATTATTCAAATCATATTCTTGTAATAATAACCCAACCAAAATTCCTAATACTATTTCAAAAATCCTATCCAAAATAATAAAACAAATGTACCAAACTTCTTTGGTACTCTCTCCCCTTAGTTATAAGAAGGTCATGTTTGCATGTTTGCATACTCTTACGTTTTCTCCTCAAAGTAGGATGACACTACATCTTTTTAACTATTAGAGGTTGCTAGCTGTTTTAATTTTATCATTTTTTTTCATAGGAACACCAGCCTATCACGTCATTGTACAATTGGAACTCAAGTACATAGAAGCAAAGTATCATCAGGTTTAGATATGCTTTTGTTGAGTTTTATTATTCTGATTCCTCGAAATTTGAACGCCAGTATGTTCTGGTATTCTAGTAACAGGTTTTTGATGCAGCTAAAGATGGAAAGGCCTGGTGGAATGAGAAATTCAGATTCTAATCCATGTTACTGGGCATGCTTTATTTTAAGTTTGGTTAATCAGTGATGCATATGTACTTAAATCTAATCACAAACGGTGAAATTACCGTGTGCTGGACTGTAATGCTGTATTCTGGCCTTGTAAAAAGTTCTGCTCTATAAATAGACTTTGGCCAAGGAGGAGGGCATATTATGGGACTTGTTATTTGGTGTTATGATTTATGTGTCTACAAATAACTTATAAATATTTATTATAATTTTAGAAATCACCCTTTTGTTTCTAAATAAAAATCCATCATTAAAGAAAATTATATTTAGAAATTCTTTAGATTAGGAAGGTTTTGACACAGTGTTAGGTGTTCTGTTTCTACTTCATCCATCCCTCTGAATACTTCTGGCATCTTTTGTGTGTAATCATGAAATGAGAGGAAGATGTGTGTGCAATCAGCAGAAAATTAAACATTTAGATATATGGCATGTATTTTACAGCGCAAGATAAATGCCTTATCTTCATCTTGTTTTGACTTTGATTATATGGAGGGTGCTATTGAGTCTGTATTTGTTGGTGAAATCAAATTCAGCTTACGTCAGTCCTTGGTCAAACTTCGGGTTGGTTTTATTTCTAAGGTTCCCAAACTACAAGTGTTACTATGTGACTTAGAAGTTGTTATGCGGCCATTAAATAAAAGCTCAAAGAAAACTAAAACTCGTAAACCGCGCTCTTCAGGCAGGGGAAAATGGATGGTTGTTGCTAACACTGCAAGATTTTTGTCAGTTTCTGTAACAGACATGGTTGTGAAGGTAAGTCTTGTTTACTAAGTTTTTCTTTTTGTTTTTCAAAATTATTTTTCCTTTGATTTGCATATGCATGTTTCTCATTTTTTTTTTATTAATTTTTAATATTATGCCATCACTGATCTTTATGTTTGATGAATAATCATCTTCGAATGGATTAAATAAATTGGTGTGAAACTCTGGATTTTCTTCGATATGGTGTGGCTGAGAGTGGGTGAGCGAAAGTTGGGGAGAAGTTGTGATTTTTAACACTTCTCAACTTGCTGATAGTTAGCTATCAATATAGATACACGGACTGGGAATCATTTCCTTTATAAATTGTCAACCAGGAAATGAAGCAATAACTTCTTGCAGATTGTTTTTAATATAACTGCATATAATTTCATGTGTTTCCATCGAGTTTTGAAGCTGAACATAGTTTGGTGAGATGTCACAGTGTTAAAGATACATGTTCGAGTCTGAACTGGTTTGAAGATGTGAAGTTGCATATGGTTGCTCTATGGCATTGCGTGAGAAAGACCCTAAAGTGTTAATGAAAATGAAAGTAGGAAGTATTCACACACTTTTTTCTTTTATTCTTTTTGCTATTTTGTTTATTATTCCAAAGGCTTTTCACAATTCGCTGTAAATGTTTTATGAAACAATGCAGACGCTCAAGGCTGCTGTTGAAGTCAAGGAACTGACAGTGGATATATCAAAAGATGGTGGATCAAAGCCAGGTCTTCTGGTTAAGCTACACATATTACCTATTTTTGTATGCATAGGTGAACCACGGATCTGTTGTGACCAATCAATCCAACTTAAATGCTGGAGGATGCATTTCTTCCAGCCAAGCATCATTTGCCATGATGGAAAAGTCTTCTGCTCCATTTAGCTGTGAAGAATTTTCTCTCTCATGTGAATTTGGTCATGATAGGTATTTTCTTTTGATAAGTTTATCTTTTTCATATTCCACAGTTTGATAATCTAGCCATCATTGGCAATAAACATGGTTATGTGATGAACTAAACATCAAAGCTTTAGGCTACCATTGGATTTCCCTTACAGATTTCAGCTGCACTTCATGTTTGCCTCTCCATCCTCTCTCTTTTTTTGCATCTCCACTTATTTAAAATTCAAATTTTCTTTTCTTAGGTTTGATGATGAATGTGCTTGGTGTATGTTACTTTCTCTATTTCTTCTCTCTTTGTCAACAGTACACCCTAACTCAAATATATACACACACTAAATAATTACAAGTATACCCTTTACCCTTTACACTGTATATATAAACATAGTTTCCAACACTCCCCCTCAAGCTGGAGCATATATATCTATCATGCACAGCTTGTTACAAATATAGGTTACCCTTTTACTAACTAGAGACTTCGTGAAGATGTCAGCTAGTTGTTCCCCTGTTCTAACATGATTAGTAGCAATTAACTTTTGTTCAAGTTTCTCTCGTACAAAGTGACAATCCACTTCTATATGCTTAGTCCTCTCGTGAAAGACTGGATTGTTTGCTATATGTATCGCTGCTTGGTTGTCACACCACAAGTCCATAGTCCCTGAGTCACCAAACCCAATTTCTCTAAGAAGATGTCTTGTCCATATGAGCTCACACGTAACTTGTGCCATAGCCCGATACTCAGACTCTGCNACTTTTGATGTATTGCCCTTCTGTTAGTGCTTGAATTAGGTTGTAGGGAGCCTTTTCCACCTACTTAGGCCGCTCTTCTGTTGGTGCATGTTGCAGATTCTCTTGATCATGTTTGCCACCCTTGGAAGTGACTGAAGTTTTTGGCTAAGCAAGCTGGGTGACCTTTATCAGTACCATTTTCTGTAATTCTTTAAATTCTTAACTCTTCCTTCTCACTGGATTGGTGATAAGTATAGTTTTACCAATTCTTTGAAACCTTGGAGAGGATGCAATATAGTTTTGATCTTATTGAGTAGGAAGAATTGCGTTAATCTTAGTAGTTGTTTAACCTATGTTTTATTTATAATGCCTGTGGTATCAGTTTGGTTATTTACTAATAATTTTTTGGAAGTTACTTTCATTGGAATTTCCGAACAAATTATGGTTGTTTTGATCATAATTATTATTGTTGTCGTTGTTGTTGTTATTATTATTGTTATCACTAAGATTATAATTTTTTAATCTAATCTAAATGTTTATTAACTTATTAAACTTTGAATTGGTGCTTTCATGTTTTATCGTGCCATTTTCATCACTTAAATCTTTTTCTTGGATGCCATTGCTTTTCAGCCAACCTCACCTATCAGAGCTGAGATTGATGTTAAGTTGGGCGGTACTCAATGCAACATCATAATGAGTAGATTAAAGCCATGGTTGCGCCTCCACTTGTCAAAGAAGAAAAGAATGGTTCTTCGAGAAGAAAATTCTACTATTGGAAGGCCACAATCAAGTGATTCCAAAGTTGTTATGTGGACATGCACTGTATCAGCCCCTGAAATGACCGTTATACTTTATAGTATCAGTGGTTTGCCACTTTATCATGTAAGTGTTGTGCTTTCCAGTTTATTACTATCTCATATGGGTTACAAGGAAGTATTCAGCTCTTTATGGAACATACTGTGTTGCATTAGAGCTCCATGGTGGCATCATTTTTATTATCCTCAGAATAAACCTTCAAACAATAAGTTTCCATATTGGGCGTTATGACTTGGACATAATGAACATCATATTGGATTGTAGGTTGAATAAATGGGGTGCATTATTCAGTTTATAATCAGTGGTAACTCATAGAGATTGGCAACTCAAACTAAGTGGCACAGTTCAACTTAAAAGTAGAAAATTTTAAATTGAAACTATCCAAAGTCCTAGCATTGGAAACATAAAATTTTAGTGATACTTAAAATAGTTCCTGTCATTAGAAGTTGTCATGCTTATGCAAATTACTAATATGTTTGTCACAAATTAGTAGACAATGCAATCTGCCACCTCATTGGAAGAGAAAAAATCATAAAAAAAGTTCCAATTTTAATTTATATAGTAATTAAATTTCTCTTCTATTAAGTATTATCCATTATCTCTGTTGGATTCTCAACTCATGCTATTTTAAGAAGTAGTCATCCGCATTGTCTGTTTTTTTTTTTTTTTTTTCCCCCTTGACTTTGAAACTAAAGTTATGAATGATAGCATTTAGATTTTGACTTACCTGTTGTAGGGTTGCTCACAATCGTCACATGTATTTGCAAATAACATTTCAAGTATGGGAACTGCAGTACACATGGAACTTGGTGAACTGAATTTGCACATGGCAGATGAATATCAAGAATCCTTGAAAGAGAACCTTTTTGGTGTGGAATCAAATTCTGGTTCCTTAATGCATATCGCAAAGCTTAGTCTGGATTGGGGCAAAAAAGAAATGGACTCGTCTGAAGAAAATGGTCTTAAGTCTAAATTGGTCCTTTCTGTTGATGTGACTGGTATGGGTGTTAACTTGAATTTCAAGCACATTGAGTCACTTATAGTAACTGCCATGTCTTTTCAAGATCTCTTTAAAACTCTATCTGCGTCTGGTAAAAGAACAACACAGAGCCGAGGTGGGCATTTATCCAAATCGTCTGGGAAAGGAACTCGACTCTTGATATTTAATCTTGAACGGTGCTTTGTAAATTTTTGTGGTGACACTGACTTGGACAACACTGTTGTTGCGGATCCCAAGCGTGTAAATTATGGATCACAGGGTGGTCGAGTTGTAATTAGTGTCTTAGCCGATGGCACACCGCGTACTGCAAATATCATGTCCACTGAATCTGATGAATTCAAGAAGTTGAAGTACTCTGTTTCTCTTGACATCTTCCATTTTAGTTTGTGTGTGAACAAGGAAAAGCAATCTACACAGATAGAACTTGAAAGAGCCAGATCTATCTATCAGGAACAGTTGGAGGAACATAAACCTGCTACAAAAGTGTCGCTTTTTGATATGCAGAATGCCAAATTTGTACGGCGTTCTGGTGGTCTAAAGGAGATTTCTGTCTGCTCTCTTTTCAGCGCTACTGATATTACCGTCCGGTGGGAACCTGATGCGCATCTGGCACTATTTGAACTTGTCCTGCAATTGAAGCAACTGGTACACAACCAGAAGCTTCAGGGACATGGTGAGAAACATATAGAAGATGTCTGTTATGTAAGAGATGCTGAAGAGAAGAAAGAAGCCATCATGGAATCAGGTCATGTTGACAAGCACAAGAAGAAGGAATCCATATTTGCCGTTGATGTTGAAATGCTGAGTATATATGCTGAAGTTGGAGATGGGGTTGATGCTATGGTGCAGGTTCAGTCGATTTTCTCGGAGAATGCTCGTATAGGAGTGCTTCTAGAAGGACTTATTCTTACTTTCAATGGGTCCAGACTATTTAAAAGTAGCCGGATGCAAATATCTCGTATTCCTAGTACTTCAAGTTGTCCATCTGATGGGAATTTTCCAGCGGCCACCACTTGGGATTGGGTAATTCAAGGACTTGATGTTCATATTTGCATGCCATTCAGGTTGCAGTTGCGTGCCATTGACGATGCTGTTGAGGATATGCTGCGAGGTTTAAAGCTTATAAGTGCTGCCAAAACTAAGCTTATATTTCCTACGAAGAATGACAGTTCAAAACCTAAAAAGCCTGTTTCAATGAAGTTTGGCTGTTTGAAGTTTTGTATTCGCAAGTTGACTGCTGATATTGAGGAAGAACCAATGCAGGGTTGGCTTGATGAACATTACCAGCTGATGAAGAATGAAGCCTGTGAGTTAGCTGTCAGGTTAAAATTTCTAGAAGAATTCATTTCCAAAGCCAAACAATCTCCCAAGTCTTCTGAAACAAATGATTCTCCTTGTGAAAGAAAGGTTTGCTATAATGGAGTTGAGATTGATATAAATGATCCTTCTGCTATTGACAAAGTGCAAGAAGAAATTCATAAACAGTCATTCCGTTCCTATTACCAGGCATGCCAAAATCTGGCACCAGCAGAAGGTTCGGGGGCCTGTAGGGAAGGCTTTCAGGCTGGTTTTAAGCCTAGTATTTCCAGAACTTCTGTTATTTCCATTTCTGCTACAGAGTTAGATGTGACCTTGACAAGGATTGACGGTGGAGATGCTGGGATGGTAGAGCTTCTGAAGAAGCTAGATCCTGTTTGTAGGGAAAATAATATACCATTTTCTCGGCTCTATGGGAGTAATATTCTCTTGCATACTGGCACCCTAATTGCTAATTTAAGAAATTACACGTTCCCCCTTCTTTCTGCAACTACTGGTAAATGTGATGGTTGCCTTGTGCTAGCACAACAGGTTAGCTCTATCTTTCTTTCCCTCTTTGCTTTCCCTGCTCTAGAACTTCAAATTTTTGTTTTGTGATGTATGCTTGTTGCTTTATCCTTATCCATTTTTAGATATAAAATCTTGAAATACACTTAAATGAACAAAGCTTCGTGAATCCAATAAGCAATTGGTTGAACTCATGCTATCATAGAACCTGTGAGATAGGAAGGGAGATATTGCAGGAGGGAGTTAAAGGAGAGTATATAGGACATGGCAACCATAAGGCTTATAGGGGACCTATGTTTTGAGAGCATGGGATCCGTATTTAATAATAACAATGTAACTTGGTTATCTATGTTAGGAAAATATTTTCATTTCTATGTTTGAGCCTTACAATGATCTTTTTTAAAGTAAAATGATTTTTTTTTGTTTAAATTTCCCTGGCTTTTTGGGTTGCTATCGTTTCTAGGGTCACAAATTTGAGCCATATTTATATGTTGTCATGATTGTAACTGATCTTTGCTTGAACTAGGCCACATGTTTTCAGCCCCAAATTTACCAAGATGTCTTCATTGGAAGATGGAGAAAGGTTCGCATGCTTCGTTCAGCAAGTGGAACAACTCCTCCTATGAAAATATACTTTGATTTGCCTATATCTTTTCAGAAAGGAGAAGTGTCCTTTGGAGTGGGATACGAACCAGCTTTTGCTGATATTAGCTATGCTTTTACTGTAGCACTTCGTAGGGCTAATTTAAGTATTTGGAATCCAGGTCCCCTAATTCAGCCACCAAAGAACGAAAAGAACTTACCATGGTGGGATGATATGAGAAATTACATTCATGGAAATATCACCTTACACTTTTCTGAAACCAAATGGAACCTACTTGCAACTACTGACCCTTATGAGAAGCTTGACAAGCTTCAAATTGTATCANAAGGTTCGCATGCTTCGTTCAGCAAGTGGAACAACTCCTCCTATGAAAATATACTTTGATTTGCCTATATCTTTTCAGAAAGGAGAAGTGTCCTTTGGAGTGGGATACGAACCAGCTTTTGCTGATATTAGCTATGCTTTTACTGTAGCACTTCGTAGGGCTAATTTAAGTATTTGGAATCCAGGTCCCCTAATTCAGCCACCAAAGAACGAAAAGAACTTACCATGGTGGGATGATATGAGAAATTACATTCATGGAAATATCACCTTACACTTTTCTGAAACCAAATGGAACCTACTTGCAACTACTGACCCTTATGAGAAGCTTGACAAGCTTCAAATTGTATCAGCTATGATGGAGATCAAGCAGTCAGATGGTCGTGTTCATGTTTCTGCGGAGGACTTTAAGATATTTCTGAGCAGCTTGGAGAGTATGGCTAAGAGTCGTGGCTTAAAACTTCCTGCTGGCATATCTGGTGCTTTACTTGAAGCCCCAGTCTTTACTCTTGAAGTTACAATGGATTGGGAATGTGATTCTGGAAATCCACTGAATCATTATTTATTTGCACTTCCTGTTGAAGGGAAATCTCGTGGTAAAGTTTTTGATCCCTTCAGATCTACTTCTCTCTCCCTTCGCTGGAGTTTCTCTCTTAGACCTGGTCTTCCTGCACCTGAGAAATCACCCCCATCTACCTTGGGAGATAGCACCATTGTAGATGGAACTGTCTATGGTCCACCTTATAAGTCTGAGAACACTCCAGTAGCTTCACCAAAATTGAATATCGGTGCTCATGATTTAGCATGGTTAAACAAATTTTGGAACTTGAATTATATTCCTCCTCACAAATTGCGTACTTTCTCTAGGTGGCCTCGTTTTGGAATTCCACGATTTATCAGATCAGGGAATTTGTCATTAGACAAGGTTATGACAGAATTTATGCTCCGCATAGATGTTACACCTACTTGTATAAAGCATATGTCCTTAGATGATGATGATCCAGCCAAAGGACTGACGTTTACTATGTCCAAGCTGAAGTATGAAATCTGTTATAGTCGTGGCAAGCAAAAATATACTTTTGAATGCAGGCGTGATCCTCTTGATCTTGTTTATCAGGGTCTTGACCTTCATGTGCCTAAGGTTTTTATAAATAAAGAAGATTGCACCAGTGTAGCAAAAGTAGTTCAAATGACAAGGAAAAGTTCTCAGTCTGCCTCCATGGATAGAGTTCCTAGTGAAAAACGTAATGTTATGAATGGTTGCACTGAGAAACACCGTGATGATGGATTTTTATTATCTTCTGACTATTTTACAATTAGAAGGCAGGCCCCGAAGGCTGATCCTGCTAGGTTATTAGCATGGCAAGAGGCTGGAAGAAGAAATCTTGAGATGACGTATGTGAGGTCCGAGTTTGAGAATGGGAGTGAGAGTGACGAGCACACGCGGTCTGACCCAAGTGATGATGATGGATACAATGTGGTAATAGCTGACAATTGCCAGCGTGTTTTTGTTTATGGTCTTAAGCTTTTGTGGACTATAGAGAACAGAGATGCTGTTTGGTCCTGGGTTGGCGGGATATCAAAAGCATTTGAACCTTCAAAGCCTTCTCCTTCTCGACAATATGCACAGAGGAAATTACTGGAGGAGAAACAGAAAAATGAAGTTGAAACACTTAAAGATGATATTTCTAAGTCCCCCACTACCAGCAATGCTGCCGTTTCCCCTTCTCAACAAGGGGAGACATCAGGAACGCTTTCATCTCCATCAGAGTCAGTTAAAATGGAGAATTCATCATCTGTTATGGTTGGTATGTCTTGAGAACACCTTCAAATTAGCTTTAGTTGACAGTTTGTTATTGTTTACAGAGGCCTATCTCAATGAATGCCAGATATTAAAGACTTATTTCAAGCTTGATCATGATAATAAATTGTCCATAAGCATGATTTGTTTTATTACCAATGATTTCAGCTGAGATGCACCTGTTTTGCTTTATTACCAGCGAAAAATGATAGCATCAATGACTTTGAGGAGGAGGGAACTCGTCATTTTATGGTCAACGTTATTGAGCCACAATTTAATCTTCATTCAGAAGAGGCCAATGTAAGTTCTGATGATACTTTACTGGTCATGAGGAATATGATTATTTTTATTTTTTATGCAGGTGGGGGATCCTGGGGAAATTATGTTGTAACTCTCAATCCTGTAATGATCGAGTATTTTAGTTCAACTTATAAAACTCCATAGAGTTTCCTTTTGCCATTTTAATTTGCCTATGTCCTGTTCTTAATTATAGTGTTCTGAACTTGTAATTCTTTTGACATTTTGCTGGGATGCCCTAGGTGCTCATGGTTTTAAAGACCATTGAAACCTAGCTGTACAGCTGCATGTTCATTTATTGGTAAAAGGTTTTGCCTTTGAACTTTTGTTGATGTGCATGTATGTATCTCATTCGAAGTGTATTACTAGGATTGATATCAAAAGTTTCTTCTAGCATCACTGAAATATTAGATTCTATCTACTAACTCGTATGCAGTCACAAAATTTTCGTAAGCTGGGAATTTCTTTTAAATCTAAATCATCAATTAGGCTTATGTAGTGGAACTTGATTGAAGAAATTGGAACTTTGTTTTCAAGTTCAAATATTATTACATTTTTGAGTAGTCTGTATTTTTGAATTGGTCATCAGTAGTTCGCAACAAATGATTCTCATCAGTTTAATTACATTTTATGTACTTCCAGGGTAGATTTCTGCTTGCTGCTGTCAGTGGCCGTGTTTTAGCCCGATCATTTCATTCAGTCCTTCATGTTGGATATGAGATGATTGAACAAGCACTTGGTACCACAAATGTGCATATTCCTGAATGTGGACCTGAAATGACATGGAAACGCATGGAGCTCTCTGTGATGTTGGAGCATGTTCAGGCTCATGTTGCACCTACTGATGTTGACCCAGGGGCTGGACTGCAGTGGCTTCCTAAAATTCGGAGAAGCTCTCCAAAAGTAAAGCGCACTGGTGCTCTACTTGAAAGAGTTTTTATGCCTTGTGATATGTATTTTCGATACACAAGGCACAAAGGTGGGACTCCAGACCTGAAGGTATGCAAGCATTTCCTACCTATCTGCATTTGTCCTTGAACAGTTTATTTAGACATTTGTAGATTCTGGGACTGTAGTTTTTTACACATGTGGTCACACTAGACATAAATATTTTTTCTCGGATCTGGACTATAAATTTAGATGTAGAGTGTGGACTGTTCTGTGAAGTGAGCTTGGCAACATTGTCTAACTCACTTCATAGAGAGGTCTGCTCTAGCTCACTTCACAGAGAGGTCTGTACTTTCTTATCAAATGGATGTCTTACCAGAGTAGTCACACTATCATTGGTTGAATACTCATTTGTAAATGATTTTGCTTTATGATTTATTCTGCTGCAGGTGAAGCCCTTAAAAGAGCTCACTTTCAATTCTCGCAATATAACAGCTACGATGACATCTCGCCAGTTTCAGGTTATGCTTGATGTGTTGACTAATCTTCTCTTTGCACGGCTTCCCAAGTGAGTATATGCATATTTCTTGTTCTTTCTTTTCTCTCCATTTTAATTCTCTTTCATGCTTGTTCAGAAGTTTAAATTATGTGGTTGCTTATTGTAAAGTTTTCCATATGTTTATGTTTCTAGCCTTGCTGTATCTAGTGTTGGTAGTTCTAGTATCTTCTGAATATATATTCGGCTGACCTTTAGTCTTTATCCATGCTGACATCATTTCATAATCATTGAAAACATTGTAGTTTTCGGGATGAATCTAATTTTGGTGTATTTAAATTATCTCTGAATTTGTTTAATAAGATATTGTCCATCACATTATAATTTCTTTCAAACAGCTATTAGTATCACAACATGATTGCTTTCATTCAGTTTATTCTTTACATAGTTTTTTTTTTATGTTTATATTGTTTGATGTTTATATTGTTCCATGAGATTCAGTTACTTTGTAGTCCATAAAGTACTTATAATGAATGTGTGATCTGGGCATACAATTTGTTGTGGTATTTGATGCAAAAAGCTTGTGATTCAGGCCTCGAAAAAGTAGTTTGTCTTTTCCTACTGAAGATGATGAAGATGTTGAAGAGGAGGCAGATGAGGTGGTTCCTGATGGTGTCGAAGAGGTAGAACTTGCAAGAATTAACCTTGAACAGAAAGAGCGGGAGCAGAAGTTGATTCTTCACGACATTAGGAAATTGTCTCTTCATTGTGATACTTCAGGAGATCTATGTCAAGAAAAAGAAGGCGATTTGTGGATAGTAGCCAGTGGGAAATCAACATTGGTAAGGAACAAACTTTTAAGTTATCACTATATTCTGATGTTAGTATTTCATGACGATAATGCTTCTCTATTGATTTAAGTATCAGTTGTTTCTGTATTGGGAGAGTTGTGATCCTTTTATATCCGTTCTTAAATGTAATGCTGTTTATATTAGAGGTCCCAAATTATAAAACATTAAGGGTTGAAGGGGTTGACTCACATCAGAGCAGAGGAGATTGCCCTTGGTGCTCTTACTAGGTTCACAATTTTTCCTAAACCCTGCACCTGATTCTTGAATCAGTAGATCACATTTAAGTTCATTTCATCCCTTGCAATCTGATTTTAGAATTTTGATTGCTCGATACATATGGGAGAATACTTATGTTAAGAGTACATCTATGTATAATCCGACTAATAAATTATGATTATCTTGTGGTGGATTGACGGTTGCCCTATGTGCTACGGTACCCTGTGTTGTAAAAATGATGCAACTTTGTAGTTGGTTTATCAACCTCTCTTAGTGGTGAATATTGGCTAATTCTGTGTCTTTTAGCAAGACAACTTTATTCAGATTCAAGCTACTATTTCATATTGCTCTAATCTCTGATAAAAATTCTAGGTCGTGTTCCTAATTGATATTTAGGAAAGTATTCATTGAGAATATATCTTCATGGTTATTTCCATAACCAAGTTTTGAGCAGCTTATTTTTAAATATTGGTTCCATAAGAAGTCTTATGAATATTGTTATATAGTATACCTGCATATAGTAACATTTTTTTAAGTTATAACCTATCTGAGCATTACCAATATCCAGTTCCAACCTTGGCCCCATATGAAAGTAGTAAATATCTTATATTTGATTATTAATTATTCCATCGGAGTCCCAAATATATAGAGTTAGCATAAATAGAGCATGTGTACGAAACCTATATAAGGCAATATGACCTTTTTGCTAGAGTCATTTCCTACATGCACCTGAAAAGAGTTGTGAATGTATTGTGGTTAGTCCATGTGATTATTGAATACTAATTTTTTTTTTTTTTTGTTGGATGGAAACTTCCCTGTATTCTTATGTACATATGATGATCAGTCAAGAAGACATCAGCATGGAAAAAGTGTATTTGTTTACCAATCTGTCTAATTAAATAATTCATCTAAAATAATGTACTTACCTTGATCACAACTCTATTTTGACATGGTTCACTGTACATTGATCTATAAATGTAATGTACAAGTTGTGCTCATCTTGAAACTAATTATGCCAACGGGGGAGAAAAGAGCAGTGTAACTGCAGGCAAATGTATTTATGAGTTTGCAGTGGCAATTGTTTTGATAATGTAATCTGAAAATTTTCCTTGGGAATTTTAAGGGTTTGATAGTTGAATTATTAAGACTTCTTTATTACTAGGATCAAAAAATGGTTTGGCATTTTCGAGATGTTTGCACTGTTTTTTTGTTTAGCTGACCTACTTTTCATATATCTACTTGTAATTTCTAGCATTAGAAATTTATTGTCTCTATGTGGCTTGTTCATGGAATTGTTTGGATATGGAAGACTTTATGTAGATTGACGTTATGCTTTGACCATGCATTAAATGGTATACGTTCCTAGATTTATATACTCTGCTCTTTAAAAAAAAAAAAAAAAAAAAAAAAAAAAAAAAAATTACTCTAGTGTCTTTACTGATTATAAATTCCTCAGCGCCATTAGATAATAAATAATGTAAAATTTTCCGCCCAGATACAAGGACTGAAGAAAGAGCTTGTAAATGCACAAAAATCTAGGAAGGCGGCATCTGCATCTTTAAGATTGGCTCTGCAGAAAGCTGCTCAGTTACGACTGATGGAGAAGGAGAAAAACAAAAGTCCATCCTATGCTATGCGGATTTCCTTGCAAATTAACAAAGTTGTTTGGGGCATGCTTGTAGATGGTAAATCTTTTGCTGAGGCTGAGATAAATGACATGGTGAGTCTCTAAAGATATGATAACCTTGGGAAGCACGACTGTTTTGCTTTTCTTCTTCTTGTCATTTTTTATTGCTACATCTCTGGAGTTGAATAATTAGATTTAGGTCACTAAATAGAAATTGGCTAGATATGATACTGGTTTTGGTTATTCTTTACAGTGCGGTTGATAAGATGTTTTATTATTTTAGCTTCTTCAGAAACCAAATTATTTTTTGTTAGTCTACTGACTTTGCTAATGCTTTAGTTACCGTTATGTAAAACTTGGATTTGTGAGGATGTAACTGATATAGTTTTACATTTCGTGATCATCTCATAGATTTATGATTTTGACCGGGATTACAAAGATATTGGTGTCGCTCAGTTTACAACTAAGTACTTTGTTGTAAGAAACTGCCTGCCAAATGCCAAGTCTGATATGCTTTTATCAGCATGGAATCCTCCGCCAGAATGGGGAAAGTATGCAGTTTTTTCCTTCTTTTTATTGTACTTACTGATATTTGGTGGTGCTACTCTCAGCCTCTTTCCTCCTATAGTGATCGATTATTGTAATTGTTTAAAAACTTGAAATTCTTCTCCATTTTCTTGTTCTATGGTTGTTCTTTAAGTTCATTCAAGGCCAAGCTCCAGCATAAACAGGCATAAGCATAGTAATACTCCTATACTTGACCCTGGTCTTTTTCAGGCCTACTTTTATATTAATCAGCCCTTCATTTTTATTTATCGAGACAGCTGGACAGCAGAATTCAGTTGAGCTAACTGTTTTTCTTCAGAAAATAAATCCTTTTATTAAATATTGAAACCTCATGAAGAAGGAATACCTGTCCATGCATAATAAAATGTTGTCTTAAAAATGAACTGCCAAATCTGTATTTTTTATGGGAAATAAAATAACTGTCATGTCATACATTTTGCCCAGTTCACTATTAGCCAGATTTGGTGAACAAAAATGAGTATGAACATTATAGTTTATTTTTGTGCTGTATTGTGTAAAAGAAGTGGCAAAGCAACCACACAAAAGTGACATTAGTGTGATGTGAAGCATGTTGCACTCTTATGTGTTTTTTGTGTATTGCACTGCATGCAGTCAGACTCGCATAACCATTGTATGAAGTGATATTATGCTGAACAAATGAAGCATAGAGGTTTTTAGGAGGATATATTTATAGAAACTGTGATCTTATTGCAGTGCTGGTGGTAAGTCATTCACTAGACAGGAGCCCCCTAACTAATACTTTAAAGTTTTATGCCTTTTCTGTTTTTCTAGTATCTTCTGAATATGAGTTCATTAAAATTAATTTTATACTATTCTTTTTGCTGCAGAAAATTCATGCTTCGTGTTGATGCAAAGCAGGGAGCTCCAAAGGATGGAAACTCTCCTCTTGAACTTTTCCAGGTAATTTAGTTTTCTTGTTTCACTTTTATATTAAAGTTATTACTAGATAAGATCTGACTTTTCACATTGACTTAAAATCATATACATTTATTCATCACATTTGATAGATTGAAATCGTATGTATTTTAAACATAATTACTGAGCATTACTATTTATTCCATATCATGTACAGCTGCAACTGCAAAGTATGCTTTTGAAAATGCAGCAGTCTCATATCTTCATTAAGTATCTGTTTGATCTTGAATTCTGGTGAACTATTTGTGAATTATTTAATCTGAGCCCTTCATTTGCAATGTAGGTAGAAATTTACCCCCTTAAGATCCATTTGACAGAGACAATGTACAGAATGATGTGGGAGTATTTCTTCCCAGAAGAAGAACAAGACTCACAACGGCGGCAGGTAGTTGGAGGTTTCTATGATCTAAAATTGTTAAAAAAAAAAAAAAAAAAAAAATGTTGCAAGCCGTGACCAAAATAATAGCTTCATTGTTTTAGATGCCAAGGTGATTGATGTTCTACATGATTGGTGTGCAGGAAGTTTGGCAGGTCTCAACAACTGCTGCTGGCAGACGTGGTGGTAAGAAAGGCTTATCAATGCATGAAGCTTCAGCCTCAAGCAGTCATCCTNTATTTAATCTGAGCCCTTCATTTGCAATGTAGGTAGAAATTTACCCCCTTAAGATCCATTTGACAGAGACAATGTACAGAATGATGTGGGAGTATTTCTTCCCAGAAGAAGAACAAGACTCACAACGGCGGCAGGTAGTTGGAGGTTTCTATGATCTAAAATTGTTAAAAAAAAAAAAAAAAAAAAAAAAATGTTGCAAGCCGTGACCAAAATAATAGCTTCATTGTTTTAGATGCCAAGGTGATTGATGTTCTACATGATTGGTGTGCAGGAAGTTTGGCAGGTCTCAACAACTGCTGCTGGCAGACGTGGTGGTAAGAAAGGCTTATCAATGCATGAAGCTTCAGCCTCAAGCAGTCATCCTACAAAAGAGTCTGAGGTCTTATCCAAACAAAGTGCCTCTGCAGTACCCTTTTCTTCTTCAACCAGTCAGCTTCCTGCTGATTCTTTGCAAGTGAGCTTCCAATGTTTCTTCTGATGATTTTTCTTTCTATTTTGAACATGAAACCAGTTTTAGTTGATGACAAAGATTAGTAACAACGATATTGAACAAACAGTCCTTGAATGCCAAACCTTTACAAACGAAAGAACCAAGTACCAAATTTAAGCCAAAACAGCATTTCAATTTCTGTCAAAATAAATATCTTGAAATTTTTTTTGAAACCAGAGCCAGCAGAGATGCTAAGAAGATTTTGTGCAAATTTGATTAGGGAATTTTTATTTTTAGCATTGAAGAGTTTGGAATAGGAGATGTGTTTTGATTTTTGTATAGGTTTTTTAACCCTTGGGTTTTTGGGAATATTAACAGAGAATCCTTGTTTCTTAGCCAAAACAAAAAAACAGAGATATAAAGGAAACTTTATCCCACAAAAGTCAGCCTCCACATCACCAGCATCTTTTAAAAAATTTGCATTTCTCTCAAGCCAATTAACCTGAAATAAAAAAGTGAGCATGCAACCGCTTCATAAAGACAGCTCTTGCACCCATTACCAAGCAAAGCGGTTTAAAATAATAATGAAATATCAGAATCCGTGATAACCAAAAAAATTATAACTTCTTTGATGAGTTTGAAGCACTAACTTAAAACAATTGAGCAATGAAGAATAAAGGTTGACACTTTGATTCTTTTTACACATAATATAGTAGTTTTTAATGCAATTGTTTAGAAGAACCAATGAGCAATTTCTCTTGGATGCCCTGTGAAGGCAAGATATATAGGACCTCAAACTTTGTTTTCTTTGCTTGGAAATCTTTAAGTTCAAACAATGTGCTTTCGATAAAGTTTATGCTAAACGTATGTGTAGGCATCAAAGTTGCAAAATGTGAAGACAAGTGCTGTTCGCAGTTCAGCTCCTGAGCTTAGAAGAACGTCTTCTTTTGACAGAAATTGGGAAGAGACTGTAGCAGAATCTGTTGCTAATGAACTTGTCCTACAGGTTCACTCTCCCAGTGGTGTGTCACTTGGTTCTCTTGAGCAACAAGATGATATGTCTAAGAGCAAATGGAAAGACTCCAAGCCTGTGAAGCTTGGTCGGTCATCACATGAAGAAAAATTGAAGCCTGGTCGGTCATCACATGAAGAAAAAAAGATTTCCAAAGTGCAAGAAGAGAAAAGATCCAGGCCTCGAAAAATGAGGGAATTTCACAACATCAAGATAAGTCAGGTCAGTTCAGTTCATGTGGAATGGTCTGTTTTGCATTGCAATTCCTTCGGATTTATATAGGTAGATTTACATTATTCTGGTGTAGGTCGAGCTACTGGTTACTTACGAAGGATCAAGATTTGTTGTGAATGATCTTAAGTTGCTGATGGATACATTTCATCGTGTTGAGTTCACTGGCACTTGGAGGAGACTCTTCTCACGAGTTAAGAAGCATATCATCTGGGGGGTTCTAAAGTCTGTGACTGGAATGCAGGTAATATAATTATGACATGATTTCATCAATCTCTTTTTATATAGCTCGTTTTATGTTAGTACAAAATTCTGGCTCTTTAAAAAAAAAAAATATTGTGCTGATCACACTTCTAAAGTTCATTAACATATGGGAGGGATCGTCCATTTTTTGGTTGAAGTTCTATTTGACTTGTAACTTTCAATGCTGTGGCAGCATGAAGTTAGCCTCATTGGCCGTGTTTTCTAGTGTTGTTTATCTAGTTGGTAAAGACTCTTAGCATCATACTACAGGTTTGGAATAGAAATCCTGATTCCACCTGGGATTAGGGAAAGGTGATGGTAAGGGCTAGTTTGTTGCGTTTACTCCTGAGTAGCGCTTAGAAAGGATAAATGAGTGTCCAAAAAGCTCTACCTCTTACTAGATTCAATAACAACTGTGATAATAATGATGATTTCAGTTATCTACACATTTAAAATATCCATGGAAAAGTAGGAAATGAACTTCCAACTGCTAATAAGGTTTTATCCACATTGACTCAAGGTTCAGGAGTTCTGGAAATTTCTAGAAATATGATTCAAGCAAGTATACAATCTTATTGAATCTACTCATATTCTTTCCGATTTTGCAGGGTAAGAAGTTCAAAGACAAAGCACATAGTCAACAACCTAGTGGAACTGGTGTTCCTGACAGTGACCTTAATTTGAGTGACACTGAGCAAGGGCAAATGGTGAAAGCTGATCAGTATCCAATAACCTGGCTCAAGCGGCCAAGTGATGGAGCAGGTGATGGGTTTGTAACTTCGATAAGGGGACTGTTCAATACCCAACGTCGCAAGGCCAAGGCATTTGTGCTACGGACTATGAGGGGGGAAGCGGAGAATGATTTTCAGGGGGAATGGAGTGAAAGTGATGTGGAATTCTCCCCCTTTGCTAGGCAGCTTACCATAACAAAAGCAAAGAGACTTATCAGGCGGCACACGAAGAAATTTCGGACAAGAGGACAAAAAGGTTTGTTGGTTTTCCTTCATATTTAATGATCTCTGAATGGGCATGGGCATGTGTTTATCACTTTATCAGCTGTTACAAAGACAGCAAACTTTAGATAGATATTTCCGTTTTTGCTGCCAAAAAAATTGTTAGTCATTAAAGTTGTACGGTCCATCCCCCTTACAGACTTATCAATCTTTTCCTTTTATCAGGTTCATCTTCCCAGCAGAGAGAATCACTTCCATCATCTCCAAGGGAAACCACTCCATTCGAAAGTGACTCTTCTAGTGGATCCTCCCCTTATGAAGATTTTCATGAGTAGAAGTATTTTTAATCATCAATTTCTTTTGCATTTGAGTCGAGTACATAGCTTGGTGTACATGATTGTGTACAACTTTGAGCCTTGTGATTCCTTTGGATGAAGACGGGAAAGATGATGAAGCTCTCCGCAAATAAAATCAGGCTGCGTTATTCCTGAGGATTTAAAGTACACATCCGCTAAGACCTCCCATTTTCACTACATGAAATGAGCCCTGATTCCGTCAGCCATTAAGGAACTAAGACTTATTCCACATTAAACCATTTAGTTGTAAAGTTTTGTAGACATACAGGCGTCTTAAGTTATATACGAGGTTCCAGATCTCATAATTTTGTACATACATTCAAAAGTAAAATAGAATAAAAGCAGAATTGCACCTTTTTCACTTTTTATTTCACCTATATTTGAATAAAATTGTCCGTTAGAATTCTTTTTTTATCATTTTCAACTACATTGATTTGAGATCAAATATTCTTCAGGGTTAAATAATGTAATAAATAAATAGCATTTTTTCAGGCCTTTTTTTGTTGGTATTTATAGGCATGCTGTTTGCGATATATTTTGTCTCCCTGACAAAAACTCAGGCCTTTGTATTTCTGAATTTACGTGTATTTTTTTTTTTTTTCCGAAAACTTGTATAGTGGAAAATGTTCAAAAACAAGATCCATTGATCTGATGATCTCTTGATCCTTCTCACATGTTCCAATGAAGATTGGCTCTGCCACAAATCATCCGTCAAGCAGATCTGAAGTTAAATTCTTTTGCGCTAAATTTTCACATTGCCATAAATAGAGATGACCATAGAAGGAACAGTTAATCCCACAGTAGCATCAGATGTAGCAAGGTAATTATATCTAAAGCTCTAAAATATAATTTCGTGGCAAAGCTACGCATACAATTGAATGTCCATCACTTCAAATAAGCTAAACCAGAAAGTCACAAGCACAGCATTGATACGCCAGACTATACAATCCAAACCACACTCAATACCAGAATCATTATTAACAACCACAAAATACTAGTTGCGATTTCATCAACTAGCCTGGACCAACTGCAAATGTTAAACTGTTCAAAATTTGCACCACTTGACATCTACACTTAAAAAATGATCAAATAACATCATGTTTTGCCAGGTTGAGCTTTCATCTGAAGATAGAACATGAAAAGCACATTTATAGGCTCATTTTAACAACATTTAAAAAGAAGGGCAGGACTGCAGTATATTAATATCTCAAGAAGACCTGGCAAATAAATCACATACTATAGAATGGTAAAAGTATTCAGGCATATCTCATATCAAATTGTACACAAATAGATCCCAGCACTTATATCAACAAACATCACCAGATTATCTAATGTCAGCTGGAAGCACCAGTTCACCTTCTATGGTCAAGAGAGCATCGTAGTACTTAAGATTCAATGTCATGGTTGTTTTTAGTTATAACAACTCAATTAGCTACTTTTGCCCCCTCAGAGGAATCAGTAACTTTGACCTGTAAGTAAGGATGTGAGAGACACTAAAATGAAGAAGCCTATGAAGAGCTCAAATCTCCAGACATTTATGGAACAAAGCAAATCATCACCTTCTAATCAAAGTTAGAAGGAAGGTCAATATCTGTATCTGAAGGATTAGCAAGCTCTACCAGAGGTTCCTGCAGATCCCAAAACTACTAACATGAGATAATGTATATCAATTTGAAGATATTCATCATTATGGAGCAAGCCTCTGCAAAATATGGTAATATAAGAAAAAAAGGACATGGCTTGTGGCAATGTAAAGAGAGGTTGTAGGCAAATCTCAAAGATAAAAAAGTTTGAAGTTCTTTTTTTAAATTCTTAAGCTAAAACTGAACCTAATAGGAACATATATGGAGTTGGCCGATAATTCTTTATGGAGATATTATGCAATATCTATGTTGGGGCACAACTGTAGCCTTGATGAAAAAAAGAAAATTAAAAATTAAAAAAAAAAAGGCCTGTAAAGTTGACTCTCAATGTAAATGTTTTACCTGCTCATCATCATCGGCTGAGGAATGGACAATTCCCATCGGCAATGCATTTGTCAGATCTTCAGCAACTCCATGCATATCCTACATCATACAGAAATGCAAAGTTACCTTAAAACAAATATCCCTCATAGAATTGAAAGAAAAAATTTCTTGTATTAATTGTTATATATTCGTAATGAAAATCCAAAAACCTAATAATTAAAACACCATTTCTGCTCATTAACCATCCTCCAGTACATTTGTCTGCCAGGAATCACTAATTCTATTAGAAAGAAACATCAAATATGTAGCCATTCAAAATTTTATCAATATAGCAGGTTAGCATTTATATTAGGTTGATATATTTAGGAGTTAACACCATGCCATGCCTTGCTTGACAAATGATAAACTTGAACACAAAACCTAGAGAAGCCACCCCTGCAAATCCTCCCTATTTGAAGTGCAGGTGAGGCTAGCCAGGTCATTAATTATCATACACTAAGTCTTGAAGCTTTAAGGAAGTTCAAGGTTTTCAATTGAAGTGTGTAACAATTTTGTTAACATCATACCAAATGCAATTTTTTTTTTTTGGTTCGCTTGTTGACTCCTTTCCTGTATGTAAAGAAATTTGAGCCAAACACAGAATGGAGAACCTCTATATTCTCCATCAATAATCTTGCTGTTTAAACTCTGCAGTGTACTCAAACAAAGCCAAGTTGCTTAGCCCTACAAGGTTATCTCTCACCAATAATCATGCTTTGCTTAGTTTTTACATTATGCCTATGCAAAAGGGATTGGTATGGTCTTGAAATCACTTACTCAAGCCAGTAAAAGCATCAGTAAGTAATAGTCCTTACTGAAAGTTCCAAGCTTATATACAAGACATAGAAAGATTGCAAAAAGGAATTCACTGATTTATATGGCTAAGACTGGAACTGAAACTGAAACATACTTCTTCATCTGGGTCTACTGAAAGATCATTTGAACCCCCGTTAACAGCCTTAGAAGCATCTTCAGGAGTTCCCTGCTCACACGACAGAACAATTTAGAAGCAAGAATTAAGTCTGCCCAATTTGAAAGGAAATTATAACAGATATAAAGATAAGATTACATGCTCATCCTGATTGCCAGAGAATTCTCCTTCCATAATCGATGGCTTAACATCCATTGGAGTTTCCTGCAGAACCCGTAAATAACAGTAGATAATCAATGATGGAATAGAGCAAAAAGCATCATTGGCGCATAGGATTTCTAATCCCACAAAACATCATTGAAATAAAAAGCAAGTCATATAAGCACAGAGATGAGAAAATTAAGGCCATCCCACGGTAACAACAAATGTGCACACACACACACAACACACATTTTTTTCTTTTTTCTTTTTTTTAAAAGTCCACAAAAACATAGATATGAACTAAAATCTAAGCTCACAACTCAGGTTATTTACCATATTACATGGGCTTAGCTTCTAAATAAAAATAAAAAAGCGAGAAAGAGAGAGAGAAACAAAATATGTTAATCTTGATTAGTGCACATACAGGTTCAATTTGGTCCATTGATAGACTCCTTCCACCCTTACTGAGATCTCTCAGTGTTCCCTGCATGCCCAATAAACTGGTTCAGGAAAATTGGCACATCACTAAAAATTAATGTAACTCAGCAACACCAATAACAAGCTATTAAGGCATTTTCAGATAACAATAATGCTTAATCTGAACTCCAAAATAACAATCAAACATAGGGCATGGACCAAACTTCCATCAAGATATTAGGCACAATAGACTATAGGAAGTAAATGGAATCAGATAGAACACTATGTATTTACTAATATAGCCAGGAAAGATGCTCTATTAGCTGTAGATGAGTCTGATTGCATTATTATTTCCAGACTATTACACTGAGGAAAATACTAAATATTTGTCAACTCTAAAGAGCCCTTGAGGGGAACAGTGTCAAACTTTAGGCCAAGCTAAGAACTTTCTGCACATGTAGAGAGAAGAAAAGAATCTGATCATTCTGTCTTAAACCACATCAGCTGTTCTTGAGGATTGATAGAAAAGCATGATTACAATGTAACTCAGATGCACATGCATGGTTAAGAACAAACATCTTTAATCACATCATGCATGCCGGGAGATCCAAACATAAATTTACTTAACAAATCAGAAACAACCAAACCTTATTTGCCCACATAAGCCCACATGCATTACATAAAGTTCTTGGTCCAGCTGGCCCACGACGCATCGCCGGAGTGTTATTTTCACTAACACCACAATGTTGGCATCTCCGAAGACTAGATATTATTAACAGAACAAGTAACAGATACACAGATCAGTGGTATGTCACCAGAAACACCTCATGCAAACAATTGTTCATGATAAATATTTCCAAATGTCAAAATTAGTTGTGACAAAGAATATATAGAACTCACACAGTTTCTGGACGAGGAGAGCCGTCTTGAAGGCCACTCTGTGAAGAATCCCAACGCGAAGGACCTGAACTTTCTTTTGAAGATGCAAACTGTCCATTCTTACGGTGCATCCTACAGGGATAATAAAGCAAAAGAATCCTATAATTACATCCTTCATATTCAATAATATAGTAATGCAAATGACCATCTCAAATGGTTAAATTTGGAAGCATTAGTAAGGAATTTTGAACAAATGGTGTACCTTTGTGCAACTTCTTTCCGCACAGTGTACCTAATTTTTTTGTCAAAACATCTCTCCTTCCGTTTCTCTCTGAACCTAACAAGGGAGGCAATCCGTCTTGAAAGATTTGAGCGTTTTGGGGTGTCACCAAAACCCTACAGAATATGGCAGCTTAGACAGGAACATAAAAGCCAAAGATCCGATTGAACTCTCAACAATTTCATAATTTGCATGCATTTACCCTGTTATTTTGATCATAAGGTACTTCAATTGTAGGTACACCAGTAGGTATATCACGTCCTCCCAAAAGCAAGAGCACAGCTTGCACCTATTGTTAGAATTCAATAAACCCATGAAAACCTCAAAAACAGCAAAACCATTTAAAGAATAACTGTACTAAAGAAGTGGACAGAAAACTTGAGCAGTCAGGAACACACAATTAGAGAGCAAGGACAAAAATGACAAACAAAGGTGATATAGCAAAATTAAAAATTTAATTGCAAGAATCCAACAACTTTTTATATACTCTATGTAAAGGACATCGCACCAAAGCATGGAATTGTGGATCCCCTTTTACAAAATGAAAGGGCAAAGAAGGAATGAAAGTAGTTTCCAGAGTTCATCTTTCCTTTAAATGCGGTCAACGAGTATCCAATAAAATAACTTAAATATAAATGGAATCAAAATGAATATCTTGCAATCAATTAAAGGAATTCGAAGTAGGCCAAGTGGCTTTGTAAACTGATGCATTTTGATGATACAAAAGAGAACCTAAAACTTAAATTCATTACACAACAAAAATAGGAATATATTACTAAAATATACTAGAGCTCAAAACTTAAAATAGAAAAGAGCAACTCATCAAAATCAAAGAAAAGGTTAAATTAACAATTACCACAATCAACTCCAAACCAAACCCAAAACCCTAAGGGAAAAAAGCATCAACCATTCACCTAAGAAAATTCCAAATCCTCCATGCATTGATTAACAATCTACATTCGAAAAACTAATAGGCACACACTCATTTACACTGCAAATACAACTAGAAATCTTCAAAAGAACTAATTAAGATTCTGAGACAACTGTCCACAAACTATAATAAACAGCCAATTACAACAACAGGTCAAAAAACCTCAAAATTCAAAATATCCACCAACATAACACTATAATCAACAAGAAGTTAAACAAAGAGTGAAATTAAACAACCAAAATTACAATCAATATAATAAAATTACCCTATAAAGCTAGCATAAACTCAAATTATCACCCTATAACCACTAATAATCAACTAAAATGCCAAAAGATTATAAGGTACCTTCTCTGGAGTAACAGCAGGAAACACATAAACTTCGCCTTCAAAAGAGAGCGTGAGCTCACTCGTCCTGGAAGCCGCGGCCACAACAACTCCGTGTTCTGCCACGTTAACCACTGAACTAGTAGTATTGCTGTTATTATTATTATTGCAATTGTTCATAATATTCATGGAATTAATGTTTCCTTCTTCCACGTCATCCATACCGTCACCGTCCTCGTACTCGCCGTCTTCGTCTTCGATCTGTACTGGTATTCGCGCGTGCTCCTGAAACGGCCGCGCCTGCAGTGGCTGAGGATTCGCAGCCGCCATGAAAAAGAAACCCTAGCTTCTCCTCCGATTATTACCTGCTGTTTTATGGAACAAGTATCATCGTTTATGTTCGGTTTAGGTCAAAAACCCTAACTCTGAAATTGGATTGTTTATGAGCTCGGAGAAGCTTAGCNCAAAAATGACAAACAAAGGTGATATAGCAAAATTAAAAATTTAATTGCAAGAATCCAACAACTTTTTATATACTCTATGTAAAGGACATCGCACCAAAGCATGGAATTGTGGATCCCCTTTTACAAATTGAAAGGGCAAAGAAGGAATGAAAGTAGTTTCCAGAGTTCATCTTTCCTTTAAATGCGGTCAACGAGTATCCAATAAAATAACTTAAATATAAATGGAATCAAAATGAATATCTTGCAATCAATTAAAGGAATTCGAAGTAGGCCAAGTGGCTTTGTAAACTGATGCATTTTGATGATACAAAAGAGAACCTAAAACTTAAATTCATTACACAACAAAAATAGGAATATATTACTAAAATATACTAGAGCTCAAAACTTAAAATAGAAAAGAGCAACTCATCAAAATCAAAGAAAAGGTTAAATTAACAATTACCACAATCAACTCCAAACCAAACCCAAAACCCTAAGGGAAAAAAGCATCAACCATTCACCTAAGAAAATTCCAAATCCTCCATGCATTGATTAACAATCTACATTCGAAAAACTAATAGGCACACACTCATTTACACTGCAAATACAACTAGAAATCTTCAAAAGAACTAATTAAGATTCTGAGACAACTGTCCACAAACTATAATAAACAGCCAATTACAACAACAGGTCAAAAAACCTCAAAATTCAAAATATCCACCAACATAACACTATAATCAACAAGAAGTTAAACAAAGAGTGAAATTAAACAACCAAAATTACAATCAATATAATAAAATTACCCTATAAAGCTAGCATAAACTCAAATTATCACCCTATAACCACTAATAATCAACTAAAATGCCAAAAGATTATAAGGTACCTTCTCTGGAGTAACAGCAGGAAACACATAAACTTCGCCTTCAAAAGAGAGCGTGAGCTCACTCGTCCTGGAAGCCGCGGCCACAACAACTCCGTGTTCTGCCACGTTAACCACTGAACTAGTAGTATTGCTGTTATTATTATTATTGCAATTGTTCATAATATTCATGGAATTAATGTTTCCTTCTTCCACGTCATCCATACCGTCACCGTCCTCGTACTCGCCGTCTTCGTCTTCGATCTGTACTGCTATTCGCGCGTGCTCCTGAAACGGCCGCGCCTGCAGTGGCTGAGGATTCGCAGCCGCCATGAAAAAGAAACCCTAGCTTCTCCGCCGATTATTACCTGCTGTTTTATGGAACAAGTATCATCGTTTATGTTCGGTTTAGGTCAAAAACCCTAACTCTGAAATTGGATTGTTTATGAGCTCGGAGAAGCTTAGCAAACGGAAATGGAAAATATAGAAACAGATAAAAAAATAATAATAAAAATGAAAAGCAAAAATATAAAAATGAAAATAAAAAAAAATATATAAAAAAAAAAGGATAAATAAAAAAGGAAAGTACCCTAAATATAGGTAAGATTTGGAAGAGGGTAAGTTCGTGTTTCCTTGACGAGGCTCAAATTGGAATTAAAAAAATATTTTTTTAAAGTTTTAGTTTCGATTTTACTTTTGGATTGAAAGAGAATGTGTCGACTTGTCGAGTCGAGTCGAGGAATACATTACTATGTCTACACAAAAAGGTAGAGAAATGATTGGGTACTATAAGGAGCATAGTATTATTATGGGATGCGGGATCCAGGGGAGTTGATGGTTTGTTCACATGGGATGTTTGTTATGGATTGTCGGGGATTGAGGGGTGTGGGGCCAAGAGGATCTAACGGCGTGCGTAGTGGTAGTGGGATTTAGAAAATAAAAGCAAAAATCTAAAATGGGATGTGGAAAATAGATTGTACTTTGAATTGAAAGAGAGTCCACAATGCTCTTTACATGCTGGTTGATCCAAAGTGGAAATTCAAATGTTTTTTTGTTTGTTTATGTAATTTGATTGTGTTAATAAAGTTTTTTTAAGGTTATTAAATCCCAAAAGGTTTTTCTGAGCATAAAAAGACTCACCTTTTTACCTTTATCAAGACCAAAACTATGTTCAATTTAGAGTTTACCTAGTACATCATCCAATTTAAAACTCTATTAAAGTTGGGCCTCCAAGAATTGTGAAGGTCAAATGGTCAATTTTTAAAGGTTCAGAAGAGCCCATCACAATCCTAATTACTGCCAACTATTTCAATTGTGTACTTGGAAGTTTGGTGTAGACTGTAGAGGTGCAGTACAACTCTATATACTTTACCCAACCAAACCAAATAACAGTAAACATGTCTTCTGTTTATATGTTACTCTGCCGTGTCTGTGTGTCTCTCTTTGTTGAAAATGAGATTGGGCGTGGACTATTTCAATAGCAGTCAAGGTCCAAGTTAGTCTGATGGCCGAGAATCCCCGGGATACTTCTGCCAACCCCTTTGATTTAGGAAATTGGTAAGGGGATAATACTTTGTCTTTAGTTTTTGTTTTAAGTTTTAACACGAGGGGAAATAGAGAGAGTATGAAATTAAAATAATCAATGGAAATATAAGAATTGAAAAATAAAAAAACTTTACAGCAAGCTTTTATATGAATCACAAAAAATCAGAAATCTAATGGCTTCAGACAGCAAACTTTTTTTTTAATTATTTTTATTTAAAATCCTAATTGAATTTTATATTTACATGCTCTACGTGTGTCATAATTCAATATCTCTGACAAACTGAGAAAATTTCAAAAACCAAAAGAGGTTTATTGTATACAAAGTAGCCCTTGGGTCTTAACAAACTATCCCTCTGACCCCTACATATTGCAAAAAAAGGCCTTACCCCAGTTTCAGAAACATTCAACGTCCCCCTTTAATTTTAAAAACCACTTATTCTTTGGATTAATAAGGACAAATCTTCCCAATAGTCCAACTTGTTCAAACCATAATTTCGATGGACCAAGACAAGGAGAAAATTGGGTGTTTTCCATTCTAAGGAGGGGAGAGGGGGGATTGTTTTTGTGATACCTAAGGGGAAAAAAATGTAATTCGGCCTTAATCAGATTGAAGCGTTTCAACAATAAAGGAGACAGAATCATGTCCAAGTGTTAAAGAGAATCGTGGGTAGACATTCCCATGTTGATTGTCAGTGTTTTGTTGTCCAAAAAGGTAAAAACAAAAGTGAAGTCGGATGCCATGGCATTTATAATTATAAGCCTCAAAAAGAATGTCTGACCAAGTTCCAATATAGGCTCTTTTGTGACTGTTGATAGATAGGGAACATCAATTTGGGAACATTTTACCAGACCCAGACCTGCAGCACAAAGTTCATCGAATAAAAAAACTAAAACCCAATCCAAATTTAAAAAGAAAAGAAACTACCATATCCACAAAGACAGTAGTAAACAGCTCAAAACTGAACTTACATGCAGATGCAGGGGAACAGCAGGAATTGCTGCCAATTCGGACCTGTATATTTTTATATTGTGTTTGTTTTTGGTAAGACAACAACAAAAGTTGATTTACTAGAATGTGTTTACTTGAGGAGAAAAAGGAAAAACAACAAGGCTTAAACAGAAGAGACCCGACTTGTTTAGGTGGGGCGAATGTCATATAAAAATTACAAAGATTATCATCTAATTGAAGCTTACTTTTTTTTTATGTGATACATCTGAAATAAGTTGCTTTTGAAAAGTAGCCACAAACAAAAGGAGACAACCTCATATATTGAAGAAGGAGCTATAATATCTGTACATATAGGACAAGCTAGATGAAATTACTAGAAAAACTTCTACTTCAATGACATAGCCAAAGCCCGACCCCTGTAACCATTTATTGTAAAACGACTTAATGCTCGGTTAATAAAGCAGTGTCATCATCATTTGAGAAAGAAACTAGTTCGTTGCCTGCATGGATGGCAGTTCCGCAGTCCGAGTCGTTTGCTTCTCCTTCACCCTACGTCAGGAAGAATGCCGTTCCACATTTACATATGGGAAAGAGGAGGAAGCATAATAGAGAACCAAGAATTCTGTGCTTCAACTAGATCATACATACCTGCTCAACTGGAGTAAGAGAATGGTCCTGGGTTTTCTTGGAAAGATCCCTCAGAGTACCCTGCGTAATTCCATTGTCAATAAAGTCACATCAGCAGAGGATGTCATCAAAAACTCAAAAACATATTCTTAAATAATACCAACAAACATCTCAGCTTGATCCTTCAGTAATAAAACCGATAACACTGAACATGAAAAACGCAAATGAGAAGTAAAATTTATTGGCATCTCCCTTACGAAAAAGATTCAGTGAGTGTTGGAAGTCTAATGATGAAAGCCAATAACTTCACCAATACAAAGCCACATGTCGCACAGGTGTCTAAGTTACCACAACATTCACCTATGGGTAGCAATTACAAGCCACAGATGTGTTTCCAATTTACTTAGGNTGCTTCTCCTTCACCCTACGTCAGGAAGAATGCCGTTCCACATTTACATATGGGAAAGAGGAGGAAGCATAATAGAGAACCAAGAATTCTGTGCTTCAACTAGATCATACATACCTGCTCAACTGGAGTAAGAGAATGGTCCTGGGTTTTCTTGGAAAGATCCCTCAGAGTACCCTGCGTAATTCCATTGTCAATAAAGTCACATCAGCAGAGGATGTCATCAAAAACTCAAAAACATATTCTTAAATAATACCAACAAACATCTCAGCTTGATCCTTCAGTAATACAACCGATAACACTGAACATGAAAAACGCAAATGAGAAGTAAAATTTATTGGCATCTCCCTTACGAAAAAGATTCAGTGAGTGTTGGAAGTCTAATGATGAAAGCCAATAACTTCAACAATACAAAGCTACATGTCGCACAGGTGTCTAAGTTACCACAACATTCACCTATGGGTAGCAATTACAAGCCACAGATGTGTTTCCAATTTACTTAGGGGGTGTTTGTCTGAGTTTATAAGCTGATCAAACCAGCTTATAAGCTTTAAAATCAGCTTGACCTGTTTGTTTATAACTTGAAAAAAAAAAAAAAAAAAAAGTTGGGGGAACCTACTATTTTTTTTTTAACCAAATATATTATCACATTACCCCTATTTAATTTTAAAATTCCATCATATAAAATAATATAGTATCTTTTTTAGTCATTTTACTAATAAAATGTACTTATAAACCACCCAAACGAGTCAACTACTTATCAGTCAATTATAAGTATTTTATCCAAGCACGTAACTGTTTTAAATTCCAAATGCTTATAAACTCAAATTACCTTATAAGCATTAGCTGCTTATAAGCTAATTTTCATAAGCTCAGCCAAACAGACCCTTAATCTATGATCCATGCAAGTGTTTTAAGTCCTATTCAATTGCTAAAAGATTTGACAAATCACTTTCAATGCCCCACCAACGAGTGGAAATTGAAAAGGGTAAACTAAACTATCATGTATCTTTATCAACCAAGTTCCATTCTCATGGATTAATATTCATTTGTAACCATGGCTAGTCACAATGATTACAATATCTTATGGTTTTAGCTCAACAATATCAACCTCGACTACAAATATGCATATGATCAAAAGATTATGCATAATCAGATTAAGAATAGTAATGTGAGACAGAATGCATATTTCTCTGGACAATGATCAGCAAAATATATACTCTTAGTCACGTATTGAGGAAAGAATAACTAACAAAATTTTCAAACCGACAGCAAAATAAAGCAAGAGCATATACATATCAGAGATAAGGCAAGGATAGAGTAAATTCTATTTACATGTCAACTTCATTAGCATTAGCAAACGTATTAACTGAACCAGAGCAATATTTTGAGAGCAAATCCAAAATCCTCACAGAAAACGAGCATGAATTATGCACAAAAAATAGTCTTGATAAAGATAAGCATTAAAAGTCATTGAATACTGACCCTGTTTGCCCAAAAAAGACCACAGGCATTGCAGAGAGACCTCGGGCCAGATGGACCACGTCGCATCATGGGGGTGGACTTTGAACTAATGCCACAATGTGAACACCTAGGCAAACATGCAGAAGATAGAACTGGTGAAAATTTTAATGTTGCAATTCACTGGACGATTAGAATTTCAAGCAACTAGATCAGTAGGAAGTCCACCTCAAAATAGAAAGCCACTGGCAATAGAATACAAATTGGTCTTCAAAGAAAAGGATTAAAGAAACATAGTATAGGGAAAAACACAATCACGTTTCGTGTTTCATGGAAAGAAATAGGAAGAAAACGATAGAACTTGGAGATGGCATGAAACTCACGAGGTTTCTGATGGACTGTCATCCTGCCCTGATTCCTGGGAATTACCCCAACTAAAGGCTCCCCCCTCAGACTTCTTGGCTGAAGTAAATTGACCCTTGTTCCGCTGCATCCTGAAAAACCAAAAAAAAAAAGTTNCATTGCAGAGAGACCTCGGGCCAGATGGACCACGTCGCATCATGGGGGTGGACTTTGAACTAATGCCACAATGTGAACACCTAGGCAAACATGCAGAAGATAGAACTGGTGAAAATTTTAATGTTGCAATTCACTGGACGATTAGAATTTCAAGCAACTAGATCAGTAGGAAGTCCACCTCAAAATAGAAAGCCACTGGCAATAGAATACAAATTGGTCTTCAAAGAAACGGATTAAAGAAACATAGTATAGGAAAAAACACAATCACGATTCGTGTTTCATGGAAAGAAATAGGAAGAAAACGATAGAACTTGGAGATGGCATGAAACTCACGAGGTTTCTGATGGACTGTCATCCTGCCCTGATTCCTGGGAATTACCCCAACTAAAGGCTCCCCCCTCAGACTTCTTGGCTGAAGTAAATTGACCCTTGTTCCGCTGCATCCTGAAAAACCAAAAAAAAAAAGTTATAAATTGTAAAAAGACCAACATTGATTTATTATTTTATTTAGAAAACAATAAAAAATAGTATTGTATTAATGAAGGAAAACAAGAAATACACAAGTTGATCAGGTAAATAGAATAACTTTAATTATCATAAGTAGAAAGAATGCAAAATCATCGATAAAGGTTGTCCACAGTATATTGCATTCTTCCATAGTGAAAATTGTCTGTAAAACAGGTAAAAATATACAAAAACATTCCACAAGGAAAATATGAGTACAATTTCTTTAATATTGATAAGAAAAATCCCACCATAAAAGTCCATGTCTGCTAGTGCATATAAAATCAGCACAATAGGTCCCAATCTCCATCCCACTTTTCACATTCCTCTTTCAATGAGACCAAAATTTAAAAATAAAATAAAAACCCTCCCAATAATGGTCTTGCATTGTAAAAACTATCTACAGAGTTCTCCAAGACAAGAATTCAAGAACAACAGATTTGTAACTGATATAAACCATTACTATAGCTTAATAAAGGATATGTAAATCTTTTTAAAAGCAAATAATATTAATGGATCCCTACCATTTTAACAGATGCTTATACCACGCTAATGTCAATTAAGAAAACATTATGGCCAAGGAAAAATGCACTCACAATGATTTTCAGATGAATCAGATATCTTGGCTCTTTGCTTTACAAGGCTTTCTGGTGGTAATATCACATGAATACTTCATGCCATACACCATGGTTTCAAAAGAGAATATACCCAAATTCAGAGATAAAGCCAGAGTGTTATATTTGAAAGCCCTTAAAATGGCTGTATTATCAAACAAGAGGGAAAATGTGTTGGTGTTTGGTGGGCCCATCCAAGAAGAGAAGGAGCTAGTATCCATATTTAACCAGCTATAAAAATCAATCTTATTAGCTCGTTCAACGGCATAAATATTGAAATTGAACTTTCAGTACCTAGCATGCATATGCCAGCTCATTTAACTCCATACACAGCAAAACTGAAATGGAAGAAACATCAATTCAAATGAATTGCCAAACCTGAGAGCAACTTCTTGGCGGACACTATATCTGACTTTCTTGTCAAAACAGCGTTCTTTCCTCTTCTGTCGGAACCTATCTAACGAAGCAGCTCTCTGTGGTTGGGTAGACCTTCCTGGAAAGTCAGCAACACCCTAAACACAACGCCGGTAGAGATTTAAAAGATAAAATAAAAATAAAAAGATGGAACATACATTTACATAGTTGAATGGTTAAATACCCTCTGATTGTGAGGAATCACCTCCATTGCTTGCGGGCCCGATGATAACTCGCATCCTCCCAGCAATAGCAGCACAGCTTGAACCTATAGATACAAGATAGCAAGAAAACACGCAAAATATACAATCAAAATCTTGAAACGTCTATAAGCCAGACGACCATAACACTAAAAATCTATTTTCCTGTCAAGATATTAAACAAAAAACTCGTAAATTTGAAGTGCTACGTAGTTTTAATTTCGTTAAAAAAGTAAATACAGCAAGTTCATATAAGCATCAGTCAAAGGTCCCAACCACAAAGATTCATAAACTTCAGTATAACAATCCAATTCCAAAACCTAATTAACACAACTGAAAAGAAATGAAAAGAAACGAAAATATGCAAATTCGTGTATTACCTTATCAGGAGTGACGGAGTCAAAGACATAGACCTGGCCGCGAAAGGAGAGGGTGAGCTGGCTCGAATTACCCAATTCGGAGCCGGAGGCTTGACCGTAGACAGAATCAGGAGCAACGTCTTCGACGACGACGCCGTTTTCGAGGGAGTGAGTGTCATAGCCGAGGTGGTGATTATCGGCGCCAACGGAGACGTCGTCATCGTCGGCGCCGGCGGACATTTGAGTGGGGATGTTCATTGTCTGAGAGTGACCATACATTGCTGTTTTTGAGCTAAATTAAGGGGGTTGTGAAGCATTACAAAAAAAGAGAGAGAAACAAATTGGGAGATTAAATTTTAAAAAGGAAACCCTAACCCTAACCCTAAGTATAAGAGAGTGAAGAGTGAGAGAAATGAATTGAAAGAGGCAAGAAGAAGAAGAAGGTTCTAACAGAGAAATAAAAGGAGCGTATGTTTTTGTCTACGTTTTGTGTTGTGTGTGGGGAGTTTGTTTGTGAGCGAGAGAGAGAGAGAGAGAGAGACCAGAGAGTGACGGACAGCTCAGGACAGGAAGGAAAGCAGTCAAGGGATATTACCCTCAATTATACCAATATTTACGATCTAATGCCCTTACGGCCCAGCCCAAATCCATTGTTTTTATACTTCAATAGTACGCTTCTGACTCTGTTGTCGGCTCAGTTTTTTTTTTTTTTAATGAAAAAATCTGGATGAAATTGAAAATTACTCACGTTAAACACACCTTTTCAAACATAAAAATTATGCTACGAAATTTCAAAAATTAAAAACAAAACTTATAATATGCTTTGTGTTAACGTTACAACGAAACCCTGAAACCCATAATTATAATCATAATTGACAAATAAGATATTGTAATTTGTTTATTTATTTTTAAAAATTATGAAAGAGTTGATGTATGGTTATTTCATTAACCCATAACCGATACCCACAACACACAACATAATAGAAAAGATCCAAGATTGATTAAAGATGTAAGTTTTAAAATTTTAACATTATGCATCTAAATAAATAAATATTCCAAAATTTTCATACCAAATTTCATTGCTAAATTATCATTTCATTTATATATCAATACTAAGATGCTGAAATGAGCAATTTATTACGTTGAAAGAGCTTTTTAAGCACATATGAAACCTAGAATATAAAGTAGCTGCCAACAAATATGACATCCTTGGAAAAGAAAGGGAGAAGAAATAAGGGCAAAAAAATATGCCATTTACTTTGGAAGAGGCATGAACGCCTATCTGTACAAGGAATTGATAGAAATAAAAATAACAGAAAATTTCTAAACAATTATCTCTGATTATGATAATGCTGCTATGGTTAATAACTTAATACACAACATTTTCTACTCTAACCTTACAAGAATACAATGTACATGTATGTGTTGATACCTGATTCTGATTCCTAACTCTCCTCACCATCAAGACGATGAAACTTCAGAATTTGTGGAAGGTACCATTTTGCCCGCCTAACTATGTTAAACAGAAGAAAAAAAAAAATTCGCCTCTCAAATTATTCAAGCTGTTTGTGTATTGCATAATGAAGTTCCTGTGTCACATCCGTTAAGGTAACACCAACAGGCAAAACCTCTCAATATGATCAAGTCCATGAAGAAATAATTCTTGATGGAGAGTCCGGGGGTCTGAAAATCGCTTCTTGCATCTCCGGGAGAGATTCCTGCAGGAGAAAATAACAAAGAATGGGATGGAGTAAACCTCAGTGAGAAACTTCAATACAGTGGTGAAAGCAAGATAATGACTTCCCACTGCCATAATGATACTTATCATAATTATTAATGTAAAGAAAACTAAAATTAAGAGAATAAAATAGAATGCTTCTTGGTATTACTGGTATTAATGTCTGAAAATACATCACTACAGATGGGATAAATAAAGGTTAGAACATTTTAACAATGCATATAACTCAGCAATCATGAGTCTGGTTTAACACACAAAACTCATCAAAATGTCAAGGCAAAACCCCGGGCCATTAAGATGCTTAGTAAAATTGCCACGGCAGAGAAATCTTTAAATGTTACGTCCAATCAGAACTTGTGCTTTTCAAAATATACTATTTCAACATATAAAATAATCATTTTCTTCATTTCGGGCAAAACAGTTCCAAAATTAAGTGCAACAAAAATTACCTGAGGTTAACAACGCAAATTTCATAGCTCCTTCTATGAAATATAGATCTATCCTGTCCCAGAAGCTTTGAATTTGACATTCCGAGGAAGATTAGTTCTATGCTGAGGGTTGTCTATAGAATAGATCAGAAGACATCCATCTTTGGTCCCAGCTAAGAAGCATTCTTCTGGAGTCACAGCCAGAGACGTTATTATCTTTCCAACTCCACTATACTTCTTCACAACCTCTAGCGTATTCATAGACCGGACAACTATTTGTCCTTGGTCACCTGCACAAACCAAAAACTCACCACATGCACTGAGTTCAACACAGTTGAGGCGGCCATTGGACTCTGAAGTAGCAAGATGCTTCCCATTAATTGAAAATAGGTGCAGACTGAGATCATCATCACCATAAAAAACAATCCGTCCATGACGAGAGGCAACAAGTTTTGTCAATGCAATCCCAGATGGATGACGTAATGATCTCACATATCTTCCCTCCCGCAGGGTATGGAATACACAAGTTCCATCTTTTGACCCACTGATAACTATATCAAGCTCCACACTAACATATAAGCATGTAATTATGTCATCATGCCCACAGAGAATGTGGAAGGGAGTTTCCACGATGACATAGTCTTTACGGGGTAGTTCTATCTGTGTGTTTCGAACCTTCTTTTCTGAGGCTCTGGCACGATGAACTTCCCACACCATTACAGTGGTATCATAACTTCCGGTTGCAAGTATACTTCCATCAGCAGTCACTGAAACAAAATCATTTTAAGACACTTTAGTGCTAATAAAGAATTAAGAAGATCTCTTCCAGCAGAAAACAAATAATTACTAAAAAGAGATTCCAGAAACATTAAATAAACAAATCAAAATAACAATGCCACATTGCTCACAAGTGGTTGAAAGGTCCTTTCATTTCCCTTTCCCACACCAGCGCAATACCTAAACAGATGCATGACCATTTTTTCTTTTTTCTTCTTAATACCCAAAATTCCCTCAAACTTTGCATCAGATTCCAAATTGGGGATTATTGTGACATTACAACTTATAACAGTCAAGAAATCCTTGGGATATAATATCCCAAGTAGATGGTCCCAAGCAATTCACATTACATGAGTATTCAGTATGTGTAACACTCCCTCTTTAATAAGAGTGTAGGCTCTACACTATGAATGCCTAAGACACCACAGCCAAACCATTCAAATAAAGTACACACCCAATCCCTCAAACTGTGTACCTGATTTAAAAATGGGGATTATTGTCAGCCCTTACAACTTATACCAGTCAAGAAACACATGGGATACAATATGCCAATCAGGTGGTCCCAAAGGATTCACATTAAATGAGTACTCAAGCACATGCAACCCTCCGTCTTAGATAGGAGTATAGGCTCTACAGTATTAATGCCTAAGCCAACACCATAAAAAACATTCAAATAATCTACACAGCCAATCGTTGCTTACACTTCTTTGATGAGGAAACCTTTACAAATAGAAAATACCTGCAACACAACTGACAACATCTTTATGTTGTCGTATGCTTTGCACTACTCTTCCATCATTCAAAGATATCACTTGAAAACTGTTCTCCCAGTTCCCACATGAAATCAAAAAATTCTCTGATGGAGTTTGCATTGTTGCAAAGCATTGTGCTCCAAGTTCAAAACTTTCAGCTAATGGGCTCCCAATATTACGGGGAGAAAGAATGTCAGAACCAATTCCAAAGAAAGGATCCTGCAACAATTTGCAAGTTGTATCATTACATCAGGATCCAGAGACACAATTTGTTTAGAAAAGTGTGCAATTAGAACATACTTTTATTAGAAAGATAATTCAAAATTATGATGATAAGATCCAGTGAACGAACTAGAAAACAGACCTGAGCACCAGAGAAGGTAAAGCTTCCACCATATTGCAATTGTGTTGTCAACCACATCTTAACTGACAAGGTGAGCCCCTGGTTCAGAAGAACAATGGTTGAATCCAACATACCAACATACACAAAAGCTGATGGTTGAGTACTTGTACTACTAATGATGGAAGTCAAATTAATGGAACTAGGAGCAAATTGCAAGGGATGAGCGATTGGAATTGGTGGCCCTCTTCTAGGATGTTTCTTACGGAAAATCTGGATGGGTGTCTGACCAAAATTAGCAATTTGGTCTTCTATAGCTGATCTTTGCAACTCATCTTCCATGGTATCCAGATCAACAGCACCTTCATAAGTTAGATAATAAAAGATGTTTGCAGCCTGTAATCCAATTTTTGTTCAATAGCTAAGTAAGTAGGTGAAAATAACAATCAATACCCAATTTGCAATAACTTATAGAACATATACTGAAATTATTAATCATCAAAGGATACCTCAACTGCTGGTTTTCCACGCTGCTTGTAACCAAAAACCAGATCAATCCAGTGGTGAAGATTCGAGCTAACATATTCACTTTCAAGCGCTTCCCTGTTTCTATTTATAAATACTTCGGGTGAGCCCTACACAATGAGAAGTGAAAAATACAAAGGAGTTAAAATGGTGCATCTAATCGCAATACATCAGTTCCAAACAACTATACATCTTATCTAGATAAATTAACCACAAACTCAAAACCAAAAGAAAAGGTTCCGAATAAGATATTTTCCTCAATGCATTCTGGACTCAGAGGTGCATGAAGTAACTACCCATACCTTGGCCCAGGGAGGGAGACCAACATCACCTATAGGTTCTCCATCTTGTTTCACTCCAAGATGATAAGAGTTTGAATTAAGAAGAAACTCTGGAATGTAAAAGAACTCAGGGATTAACTCCTTCACATCACTTGTATTAGAGAGGCAATTCCTGTATGTGCCTTCAATGCTTTGGAAAAGACGATCTGCATGGTCGAATTTACCTCCCTGACCAACAACAACATAGTGAAGCTTTTGAACTACCAATTAAATACACACCACTTAAGCAGTAGGCTAGAATGAAAGCAACTGAACAATAAGAATTAGAAAAACATACTGAAGCTAAACGGACCTCAAGATCAATATGTCATCATCTTGAATTGAAAAGGATTAACTAAGTCAAAAGGCTACCTTTTAGTAATTTTATAAAGAAAAACTGTTGATATCAATGACCAATATATATTTGTTTTGCATATTCAACATTTTTATCATACCACCCATCATCAATAAACTTTTTCATTATGTTTTATACTATACATAAAAATGAAAAATAAGCAATTGAAATTTGAAATGATACAGAAGCATAAGATTATATCCTTAATCCTTGATATTTAAATTAAGCATCAAAGTTCAGATAAATAAATACGGTACACAGCATGCAATTCTCAAGATTTTTCTTTGATATCCGGTGTAAAATCTTTCAAGTGCCTTCAATATCGATAGCATTTCAATTACTTGGCCTTTCTTGATGGAGAAGAGAATATAGCGGACAACATAGTTTGGAGTNTTTTTATCATACCACCCATCATCAATAAACCTTTTCATTATGTTTTATACTATACATAAAAATGAAAAATAAGCACTTGAAATTTGAAATGATACAGAAGCATAAGAGTCTCATATCCTTAATCCTTGATATTTAATTTAAGCATCAAAGTTCAAATAAATAAATACGGTACACAGCATGCAATTCTCAAGATTTTTCTTTGATATCCGGTGTAAAATCTTTCAAGTGCCTTCAATATCGATAGCATTTCAATTACTTGGCCTTTCTTGATGGAGAAGAGAATATAGCGGACAACATAGTTTGGAGTATCCTTAAGGAGAGATTATTTTGTTTTTTTTAGGTCAAAAAACATAGAAATGAAAAGTTGCAAACCTACAGCTCAATTAATAGGAAAAATTAAAAAAAGAAAAAACTGAACTCAAAAAACAAAACAAGAAAATGAAAGTAGCAAAAGTTTTTAAAAACTTAAAAGAAAAAGGAAAAGGTCAGATGTTGATTTTTTCTGTAAAAGTTACAAAGATAAAGATGGTTGACTGCACATGCATTGCATTATAATATGCAACACATTGTGCCAAAAAAAGGACTCAAAATTACAATTCTAAGAAAAGAGTACCTGCAAATTACGGTGGAGAGATGTGAATGGTTCTAATCTAAGAAGGTAATAAAGCACAATCCCCATGCTCGAGTAATGAGAGCCATAGTAAAAACTGCACAAAGGAAAACAAGCATATTGGACATGATAGAAATCAATTTAAAAAATATAACCGAGTACCATTACAAAATTCCAAACTGGGTCAGAAGATTACCTAGGGATATCAGGATCACAGAAACTACGATATCTGTCTTCAAACACCTATATAGGTGAGGCAAAATGCTAAGTTATTCACGAAGAACTAATCCAAAGAAATCAAATTTATTATGTCATTCAATAAACTAAAAAACAAATAATTGTTACCTCAAACCGCTTTGAATCCAATGCTCCTACAGGTTTGGAAAGATCGCGAAAGGTTGATGACTTGTTAAAATCAAGAACTTCTGAGGAATAGTCAGCCAAAACCCAAGGAAAGACAGGATACTGTGTTAAGTCATTATAAGACCTTCCCGCAAGCGTGTTAAGAATCATCAAATATTCAAAGTTTGTTATATCCCTTCTCCTCCAGCTCTCTCTAGCCTTTTCTGCCAATTCTAGTGCTACACGCCTATCCACAAATGAGATAGCTCCACTCTTGTCCCTATTACTTCCTTTAGGGAGTACTATTTCATTTCTGAGAGTAACTATCGAGGTTCCAACCTCTTTAGCCTCCTTCTGCGAAGCAAAGTTAAAAAATATAGGAGCAACTGAATCACTGAAGAAAACCTCTATTGCAGTGTACCTAAGCAAATACCGTGTCCAGTGGACAGCTCTTATCTATAATCAGCAGAATCAATAAGATTGAGTCAGAATATGTGTAGCATATATAAATAGAATTAAAAAAATAAAAAATAAAAAAACTTTCCCAACCTTGCCAATATTCCATCTTCGGTGACGCTTAACATTTTTTAATGGTTTCTGAAGCAAGTTTTCTGCCTCTGCATTATCTGTAGGAAGCCCCATCTCGGAATTTAAATCAAAATATTCAGGCCATTTGAAAAATTTCTGCTTTTGATCAGGCTTGTTTAAATCAGAACTGCTAGAACCATGGAAGTCCTTGAAAACAGATGAACCTCCAGTACCTTCAACCAAGAACTCACCAAAAAAATGTAGAACTTTCTTCATGACTGCCAAACGTCCAGCCAATTTTCTCTTTGGTGTTACCAGAAAACATGGAACCGATAAATGAACCTGAAACGGCAAGCCAAACATTAAGAAATACGTTTACTTTATTTTAATTGCAGTCTCACATATTAAATAGGTCAGAAGTACCTCGCTAGTTTCCATCTCTGGTGAAGAGGAAGAAGAATCTTTCCTGTCAACAATGTCCTTCGGATCACTGCCACCTTTAATTTGTTCTGACCACTGACTGTCTGAGGGATCCTCTGGGACAGAAGCCTTCAGCCCACTTGGTTCAATATCACTCTCACTGGGTTCTGAGGTCCCTTCATCAGTTATTCGGCGTATTCCTTTAAGTAGAAACCGCTTCATTTGCTCAGGGATATGCCCAACAAAGCTGGATTTGTTTTCATTAAAAGGAACATTAGCCTCATCAGTAGGAATGTTGGATGGTGGATGACACAGCTTTTCATCAAAATGATAATTCTGTCGTAACTTGGGTCTACGCCGCCATGCATCTTCTGTCTTGTCCAATTTCCAGTGAATTACAGAACTATTTGGAAAAGGATCAGCGGACCAAGGACCCCTCTCATCAATTAAAGCACGGAACATGTGTATCCATTTTTCCTATCAACAAAAAGTGATTGTTGCAGCAAAAGATAAAAACTCAATGAATTCAAAAAGAAAAAATAGTACTGAGGCTACATCCAAGAGTGAAAACTTAGGATGCCCAACAATAAAGAAACTTGTACACATACAGCGACATTTTGCTGCTCCTCCTCATGAGTAAGCTGGAATGAAGCTCTTCTGCAATCATCTGAAGCAAGAATAGTATTCAAGCCACTTTGTATCTCATCTTCAAATACTTTTGCATTACTTAATTCTACAGAGGAATTTTCATCCACCCTAGCACGAAGCTCAAGCAATTGCCTGTTGCGGTCCAATTTTGATGTCTTTACATATTTTACCTCATCAGAAACCTGAACAATGAAAAAAGACAGTTAATACTGATCAACAAACTAGATAGATAGAAAAGAAACACAATCTGGATACATCAATTAAGAAATATCTTCTACTAGATGCTAGCACAGGAACTCACCAACCTCCATACTGTATCATAGTAATACAAAACAAGATTTGCAACAACAAAGGCAGGTCAAATTCAATGCAGATATAAGATCTTCATTACATTTTTCAGTATTTTGTTAATATTGAACCAGATTTATACGGAGAGTATGCATAACTGTCAGCAGTCTTAGAACTCGTGATAGTCCAATTTATATAAGATTTGCAATAAGGGGGAATATGAAATCATGACTGCACCCAAATCATCCTTCCAAATCACTTTGGAAGGATCAACTCTAGGTAAGGCATTTTTAGGGAAGGTTTTCCATGAAAACACAATTAGATGTCATATCACATTCCCAATATTATGATAGATATTTATTTTCAATTTGTGCAAAAAAATTGCCAGTTACAAGCACACACTAGCTTCTATATAGCAAATGTATGCATAACTCTTTGACTCTGAATGTTATTAAGTAACTAACTGAAGCAAGAAATATAAAAGTGAAATCAATGAAATCTTGAGCATAGAAACTACTTAAAACAACAAAAGTAAATATGCATAAAGACACAAAATTAAAATGTGAAGCATACTGCTGCAAGCACTCGATCCTTCTGAATTAGATTCTGAATGGAGCCTGTTTCTTTTAAGTTGCTGCCAGACTCAGATTCATCCCTACCCATAATGGTAGTAGCAAGCATTGATTTCCCACAATTGACTGTTTCTCGAATTAAGTGTGAAATAACATGAAAACGTGAACCATCATCCAAAGTACCAAACTGGGATCTGACCACAAGCAGAGCCCTGGAAAAATATCATTGGATAGTCAAATATTTACAGCAAATGCTGGAATGAAGGGAAATAAACACCTATCCAAGAAAATGTAGTAAACTAAGCTGTATAACATCAATATGCACAAAATTTTCCAGATGTTAATCAAATGTGTAAAGAAATAGTACCAAATAAAAATTTGCAATCTGCCCTTGCTTTGCTCATCATCGGCAGGAAGAAGAGAAGGCAAAAGTGGAATAAACTGCTGGACACACCGTGAAGCTCTTTCCAAAGAAGCATGGCAAAGATATAGGACTACAAGTCGAAATACAATTCTTGGGCACCTCTCTCCTCTCAAAAGCATTGCTTTATCCACGCTTTTGTTAGGTTTTCCACCCAATGCACTGCCAATCCCTCCAGATACAACAACTGCAGCCATTTCAGCAGCAGGAATGTTCAGCGATTCTACCAAGCCACGTGCTCTTTGGCCAAATGATGGGATCACTAATGCTGATGATTTGGGTAGCATCTTGCTTGGTCCCTTCCCGTTCATCTCACTAATGATGACCCACAAATTATCATATATATTCCACCACTTGTGATCGACTATGATAGCTTCACTTGTGATTGGCTGCCTGCAACCATGAATATTTCTACCAATCATGAATACTTTATAAAAACTTTAAAGTGGATAAGCTTTCAAATTACTCATTTTACTTCCATTTCTTTTTTCTTTTTTTAGATCAAAGCAGATTTAATTCCAGATAATAACAGACAAATAGCATAAATATTTAAATGTATCTCACTCATTCAATAATTTAACTAATCATGGAACAGAAAGTTAGCAAATCACCCAAAATATTACAGGGAAAAAAGGAAACAAAAAGAAAACTTTTCAGTGACCACACAAACAGCCATGTTTTCAAATATCTAAAGAAGCAACATAGAAAAAGCAGATTGACATTCATTTCAGTAGCCAACTTCACAAATTAACAAATCAAAACCAAAATGGCAGTACTTAAGACTGACTGCAGAAACAGGTCTTTGACTAGAGGGAGTTAAAAATGATCAGACCTAACAAACCAAAACAGAACACAGATCTAGTTCAGAATAAATTACAGGAACAGATATATGGTATAAACATTAACATAGATTTTATAACATCACCACACACAAAAAAAAATGTTGGCAGTACCTAGATACTTGTCCATCAGCTTCTCCCTGCAGAACCTCATATAATACAGAGCTAAAATCTTTGACGCTGTCTATTTCTAAGGAATCCAGAGAAAAACCAGAGATATTTGCCGGAAACTGCAAGGAAGACAAATAAAATAACCGTCACCTTTTCTCATTAACTAATAAGAGAGTATGTATTAAAGTACTTCCATTCAGCAACCAATAAGAGAGTATGTAACCATGAAATTACAAGCCTATTCATTGTATTCAGAAACTAAGGTATATCGTTAGGTGCATGCATAGCAGCCAAGAAAAATTAACACGTCACTAGAATACCAAATGTTTCTACAAGAGGAACTAAACACCAACACAAGAAAGCAACATTGGTAAGCACAATAACCAAAGGAAAATCTCAACCTGCTACGTATAGTCAATACTTCATTCAAGAAAAAGGCATCTTACACCCACAATATTATCACAACTTTTAGATTTATGTAGGATCAAAATACACTAAGTTGAAACATGCAAATGAGTACTAGCAAAAAACCAAATAAACTTAAATAATAAAGGAAAGTCACACTTTAATGAAATCTAACAAAATGTATTAGAAGTAATAAATCCAATCATCTGAATGCATTTAGTGCCCATATTTTTGCATATGCCAACTAGAACCTTCTGTAATCAAATGACTATTTAGGCGTTCTCATCACAGATTTATAACTTGCATGGTGTTGCATGTAGTCACAATCCAAGAACAAACCTGAATGGTGTTGCATCTAGGGATTAATCTAACTAAGATTAGGACGGAGAAGAAACGCAAAATTGATAAAAATGGCGTGCCTCTAAAGTCATATGATCATAAGTTCATAACCATGTAAAATGAAATTTTTATAAGATGGCTATAAGGCAAGCAAGGACCCAGTAAAAATTTCTGAGATCTGGTGAATACCAGAAGTTTCTGATCAATATCAGAGATTAGCATCTCATCAAGAAGTCGTAGAAGAAATAATGTATTGTCCCGACATGGTTGCAATATAAAAATATTCTCCTCAGATGATAAGTCTATCAGCCTCCTAATCAAGTCTTCATAAATATCACGGAGAAAGTACCAGTATGAGATGCCCGCCTGCATGAGGAAAATGTCAAGGTACCTTGGATTGTTAAACAAATTAGAAATAAGAATAAATGAAAAATAGTTATTTATGGTACAGAGAATAAAACATACTTGCTCATAGTGCATCAGAAGGAAATTAATTGTCTCCTCCAACTGTTGCCAGCCACCTTTTACAGAATACATATAGTGACAAAGAACAACACAGAATAAACTTCTTACAAATGTTTGCTCATTTATCTCATTGTCATCTAGGCTAGGTGACTCAGGTTTGTAGCCTTTTAACACCTCAAGCTTTGTAGAAGCAGCTAACCAGGCATTCCAACCATGTTCCTATATACAAAATCTGATTGGTCAGATAGTAGTCCAATAAATACAAGTGTACATATAATGTAACAATAAGTATTCATACCATGAGAGCTTCAATATTTAAAGGATTTGAATCAAGAAGATCAAGCAGATCGCCGATTATTTTCATTCTTGCAGATGCATCCTTGCAGCCAGACAAGAATCTAAAAATCAAAACCAAAATTTGAGGAAGGAAAAAGTGGGAGTTATTTCCTTTGCTTCGATGCCTGTCAACCTGGTTATATTTTTGCAACACCTGCAAATATCAATTTTAAATAAAAGAACTTCAAAAACAAATTTCACATTGAATTGTTAAACAGCACTGCAGTTAGGAAGCTAAAATGACTAAATAAGCTGAATGAAATAAGAAAAGTACAGCAACTCATATTTCATTAATAACCTGTTTAGGGCTAGCACCACCAAGAAGAACATCAAACAAAGTGGCACACAAATTGTCAGTCTGCTGAAATCTGAACAACTTATCAGACATAGCTGAGAAAATAGGCTGCATCCTTAAATTGGTTTTCCTGTTGACTTCTGAAAGAGATTTGGATCTTCCAACAGCAAGATTGAAAAACCTTGGACCCTTCTTCTCAGACGGTAAACCAACCAAAAGTCTTCCCAGAAACTGTAAGCCGAGCAATCTGATAGGTTCATATTCCCTGTTTGAATGATGGAAATCCAATATGGTAGTTTAATATTAAGAAGTAATTCCAAGATTATTCCCTATTCATTGTCCAACTCAACTGGGCCGGGTGGTCAGCTAGTTAATTTGTTTGAGGGGTGACAAGCACTAGGATTTCAGGTTTTTGATTATAGTTATATTCATACATATTAATTTGCATAGATTTTGTCCCCTCAAGGCTATTTGGCATTATCTTTATACATGTTCAACTCTTGCATATATATATATATTGAAAAAGTAAAGCAATTCTAGAACTTGAAAAGACGAACAAGATCACTGCCATGCTTCAAGGAAAAAATCATGTATTAAATCCAAATACAAGAGACATACCTTTGAAGAAGATTAACAAAAATTTGACAGCCACCAACCAAATTGACTTGTTCAAGGAAAGAAGCAAGCACTTGTTTTTGAGAAATAGCACGAATAACCATATGTAAAACATCCTCAATGCATGCCATATCCTGACTTGTTTCAAAAAAGGCTATAAGAGCCTTTATATCAGCTCCTGCAATGTTCTCCCTGCATATACCACAAGACATTTCAATAAAAATTGAAAAGGAAATGAAAATCTGCCATATCAAAACATTTATTTTAAGAGGATAAAAGTTCAATGTTTAAGTATACTATACCTCAGGCTCATTTCACCAAGACTTAATAAAAGAAGACGAATTTTACGTACTTCCTCTCTACTAGGTCTCTCTCCAATAACATGTTTGGTAATGGGATGCAAAAGAGGCTTGCTTCCAATAGCAAATCGAGATTTAGCAGTATCCCAGTAAAATTGGTGTATTATATCAATAACACGAGGGAGCCTACAAAGACTCTTAAGCAACCTTGGATCATTATCAAACTGCTGAATAAGGAACATGTACAGTTCTCGCTGCACCTCGTAAACTGTGTAGAGCCAGATAAGAGGATTAAGAAAAATGCTTGATATGACATCTTTCACAAGGAGCTCAGCTAAGCCTGAAGGGGAAACAAAAAATTCTAAGAAAGATGCTAAAAATTACATCATCTACATTCAAAAGTTAATCAGAATACTAGGAAAAAGGAAAAGGCATGGAAAATCAAACAAAAGATGAAGATTAAAATTTGCCACTCCATTAAAACTGAAAGACAAGTTCATGATACATACCACAGTTTGAAATGACGTAAAATAGATGTTTCAATGCTGAAAGTGTTTCTAAATTGAGTTGCTGTGGTGGAACTGATTGAAACAAAAACCCCAGTACTGAAAATCCGGAAAGAAGATGCATTTGTTGTTGATTTGATAAATTATCTTCTAATACAGATGCTATAAGCTCAATAACCTCAGCTGTTAGACGCTCTTTTGGGATAGGCATTAGCAACGTATGCTCAAAGAATCCACTTTCTTCAATTTCATACCTATCAGACTGAGCTATGAGCGGGAAAAACACAGATACACCTCCCACACAATAGATTATCTGTTGAAGCAAGCGACGGGAACATAACTGTGTACCAACCATTACAGTTGCTTCAAATGAACTCTTATCTGATGCAGGATCCAATATTGGTGAGACATTGAACAATTTTCTACCACTACTTGCCTGAAAAGGAAACCAAACTTCTTAGAGTTTGCTCAGAGAACAAATCAAATTTTAGAACATCATTTTTTTCTTTCAGAACAAGAGAGAACCTGCGCATTGATTCCAAAGACAATTTTGGATGCAAGACCATCTTTAGCATCAAGAATCCCACTTGGCAATGGGTTATCATAAAAAGGTGAAGCTTCATTATCTAGGAATGAGTACATGTAGCTTGGCCCTAGAGAATAGATACCCTTGACTTGCTCTGATGAAATGGCATCATTGAACAAATAAACAGGCCCAATCTGACCATGAAAAGGAAATGAATCTTGTATAAAGTCAGGGGCATTATCTCCTTCATTTTGTGCCATTTTAGGTTTTGTGCCAATTGAGCAGCTGGTTAATAATTCATTCACTTTCGCATAACTGAACCATAAGGGATGAAATGTCAGGGAAGTTCTATCCATTTGAAGATATATATTAATCTTAAAAAATTTCTAACATAAAACACGATGCATTGTAGATACAAACCTGCATCTTTCAGATGAAACAAGATCACCATCAACATAGCACCTCAATAGGCTACCCCCAGAAAATGCTCTTCCAACACTATGAGTTATACAAAGAAAATGCCATTTCTTTCCCTCTAGATTAACATGCAGCTGAACACACTGTCGCTTTAGATTTACCGACTGAAAAAGACATGAAAAACTAACACTGAGTTAAACCAGCAGAAACCATAACAGCTTAAAGTGTTTTAAAAAAAAAAAAAAAAAAAAAAAAAAAAAAAAAACTGTGACAAGTTAATGTAATAGATTTACTTTATTTGAATGATTCAATACAATGCATCCTCGGTATGGATATAAATAAAGCACCATGAGGAATTTCCTGAGCACAAATTTGTAATATACCTCATATATAAGCTTGTCTTTTGCAAGAACCACCAAGCATCCTCTTCCATTTTCAGTAAGAAAACTAAAAAGGCCCATGGTTCCACTTCTGGGTAAGTTTTCCAGCCTAAGCCAACAAGAAAATGAGAAACCCTTATTGAGAGGCCACTGCAAAGGTGTTTTGATTATGATCCCCTACAAGAATACAGAAAAGATTGACTATTAGCTACAAGAAAGACATTTTTGTCACTGTCTTCCCCTGAGGCAACTCAAACATGAAAAAAGGATACAAAAGGGGTGCCAATTCAACGGAAAGAAAGAAAGATGTTCAAAATGTCCAACTCTTTTTGTTTGGAGTATTAGAAAATAAGCACAGAATTATTGATCTGGTAACATATCCCAGGAACACTAATGTGCTCTGGATAGTGTATTAAAATTATAAAAAGTGCTTTGAGACATTAGACAATATTTCTCCTAGCATAAACAAGAAAATAAAAGGTTATTATGGATCCAATTTCCATCCCCTCACTTTCTGACTGTTGGATATACGGAATACCATTAACAATTCTCACTTGCATTTCTTTACACTGATGCTCATGCTTTAAGAAGCTCCAAAACTTGAATATAACTTTACCACAGTAAGTTTTCATAGTCTTAAACAAGAATAGTTTACTCTTAAATTGTCGTGATGAAGTATATGGACTTACAGAATCATTTCCATTGAGATCAAAAAAGGCAGTTGGCCCCTTCTCATTTAGCATCGACAAAATACTGCTCAACAATAGTGAGCAATACCCTTGCTGCATGCCTATTTTCTCACTTCGGAGGAGTGCAAATATTTTGCGGATATCCTTCCCAGATATGCTATGCCCACCTATGACCTGGATCAATTGGGCAATTTGCAAAATGATGTTATCATTATCTTCTTGAGGAAACCAATCAAGAAGAAAGTGAAGCATTCCAGCTCTGACACATGAAGCTCGATTAGAAATGGAATCCCTGAGCAATTGCTGAAACACGGTAAGCCCGTACTGCCGCAAAGAGTCACTGCTCTGCCCAATCACAAAACAAGTAATGATATACAATGACAAACAATTAAAAAACAAAGTAATTCACAGTGTTGAAAACAAAGAAGTGCAGAATTCAGACAGATGATTAGGGATAAAGAGAAGCAAAACAATCCGGGGGAAATGAATTACCAACCTTCTGTAAAACACTCAGATAGACTATGATCACATCTTCATTCTGAGTCAAAACAGAGGAAGAAAATTACATATGAGAAGCAAGATCATGATGCTCAATCACACAGCCAAAGGTTACACAATACTTAGCATGAATTAGGAAAATATAAAAACGAAAAGGAACAGACTGGTTAATCGTAGTGTATGTTATTTGATAGAGGAAAACTTATGCTAAAATCAAAGAATTTTCTAGAGAAAAAGTCACCTGTACAAGAGGGTTTCTCTTAATATCGAACTTTCCATCAACAAGCATATCTAGCAGAGCATTTAAAAGCCCTTTGGTTGGACGCCATTGGCAAAAGTCCAGCAGTAAATTTTGCAATGTCTGATAACCCTTGCCAACAAGAGCTCTAAATGCAGCCTGCAATACTAAATTAGTTAGCCAATAATTAAAATGGCTAGAAAATGACATGGTGCAACAAAAATGGAAAGGAAAAGAAATATAATTTAAGAACCACTATGTTAGACTAACAACAATAAAACTAACTAAAGGAAACTACTAAACATCATTTTTTTCTTTTTTCTTTTTTTCTTTTTTTTTTTTTTTTTGAAAAGCAAAAATTAAAAAAAAAAAAAAATCCATTGAACAAAACGAAGAACATGTGCAAAAAGGTCAACAAGCTGCTAAAAAATAGGAACAGCTAGCAGAAAAGCTATGGACAACGTAAGACTCGATACCTAAACTCGCAAAAGCAAATACATCAACTTAAAAATGTAAAAACTTGATTTTTTAATAAGAAACTATATAATTAGTATTAATAATGAAAATGAGATAAAGTTACAGAAGTGAACAGATAGATCAATATGAAAAGTAAACCCTAATAGGAATGACCACCTTTAAACAATACAATAAAAAACACATGTCCCAATCCACAATCAATCAGCTCATCCTTGAACCAAATTTTTGCTACGAACACAGAAAACAGCCCAATACTCTTGCCAAATTACGTTAAATAAACAAACAAAAAAATAAAAGAAGAATCTTGAAACTCCATTGCAACTGAAGCCTGAAGCGACACATAAAGATGAACTTAACCCCACAAATTAGCAATGTTCAATTTTTTTTCTATCAGTTAAAAACCAGTTGTTTCTATCTTCCCATTCATTGAAAAAAAGTTAATACTGCAGTTTTTCATACAATCTTGGCCTTCTTCCTTTTCCCATGAGCAAAATTTTTATTCAAAAGTAATAAATCATAATGTACATGGACAGACCAAGCAAGTTTAGCTGCTTTGCAGAACCTAACCCATCAAAAAGAAGTCATTGGACAATGTAGGAAACAGGCAATTTGAAGTCTCTTTGTTTATCTTACAGATTAAACATCAAGCCATAAATAAGTTTGATTTGAGTCAATAATACTCTGCGCCACCCTTAACTTAAATCCCTTAACCAATCATCCAAAATTGGAAAGATCTAAAATAACTGTAAAAACCTAAATGCCTTCAGAATAGGACTTCAAATCCTCAAAATTCTAATTCAATTCAACTCAAAAAAGTTATAACCCCATCAAGTCGAGAAGGTTAATAAATCCCCTTTTACAATCCTCCCCTATGTTTATGTTGGTCAACCACACCTTGTACACAAATCTAAAGGATATAATATGAAACAGAACCTAACCACAACTAAAACTTTTGCAATGAATTCCAATAAGTACAAAAAAGTTTGTACACAAATCTAAAGGATATAATATGAAACAGAACCTAACCACAACTAAAACTTTTGCAATGAATTCCAATAAGTACTGCAAATGACAGCAAAAAAGTTTTAACCCAGCCAAAAGCTACAAATAAAAAAATATAAGCAAATTTATTGTTACCATTCCACTCTAAAGAAGATTGAAAGACTACTACAGCATACTAAAGCAGTATTGGATCATTCAATTACGAAGAAAATGTAGAAAATCATGAATCGTTTCAAATTTTCTATGACAGTTCAAATAACCAGCAAAGAAAAATAATGAACAGTGTCCTGAAAAGTTATATTCAACCAGTTATTAACCTTTGAAAGACAATCAAACAAAGCAACATTCAGTAATCTGCGAAATAATAACATAATAACAATCCAACAAAAACAAGCGGCATATACCTTTGAGGCATCACTACTTGAAAGGAGACATGTGAGTGTTTGAAGGACGTTTAAAACCAACTTTTCTCCATTTGCCTCATCAAGATTACCATTTAGCAAAGAGACAACATGCAAAAAACATTCTCCATCACGAAACAAAGCCTGATAGTACTGAAGGAACAAACACTCAGTTAGACATAGAAATATCCAAATTTCAAAGAGCCAGCTTGTAGCAGGCAAAAAAATAGCAGGATAATATACCAATCGATCATTAGAGATCATATCTCGCATTCCAACCAATAGATCAATTGACAGTGCTGCAAAACTTTTCTCCCGTTCCTTTATATGAGTAAACATTTCTAAATACTTTGAACATAATTGCAACATTGCTGTTCGGTCTTCATCAGTCAATGGCACAATCTGAAAACATGGACAAAGGAAGGGCATATTTTGTTACAACAGCATGTTAATCATATGCTAAATATAAAAGTATACTTGTTAAAAGAAATACCTTCATGAGGTCAAGAATATACTTAAGCACATTATTTCTCAAACTTTCCTCCCAGAATAAATCAAATAAGCAGTCAATACATGATGAATTATGCAAAACCAAACTTTTTGCATCATCTGCTATCGACCAGAACTCCATAAAGAGGTCCATGCACGCTTCCATGCATTGATGCCAGCTCTGGGCTGTCTCACAGGAATCAGATATCTGATAACTATGAACAGAAGGACTTCTATTGCCAGACCTCCTAGATTCTTCAGCCTGGATGCAAGCAACTTTAAGCACCCGGGGAACTGCATCAAGAGTTTTAAAAGAAGAGATAGTTTTCTCGGCTGAAAGCTGTAATATGCGAAGCAGACTCTTTGCAAGAACACCAGCAATCTCAGGATTATATGCAGATTGTTCAAGGGCATCTAATAAAGCAGAAGATTCGGGCTGCCAGAAAACGAGGAGAAAATAAAGTAAGCAAAAATCCCAGAAAAAAGATGATTGCAGATTTTGCTTCAATGACTAGAAGGGTGAGCAACTATGATGAAATGAGAAATACACTCTAGGAAACTACTTCAAAAAGACAATGCTGGAAGCTGTGACAACCATGCTCAACATTACAGACGCACAACCTATAGTCATGCATACATGTGTGTATGTATACATATATACAAGACAGGAGAATGTTCACCTTTAGAATATTTCTCTTTTCTTCATTATAAATAATCATGATCTTGTATTGAGTTTAGTTTGATGTTAGTTTTTTCTTTTTTCTTTTATTCTTTTTTTGGTTTTCAATCTTCTGGTATTAGCAATGGGATACTGTTTACTGTTTATATTTACATATAAAAAATAAAAATAAAATAAAAAGTGGTACCCTTTTTGGTCACCTCCATTGTATTTTCCCTCAGTTCAAAGCTTAAACACTATCATATAGCCCTTACCTATAAGTTTAAACTTTAAGGTCAAGTAGTAGCTAAATGTGGTATGAAAGCCAAGTTGAATAAGTGATCTTGTGTCCAAGTCCCCCTATTAAATCAAAAAAATAAAATAAAAAAGCAGTACTTCATGATTATGATTGTTTTATGGTTATGGTTATGGTTATGTTTGGTCCACATGCATGTGCATGCAAACGAGTGTCCAAGTTTTTAACTTTTACTGTTTGGCCCTTACCTAACTTAATACTACCTTTTTAAATTGAAAAGTAACTATGCTCCTTATGATATAAGAAGGAAGGGATGGAAGTATGCCACCTCGAAATAGAGAAATGCTGATATACGTGTAGATAGCATGTGGCAAGGAATATTCCACTTAGTAGTGATGTTAGAAACAAGTCAATTAACTATAATCAATTAAACTAGACAGATATATGATAATTTGCAGCCAATTGGCCACACTTCTATAAAGTGTAATATAACATGAACAACTTCTTGCTCTAAGACAAAATAATATCAACAATTTTCTTGCTTTCCTTGTTGAAGCTCACCTTATATCCATAGCAGACCTAAAATCCATTTTAAAGTCCCCACTTGAATCTCAACTTATTATCATGAGGTATTAAATATTAAATACTAACGCAGGATTTGTTCCTGTAAGCTTAAATTTATGGGATTGATAATGTTTCGACATGATATCAAAATCAGGTTAAACCTAAGCTCCTCTATTTACATCTTCATGTCACATCACATCAATTAATTTATTACAAATAATAAAGGGTCCATGGTTAAATCCACATGTATTATAGTATTTGTTTGAACCCACATGACAAGTGCTTAATTTAAATTTGATCTAGCAAATTAAGCTTTGGGAATTAACGATACTTCAACATGCAGACTAAATCTACATCCATGTTAAATTAAAAACGAGATGAAACACGTAAAACCTAATGAAGAAAGGATATTTTGCCAATGAAAAAATAACATACCAAGTTATGCACAACCCCGATAGAAGTTGCAGCAAATTCAACCAATGAAATTATTTCCATTTGAAGAACTTCAACTCCACTAGACCTTGCGTGACTGTATGAACTATTGGAGGTAGAATACCCATCACTATATGAGCAACACTCTTTAGAAAATTCCTCTAAAGCCGGCACAAAATAGAAAAAATTCTCAGAGAAGATAAGATCCCATATTCCCTCTTCCCGAAATACTTCTAGTGAAGCAGGAAACGAAACAAGAACTCTCCGAAATGCATTAAGAAGACAGTGCTGCATAGTAGTGACAAAGATCCTGCAGAAAAAAATTTAATGATAAAGGGAAAAAGAATTAAAGAAAAAGGGAAGCCAAGACAAACAAGAAAAATGAATAAGAAGCAAGCAGGATCCTTATCAAAGCTACCATAGATTCCTCAACAAAAATATTTATAATACTTCACCTTAAATGACTTGGCAACTCATTTTCATTTGAACAAGCCTTGATGCATGGAAAAACTGTAAGAAGAACCCTCATGACCCATTTAATTGAAAGGTCACCATAGACTGAAGAAACAAGTATGCCAACACGACTAGTGGTTCCTTGGCCATGATGAGATTTAACATCATCTGTTGCGAGGAAAGAACAAAGAACTCTGCTCAACTTGACAACATAATCACTCCAAAGCTGAGAATAAGAAGCATTTTCTGAAAGTCGAACAGAAGGCTCTGTTATGCGCCTTCTCACGTTCATCAAGTCAAAATCAGACATCGGAAAATCATCTTGAACATGCAAGTCCTTTCTCTGCTGCTTGTACTCTTGCACCATGAAAGCAGGTGAACAAAAACTATTTGCAAATTTATGAACTCTTCCATTTTCACAAAGAAACTGCAAATTGTTCAAATTCCCAAAGCTGAATACTAGTTAAGGGTTTCACTAATTGGTAGAATAAAATTTACAACACTGATGGTAAGCTGAGGACAAAGACTGAGCATTAAAGTGAAAGCTTGGGGAATAATTAAAAGTAAGTTGCTCAGGATTGCATTGAGCATATCAAAGCTAAATAAACATTGCACTATCCTTGCAAAACTAGGGGTCCCCAATATAAAAGACAGCATTAAAGTGGAAGCTTAGCCAGACAGAACATATATGTATAGCGTGATCCAAGCAGCAAGAGTATAACATGCACTTAACTAATTCCAAATTGCATGAAAATCAAAAGTTTCATTAGTGAAATGAATGCTTGAGAAGCATGAAAAGTTAAGTTTCTTAAATTCAATAGAATGCAATACAAAGGATACACTGCATCTCTAAGAACTTCCAGAGAAAGAACATGGAGCTGCAAAATTTGTGGCAAAGGATTTTCACCTCTGCATAAAATTTAAAACACTACATTAGAATGAGGAAAAAAAAAAAAAAAAAGAGTGATACACATAAAGAGGGAAAAAGTAAAGTCAAAGAGTGTAACCTAAATAGAAGCATAAATGTAAACAAAGCCATTAGAATGTTCCATTAGTGGAAAAAGAATGAATTACAAAAAACTAGAAATTAACATGCACAGCTTGCGATTGGCAACAGCTACAATGGATAGTTTAAATATCCATGTTGGCAACAAATCAACTCCAGTAGAGTCTCCAAATAGTCTCAAATTCAGAAAGCCTACCCCATTGGATTAGTTTGGAATCACCATGGGCTTACAAGTTGAGGTCTTTTGAGATATAGCTCCTCAAACCATGAAGAAATTATGTATAATTGCAAAAGTTTCTTTGGTTAGACTTGTGAATATTGAATTTTCAGGCAAACAGTTTCAAAGAGTTCAATCATTTCATCAACTTCATCTCAACTATTGAACTGTAAAAGCAGCACAGTTCAAAGAATTAATTTCATAATGTTCATCAATAACTTTGCAATGTTTGCTAACAATCCACAATCCAGGCAGTACCAAGGTATAAATTAACCATGTGATGCAAGCTTAAAAAGTAAATTTATATACCTTTTCATATCCACATGAGTGTCATTTTCCATTAGTAGAACATTAGTGGATGGTACTCCAAGGCCATCCAATAGAACTTCAAGCCCTCCAATGCTTTTAAAATGATTTTGACCCCTTGGGTTCTCTGATAAAGCTAAACGAAGGGTTCTCAAAGTCAAGCACTGGAGTGATATATCTATCCACAGTTCTTTCATACTCAGCCTTCTGATGACACGCAATAGCTCTGCAATACATGAAAAGCTTCTGTCAACAATTTGATAAAAAAATTCCAATAATAAAGAAAAATTAAAAAAAATAATAATTGCAAAAGAATAATCATTACAGGAAGTGATACTTTAGTAAATTTAAGAAATATTACACAAGAAATGCATCAACAATAAGTCAACTATTGTAAATCTCCAGAGAAAAAATCAGGGTGCTAGTCCAAGAAGCTTGAAATCCATCTTAATTTTCAGAGAAGAAAGTCTATTCAAGGTTGGAGTTTGATCAAGGTCACCTTCTGGTCTAAAATCCAAGTCATTGTCCATGTGAAATATATTGGGCAAAAAAACTGAATTAAAAAAAAAAAAAAAAAAAAAAAGGATAATACAAACAAATGTATAATGATTTAATTTTTTCACAATCTTGGCATTTGAATCTTCAGAAGTCAATTTTAAGTGCACAGTTATTGCACAAAAGCAAAGTGAGTAACGAATCAAAGGTCAAAACAATAATTCACCAAAAAAAAAAAGTTCCTTTAAAATATAAATAATTGTAATTTACAAGATAATGTCACTGCTATGCAGATATAATTTTTCTGTATGCATAACCAATTTAATAAACAATAATACTATATTTACAAAGAAATCTTACAAAGATTTTCATACAAAATGAGGTGGCAAAAAATGAATGGAATAGTGAAATAAAAAGTTAAACTCATTAAATTCACTCTTCCATTTATTTTTTGTCACATTACTTTATATAGAGATCTTTGTAAAAAAAATTTGTAAGTGTAGTATTACTCTTTAATAAATGAAATAGAAACTAAAATTTCCTACCTTACCTACTAACCAATTAAGGCCCCCAGCTTCCATCAATGACACAACAGCTTTCTTATGCCAATTTAGCCTTGTTTCAGAAAAAGGAACCTCCAAATTAGTAGAAGAATCACTTGAAGAAACACCTTGCCTTGGAACAGAAAACTCTATGGTATTATTATACAACTGCGCCTTCTCATTTACATTTGAATTCAAATCAATGAAGCTACACATTATTGACACCACATAGACAAGTATTTTCTGTAAAAGTCTAGTCTTCTCTACTGTAAAATTAGAAAAACTTTCATCGGCAGAAAGTGCACCAGCTATTGTTTTGAGTTGAATAACAACCCCTGAAATAAACAAAAATGAGAATGTAAAAATGGAGAATGTGAATATAGATTTTAGGTACTATTAGACCCATAATAATGCTAGACACAGAGATAAAGATGAGAAATCAAAGATCAGGACCCTTCATTTATAAAGATTGATCACAGAACAATATAACAGTTTAGATAATTAAATGGGCATTGAAGTCCACAGACATGAAAATAAATTGAGGTACTATGAAAAACAACAATGTCAGAGGAAACTTGGATATCAGCTTTCAAGGTCTAGAGAGTGATAAGTAACCACTCAATGTAAAAGCTTAAGCTAATAAATAAGGCCCAACAATAATATTTAAGCTCTAACACCTTTCCCACACACTAGCACATGGACGAACATAACCACAACCTATCATTGAATCATAATAACAAACACAACTTATTATAATTTGATTAGTATAATAGTGGGATTTGAAGATAAGATTGCATGGTCAAGTTAACCATGACACTATGTTAAATAACCACGTGACCTCAAAGCAAAAGCTGATAGGTAAAAGCCCAATAAGAGTGTTTAAGCTTTAACAAAGAATTCATCGCAAAATCTAATCACAAGTAAATAAAAAATCTTTTATCAATAATCCAAACTATTAAAGTCAAAAAATGCCAATATCTACAGGGCAAAAGGTGATGAAAAAAATCCTACCTTTCATCAACGCTGTAAGTTTGTGAATCCCACCATAGTAGCCAAAAACTCTGCAATTATGCATCGAAAGGATAACAATATTCAAAGCATCCAAGACAAGAAAAGCTTCAGAAGTGCTGGTCAAGCTTGTGGAAGACTCTCGTAAGTCTAGCAACAATCAATAAGGGCAAATTTTAATACAGCTTAAGAGCTTGGCATCAAAAAATAGGGGAAAAACAATCATAAGAAATAATATATAAAACAAAGTAACCCCATCTCACTATACTTCACAATATTAAATCCCAAAATGTGTGCACCTCGTTTCATGAAAATATCCATATTCAACCTTGAATACCCATTTTATAACAAAATCAATTTAGGTAAATCCAAAAGAATCAACAATCCAGAAAGTGCCTGTAATAAATTTATCAATTCAATGCACTGGAGATTCCCCTTTTCACCCAACCTTAAGTAATCTGTCTATAACCAAACTGCTACACAACAAAATAAATATGAACTTACTCTCAGTGACAAACGTAGTCAATCGTGTGATCTCTTCAATTAATGTCAAAATGAGTTCAGCAGGATGTCCAGCTGAGCACCCAACAACTATATCATCATAATGTAACAAATCCTCTGCAGGTTGAACAGTTGTTGAAGAAGCCTCTGACAACTGATGACCACCAACTGGTTCCCAGTTCTTGAATACAATAAGAAATTGCTTGAGAAAAACATGAAACAACTTTCTCTTTTCCACCTAAAATTGAATAAATTACAGAGCAAAAGATACTTGTATTAGTATGAATATAATAATTATGCTTAACAAAAAGCGATGAGAACAAACACCATACAACTAGCACAGCAGATTGAAATCAACACAAGGAGGAATCAGTAAAAGGATTCAGGCCGAGTCTAGATAGGACAATCTTTACCAGGGGACATCACAAAAATAACATTTCTACCCAAACCTTACTGATGTAGTTATCTTAGGCTTGGCAAGCTGCAACGTAACAGGCTTACGTTATGGCCAATGCATTGAAAAATGTGTTTTTTTTTTCCTTCTAGTAAATAAAGTACATTGAAATAATCAAAAAAACTTTAGTTTTTTTAATGGCTTTAACATGTGCCCTGAGAGCACATACATTGAGACGACTCTAATCATATGAGAAAATCATGATACATCTCACTCACTGAAGTTGATTTCTTTTCAGTTGGGAGGAACTAAAGAAAATCCCTGCAGAGACCTACTCACATATGCTACACATAGGGATAGGTAATAGAACTTGTCTTGCTCAATATTTTGACTTTTATCGCTTCAATTATGTTTTTTTTGGGAAGCTTTAAAGTTTCCTTATTGGTGTAGTTGAGAGTTCCCAAAAAAAAAAATCCTTATTGGTGTAGTTGAGAGTTATGTTCTTGTTTATGACATGCACATAAAAAAGGCTTATACTCTGTGTTTAAAGCACGTACTGATTACTAAAAATAACTATAGACATTTTCCAACTCTCCCCCAAAATCCTAATTCTCATCTTTACCATAAATTCTTCTATCTTTCTTTTCTTACCCCTCATTGTTATAATCAGTTACTCTTGGGATCAGAAAACATGTACCATTGGTCATTAAGCCATGTCCCAACCAAAATCCAAGCTTTAGACAAAAGCAACATGGGAATTAACTTAATGGGAGGAAAAGGGAGCAGTCTTTTGAATTTTGCGGTTTCAAAACTAGGTAGAGAGGAGGTAAGTGATTCATATATGGACTTGAAAGTTGAGGACAACAACAATTGCAGAGTCATGTATGGAACTAATTTTATCCATCATAACAAAGGAGAAAGGAAATTGAACCTCCCAATGAAAAGCCCAACTATTGAGTACAGGAGAAGCAAATAAATAGAGTTTGGGAAAAAGATTCTTAAATGAAGCAAAATGTCAAATGCACTAAAATGTAAATGTATTTATCCTAGTTGGGTAGTTTTCTATTTCAAAAGAACAACGCATCTTTCAAGTAGTGTTATTCTCTTCTTGCTAAGGAAAATTTATAAATTCATCGTTTTCATCTTAATGAAATGTCAGCCCAGATTGGATATTGCTTTATTTCATCATATTAATAAAGCATCAAAAAACAAAAGAAAAAATGTACAACCTAGCCTTAATGAAGCTCAAGACCTGCAAAATCTGAAATTGAAGAATTTGATTATAGTTAAAGTTGATGAACACCATTAATTTTGTTTATACCTCCTCTCTATATACTTTGTTCCCCTTTTTATTTTTACCTCTTCCTATTAAACACAATAAGAACTCCGAAGGATTGTAATTATATACAACAGACTGTGTTTTTCTTCCCAGAAAATTACCTTATACCTTTCCATTTTTGGAGTAAACTACAAAAAACAAAGCACATATAAATGCAGTTTGTCGAAAGATAAACCTCTCATACTATTAATAAGAGTTGCCTTTGTTTCTTAAAAATATCTGCAGCATCCACTTATAAAAGCTAGACAAGTTAACATTTTTGAACTGTAGAAGAAATTTTAAAGTAAAAAAATATCCTGACATACCTTATCAGTAATGCTCTCATATCTCTCCCAAAGAGTATTTAGTACTGCCTGATCACCTACTTCACTGCAAAGTAAAGTAAAAAAAAAAAAAAAAAAGTGTGATAATCCAATAAAGTAATCATGACTTTCTGTCATGTAGATGTGAATTCTACAAAGAAACCAAAAACAAAAGAACATTGTTCATCAGCACCCAAATGCTGGTGTACAATAACTAATGTATAATCACCCACAAAAGAAGTACAGCAAACCTCTCACTGAATAGCTCATAACTTGAATAAATGTATCAATTCCACTAAGTATAAGGAAATCAAATCATACATCATTAATTGACTGAAATTCACTTCATATTTCAAGTGCCATACAAATATTTTTTATCTTGATGTCAATGAGATATGGATAAAGAGACTGCATATTTAAGCACAGAGCTGTGTTCCCCCATATAACTAGTATGACCTCCAGAATTAATGCTGAAGCAGTAAAGAGAGTTTATTGACAAGCTTTGTAAAATTGTCACTAAAGAGTTAAGCCAAAGACATGAATCTACTAAGAACTGGATGATATTACCTTCTTGCAATTCTTAATAAGCAAGGTTGACAATGTAGCGTGGCATGAAAAAAAAAATTCTACTTCCAAGAATTCTAGCATTATCTATGAAAACCATCAAGTACAAACAAAAATCAGTAACTTATACTTTTCTTAAGAATTTATAGTTACCTGTAGCGGATCTTCGGAGGAGGAGGAGAGAACCTCTCATGTTGTATCCCCGAAGAGGACTCCCCGGTGGAGCCACCTGATGTTCTCCGAATGAGGTCAGCAACACCCTTTACGATGTTCATGCTTTCCCACCAATATTGATCAAATATCAAGACTTCATAATACAACTAATTGAACAAAATGTTCCATCACTCCAAATTTCCTGTTCTCATAACGCGTAAGCCACTGTTAAGACTATACTTGAGACCATTGACATACAAAATTACTTTTTCAGTCATGCTCTGTTTGGTAGCCAAGAAATTAAATGAAAAACGAAGGAAATTAGACAAATGATAATAATAGAAAAACAAATCAACTTTTTTCTTTCCATTATGTGAACGTGACATTTCATTTAATGAAGTATTAACAATATGAACATTGAAATTTCGATTTAAAATTAATCCTTAAATATAAAATTATCAACAAAAGAACACGTATCAAGAAATTCCCAAGCGATCAAAAAGAAGCCAAGAAGTAAACTTTTCAGAGAGTCAAACGCACACAAAACGCACCCTTTTAAGCGCGAATATACGATTAAAGATTTAGAAACTTGAAATAAAGAAATTATACAAAACGCAATGGTATCGATTGCCTTAACTCTTGAAATTAGCGAAAACTGTCTCAACTTATTGATGATAATAGAGTTTGAGAATTGAAATGGCTTGTACCTGATCAGATCACGTGGCTCCAATACTCTGTCTGAGTTCTGGGGTTTATGATGTGAGATCTGAAATTAAATCTTATATTCTTTTTTTCCCCGTTTCAGAAGCTTCTTCTCCAATGGCTTCAGTGGGAATGAAATGAAAGATGTAGTACGTGAATGCAGAGTCAGACAACACGATTAAGGATTTATATTATAAATTTCACCCCGAGAGTTTAAAAATTTTCCGTATTGCCCCTGGTGCTGAGGTTAATCAGGTCGGTGTTTTATTTGTTACCGTTGCACTTCACAAACACTAATCTTTCCGTAGACGACGTCGTTTAGAAGAAAACCATAATCCACCCCGAGGCCGCCTCAGTGAAGTAGCCTGGCAACTTATAGTTGTATTCACTGAAACGGGCAAGGCACTTCCTGGGCCGTTTAGCTCAAGAGGCCCCAGGCCCGTCAGTGAAGCCCATGGGCTGATTCGGTCAGGAAAAGAGTTCTTGAAGCCCAAAATTAAAAATTAAAGTAGGAAATTTAAATTAACATAATACAAAACTATCCCCAAATTTTAAGAATTTAATACAGGATGAATAAAATGGCATAACATACTTTTATTAAAGATAATAAAATTTTAAATTAATAAAGACACATTGTGCTATCTCAAAAAAATCATAATTAATTAAATATTTGCTACAAAACTAAACTAAAAAAATGATATATATTAAATAAACATGATATGTGAAACTGAATTAAAAAAACTAGATAATGTATAAAAAAGTATTATACAACAATTAAATTTGAATCAATTAATGGTAATAAGATAATTATACTGAAATAATTAAAGTCGTATTGTTTAGTTATAATTTGAATAATTTGTTGCATCTCACTATACGAACGTTCTATGTTAGGGCGCAATTCGGTGGAGTTTTATTGATTAAATGACTTGTTTATAGCATAAATGAATTTTATCACATAAATAAATGGATTCATGACATCAAGAATTTTAGGATATATGTTTGAACCACTGTTTTAAAACCCGACCCAACTTCGTTGGTTTAACTGGTCTAACCGGAACCCAAGGCCTTTGCCGGGCTAGGTCACCAATTTCAACTGTTCACAACCCGAAAAAGCAAACCCTAAAGAGGAGGACGGCAATCAATGAGCAAATAGTTGTGGGGTTGTTGGGGTTTTGGAGAGGAAGTACCTGCGAGTTGAAAGGTGACGATAAAGCTGATTTCTGGTGAGTGAGTGACCGGAAAAGGCAAAAGTCGTGCGGCCAAAACATCGAGTTGTTTCTTGTGATTGACGGGGCGAACAAAGGGGTGAGATGGGTTTTGGTCAAAAGGCTGAGGGAAGTGTTGTCGACATCAGGAACATACTCTATTTGGCCTGGGTTGTTGACGTCAACGATGGTTTTTTTGCGGCAAAATGGTTCGATTTCGACCAAATCTTAGGTAGATTCGCTAGGAAATAGCTCAAAGATGAGTGGGATTTGCATTTGGTGTGTTGCCACTACCAACCAATCGATTGGTAATTTGCATTTGGGGAGTGTTTGCTAAATTTTAAACTTGTAGTTATTGATGTGTGATTTTTTAGGGGTGTGTTTGCTAGATTTCAAACATTTGGACATATTGACGTCATCGGTTTGACCCGCCAGTCAAACCGGTTAAACCATTCAACTCGAGACCTAGCCACTTTATCGGGTTTCACCCCAAATCAGTTATTAAAACACTAGTTTCAACTTAAACCAATAATATGTTGATAATTGTGTTTAAACATATGGATAATAACTCATAATTTAAATTGTAACTTACGTGGTTTAGGTAACATATTCCATTTGTTTAAACCTTCAAAATAGTTATTTTCTCTTTCGATATCCATCCTCGATAGTATCGTAATAGTATAATCCCAACTCAATTCAATACCATGGCATCTCAATTCTTTGGCAAGCATCCTATTATAATTTATAGGGGATGCAATTTGAATGTTTGATGGTATATGGTCAATGAAAGCACCTTATAATACTCATTGCTTGCCAAATAAAAAGAATAACATCGTCATATTTCAGTGGGTAATTAGAAGGGTCTCATACATGTCTATAATTTGGAAACCAAAATCAATAAAAATACGAGATGTCCACTTTAGAATATATTCTAATCACTATAAGCATAAATTTATTTAAGTTAGTAGATTTTGGGTCATCTTAAGAATCGGGATTACAAAACAACCAAAATTAGTTGACAGCACACTACCGGTTTTGGAAGTTGTGACCAAGAAGAGATTAAAGGCCCAGCTACCACTAATCTCCCAATGCAACTTTCTTTAGAATAGTATTTAAAACTTATGTCTTATTGGTTCTCTTTTCAATTCAAGGTATTTAATTATATAATTTGAGTAATAAATAATTGGTGTATGAGATCATGTGTCCCCATTGGTATGTTGACTAAACCTTACCAACTAATTGGATTTTCTAGACTATCATAAGTAAGTCGTTGCAATTAGAATAACACGATTGGTGTATGTAGATAAGGACAGATAAGAATTAAAAGAGAGGGGGGAATAGACTTATTCTAATTGATGTTGCAACCACTTTGGGTTATATATATACCTGCTTTACCTTAATTGATAAGTTCACATATACATCCATACTACTATTTTGGTTTGCTTCTGAAAGAGATTGGTTCCCTTTAATATATTCAGATCATATGACATGGGCATCTCTCCCTCAGAATAAAAAAATTTATTGACCAAGAAATTAAAGTACCGTTATGTTGATATAATAAGATGAAAGTCTGCAACGGCGTCAAGGTCAAACTAATGACCACATTAAGTGTAAATGTAAGGGTGGCTAAAATTAAGCCATAAAAATAACTTTTACAAAAATTAAACCATAAGTGGACATATGAATTAGCTTGTCGAATCATTTTAAAAATGTCATTTTTGTTTTATTTATTATTTTTAATAGGTTTTGATTAATTACATGTCTATTGATTCCAATTCTGTCAAAATTAATTGGATCACTCTAATTGTGCGAAATTCCGTACCAACAAGTGAAGACTAAAGAGGAGACATTGATCAATGGCAAAATTAATCAATTAATGCAAAAATATATATAAATACCAACTAAAACGTAACGGTGTCGTACGAATGGTTCACGCATTGAGTTAAAAAAATATGGTGGAAGGAGGGTCCGATTCATTTTTGAAAGTTGGAAGCCTAATATTGGAATATGATTCGTTCTTAGTTTTAATATAACATGGCATCATTGTTCGCATTTCATAACAAAATGTGAAAGTAAGATCTTCATCTGCCCAATAGTCATTGAAGATGGGACTTGGGTTGGGAAATGGAATCCCATTGGAGTTGTTTATTTGGACGAAGTTACAAAAGGCTAAAGTCGAGAAAAATAATTTTCGTAAACGTTGGTCCCACCTGCGGTTCTTTGTCTTTTAAGTTAGTTCTAATGAGGTAGGCCACCCCTCCATTACTGTATAAACTAATATTTACTCGATTTTATTTTACCTATAAAATAATAACTTATTCTACACCGCCTCCCATCCTTCATTTCAATTACATAATTATTCTAAGTGTTTTCTGTCAACGTATAATCAAAGTTTTGTTTTAGATAAAATAAATACCTATATCAATTGCAGAATCTCGGCTTTTATATATTTGGATATTTTAAACGTGAAGTACATAAAATTTAACCCTAAACCATCATTGCCAAGTTAATTGTAATGAAACTCGTGTATTTACTATTTTTTTATTTATATATTATATAGTGTTTTATATTATATAATACGGCATGCCAAACATACGGTATTAAATTACTTAGTAATATATCATACTCTTTTACATATACTAACCATGCCTTACAATATCACAGATAATATAGAATCTGAGTTATTGGAAAAATTTTATTTCAACAGTTGAATTTTGTCGAGCATTTGAAATAGTAATGACTCCAATTACCCGTGTTGTGGTCACGTCAGGTTGCTTATTATAGTTATATATTAAAATATCATGTTATTGTTTGGATTCAAACAATTCAACTTCATTTTATGATTGGGTTTATGTTCAATGTAAATATAAATATTCTTCATTTGTACAAGATATCAATCGTATTTATGTGCTTTCTCATGATAAATCAAACAATAAATATAACAAATATTATGTTATCATTATAATCATTGCTTCCTGTAATTAAAATAGTTTGATTTGGTTATTTAATTGATAGTTGATAGTATTATTCAATACATTTGAAACTGTAAAATTATAGCATTGATTTTGATTAAGAAATGTACAGAAAGAATTATACCCCACAAAACAAATAATATTACAATTATATCGATGCCTTGGTTATAGAATATATAATAGCTTAAGAATAATAAAATATAAAATAATTACATACGAAACGAGTCATTGATTCAATTATAAACGATATTTCAAATCAAAATTCAAAAGTTTAAATTCTCCCTTCTTTATATTATTATAATAAAACAATGGTTTATTAAAAATTTAAATTATAATATTTCAATCCATTAGATGTTAGTAATTATTAATTAAAATAAACAAAACAATATTACATATGATTAAAAATACCATTACTTGTTATAATAAATGGATTATATTATTTTACCTAACAGTGAATTATAAAGAAGTATCATAATCATAAAGCTACGTATAAATCCCACGTGCTTTAGGGCATCTCCAACCCAACGTCATTTTGGTGATCCCACCTGCTTTAGGGCATCTCCAATCCAACGTCATTTTGGTGAAAAACACTAAAATGATATGAAAAATGTGCTTCAACCCAACACAAAAAACTATATTAAATTAGTGTTAGTGAATAGTACACACCAAATTTGATGTAACACTGTTCATCTATACTAATTCGGTGTGGCACTATTCATAAACTATAAAATATATTTTATTTTTTTATTTTTGTTATTTGTATTTATGTTAATTTGATTATTATTTATAATAATAAATTCATAATATAATTCAAAAAATGATGAGAATTTAAAAATAAAACTTGATTCAACGCAAATATTAAATTACAACAATTCAAAATAAAAATTAATACTAATTTAGAAACACTAAAATCAAAAGAAAATACAACATAAACTAAAATAACAATTTATTATTCTGATAGATTAGTTCTAAATCCTCTAAGATCATCAAAATACTATAAAGAACCATAACTATTTTGAGATCGGCTTTGTTGTTGAGTTATTTTTTGCATAATTCTTGATTGTTCATTTTGAAAAAACTCACGTAGACTTTGATAGGTTATGGAATTCAAATCCTTGAATAAAATGTAATGTTTATTTGTGACATTTTATATTAGATGTAATATTTTTTATATTAAATGTAATGTTTATTTTATTAAATAAATGCTTAATTTTATTAAATTAGTATAATTTTTAAAGTAAATATTATTTAATAAAAATATCATTCATAATATTTAATTAATATATAAAATAAATTAATTATTGATTATTAATAAAAAAATTATAAAAAATATTTTTTTATGTGTAATATTTGATACAGTAAATTAAAAATGAAATAATAATTAAAAAAAACCCACAAATTTGATGCCAAAGTTAGGCTAATTTTATGTTTGTTGTTGGAGAAAGTCTTAGTGGAGTCTAATCAATTGTACGATGTTTGATGACTCTGACCTTAATTAGTCGTAATCTAAGGACCCGGGTGTCCATATTAAGAGGCCATTCGATTTTTTTATATGCTACGCGGCACGTGCTCGGGCCTTCAATTTCTATTATATTTTGACTATCGCTCACCTGATTGTAATGAATAATTGTGTGTGTCCAGTAATCATGCACTTGTTTTTTTAAAACAAAATATTCAAATTAATTATTTATATTTTTATTAGGTTTTATTGCTTTGATGTTTACTTTGATATTTTAATTATTTTTAAGTGTAATTTTTATAAATGTTAAAATTATTTAAACATTTTTTACATAGATTTAATATATTTATATATATAAAAGTTACAATTAAAATATTAATCTAATAATATTTTTGGACCGATATTCTATTATGATCTTATTCTGTCAAATAATACTTAATAAGTTTCCAATTCAGTAAGAGAGAGATAGATAATTAAACACTCGTACGATGAGTTTGAATCCAACAAGTGTTAGTAAAATTCAAATTAAATTTTAATGTTGACATGGCAATACATGAATTCAAATAAAGACAAGTTGCATAGATAATTGATATCCATGTTTCTATTCTCGGCTACTGTTTTCTATAGGTTTTTAGGCCAAAATTTGACAATATATACTTTGAAATTTAAACAATTAGACCTCTATAGCACGCTATAATTATTATAATTTTTTGCCAACAATAGATTGACAAACGCACAATAATGTATATATTAAGCCATTTTTTTAAAATACAAAGACACCATACTTTGTATTAACAAAGATCTCTCCTCTAAAATCTCATCCACTCATCTCGCACCACAAAAGATATGCCATTTGTCACCTTTTAATGTTATTTTAAAAAGCATAATTAAGGGAATTAAAAAAAAAAAAAAAAATCCTTACATTCACACTACACTCATCAAATGGTTTGATACAATTAGTACCGGGCGCATTAAATCACTTCCCTTTGTATACAAGTGATACTTAAAAGAAATAAATTAAACTTAGCTTGGTTTGCATTTCAAGAAAGTGGGTGAATTTTTTTGCGGTTATTGTCTGCTTATCTTTTTATAGAAATCAGCAGTGCTGGAGATCTGTGTGTGTTCAATATATTTCTTATGCTTTCTTTAAATGGAAATACCTTTTGTTTATTGTACAATAAACCAACCACTTTAAGTCCAAGTGGGGGGTTTATTTATTCAGAAAATCCACCAATTAAAAACTAAACTTATGTGCTCCATTAGTAGGCCTAGTAGGGTCGACGCTTTAATACAAAAATATTGGACCAACCGAATATATAATGTCCAATCACATAATTAGTGCACCTATAAAGTAAGTTCTAATATATATATAAAAACAAAAACACTTGAAAGTATCTCTCCAAATTAATCATACTGATGCAAACTATGATGATTTGTACGGCGTTTAAGTTTAACACGAGGACCACGTTTTTTGCTTTTATTAATCACAACTAGTACACGGTTTTAGACTTTTAGTACATTGAACTGAGCACAAAACTGTCCAATGACTGATGATTACTTTATTATAAAGATAGACTACTCCAGAAGCTCTGCCTTTTGATGGAGTCATTCATAGTTTTCTGGCTCGCCTAAGTCTAACACTTGGGATGCTTTGCTGGGCTACAAAGACTCGTATTGCAGTGCATTTTATTATTTTAGTACCACTTAAAAAAACAAATAAATTATAAACTGAAAATGCTTTACCCAAAACAAAATCATGACCAGACTTGAATAAAAACTAGATTTAGTAGCTCATCAGGTGAACTCTCAGTCTCAGAACCAAACTATGCTGATTTCTCGGCTATAAAAACAAATTGATCATCTCCAAAACCGGATTTATCAGCTCCATCAGGAATTAATACACATTGTCATCAGCTCTCATGGCTATTCAGCTCAGTTTCTTCAGAAGGAAGCAGAAATGAAGTCATTAAAAACCCAAATGGCATCGCTTCAGCAGGAATATCTTAAGCAAAAACTCAGACAACCACAGACTTTCCCTGAAATGTCCTTAGTACCAAATCCTTTCGATTCCACAATAGTATAGCCACAACCCTCTTTTTCTCCTTTCCCAAAAATTAGCCAACCGTTGGTCTCACCTCATATACCTTCTGGTGCTTTTCAAGCTTTTGACAACACTGAACAGTTATATGCCAAGCTCCGCAAAGAATGTGATGAAAAGATCAAGCTGGAACGAGAACAAAAGAAGCGAGAAAAGTATTCTGCTAGACCGCAGACCCCATCTGCTGATATTCCTGACTCTTTCTCTTCCAGTCACTCAGATCCTCCATCTCCTAAGCCTCATCGTCCTTTATCTAAGGATAAGGCTCCAATGCACATAATAATGATGGAAGACCGCCAACCTTTTGCTAATCCTGACTCTTCAAAAAATCCCATCTCTTCCAATTTTATGAGCTCTTTTTTTAGAGACATGGCAGAAAGACAACGTCTTGCCACCTCGGGTCTTTCTCAGGATTCTCTATCTACCTTCCAAACAGAATCAGAAGTCGATAAACCTTCGACTGATGAATTATTTGAAAGTGACTTTGACTCCGACAGTGATACTTCTGATCAACATCCTCATGTTTATCCCCAACTGATGACCCATCAACCTGAATCGTTTAGACCACCCGTTGTTTCTGAGGTCGATGATGAGATGCTTGAAGGTGATGATTCCATTCTAGACTCTCTGCCTATGTATCGACAATCTCGTCATACTCCGGCTGAACATGACTTTTATACAGTTTCAGTAAAACTCCACATTTTTACCGTTGATGATCTTCCTCCACACAAATGGAGAACTCGAATATAAGATACAAAATTTTATGATCTGACAACCAACAATTTCAGGAATCAAGATATTAACTTATTATAATACATTATCATAAAATTAATATCTTTTATTGGAAATTTGTCGCGTTTTTTATTATTATAATTATATCATTGTGCACAAATAAGAAAGCAAATTTTCTAATAGTGACATGGGCAAGTCGTTCTCTGGCAGAAGGTCAGGAAAAAAAAAAAAAGGACAACGTGATTATTTTAGCATTGAGAATAGTTTTTTTGAAATAGTAAAAGTTGGGTGAGATTAGATTTGAAAATTAACATAAACACTATTTAAGTTTGTTAATTTACTAAATATTCCTATAATAAAATATTAAAAATTATAAAATATCTTCACTTATTTATTAAATATGGGCAGTCAGCACTACTATCGGAGGGTAGTCGGAGTCGCCGTGTCGATACATAATTGACTGGATATAGCCAGTCATGCACTGAGATGATTTTTTTCAGCTAGATCTATCGTAGATCTGACCGGAAAAGACTAGATTTAGCTGCGTTTGGTCGTCGTTATATGGCCGTCATTGACGACTAGCTACGGCCAAAGATCTGGTTGTCTTTGGTCGTAGATCTGGTTAGAAAAGGCTATATCAGAGTATTACATGCTAGATCTAGTCAGTAGTACACCAATATATTAGATTCCAGCCATCTTCGGGCAATAGTGGTCGGAATCTAATAAATATGGATGGTGGGAGTGCTTTTGTTAATTTTTAAACTTTTTTTGGAAGGTGTTTAGTTAAAATATTAAATAAATAAATTTAGGAGATTTAAAAATAATTAAATATAATATAATAATATTTTCATAATAAAAAAATAAATATGTATTTTAGAAATAATAGGGATAGGATAGTGGAAAATATTGAAACAATCATACAGTAATTTTAGTAAGACCACCCCTCAATATTCCAACAGTCAGCCAAACACACCCAAAGAAGAAAATTAAATATAACCTCTAGCTTATTTAATAAAGGACCTTAATCCAAACAAGGATAGATTAGGAATAATAGAAAAATGAGTAAATTAAAGTTATATCCAGCATCACGCATTCCAAGTGAATGTGAAGCAACAAGCAAGGTCTTAGCTAAAACCAATCCAAACTACCCTTTACAGCGGAGACAGCAAACTGTCACATGCCGTTGGACAAAAGCCAAACTGAAAGGAGATACGGGTCCAAACCCATAATTTGAAACGGGAATTAAGGGTATTTACGTCTTTTGACTCTCGCTTTTTCCCAATGACGATATTTCCATTACCCCAACTGCACATAACTCCAATTTTATAATATATTCCCTCGCAAAACCTGCGGCTAGAGAAACTTACTAACGTACGCCTGATGCGCCCTGTACATCTCTGCCACAAATGCTTACGTGGCGCAAAGACTTTCGTACTAAATTTTACGTGTGCTCTAGGTGCGCATTCACGCCTATGCGCCCGATAGCGTCTCTCGCGTATAATATTTTTTTCAATTTCCCACCTATTCATCCTCTCTTCACTCTCTCTCTCTCTCTCTCGTGCTTAAAATACTATCTCAAAACTTAACACACCATTTGCTCTCTCTCTTTCCCTCTCCTCTACTCTCTGACTCTCCATTACATAACCGCCGCTTGTTTTTGGTTTCCCTGGTAAAGACCTTTTCACACTGTCTCAAAACTTGCGACTTCACATGCTTTATATATACATCAACTGAATCTACGTACTTTGTTCGGAAGCTTTTCTCAAAGTTACGTTTTTCATGGATATATAGAGTTTAATATATCGAGTTTTCTAAGAAGCAATCAGTTCGGAAGTTGTTTCTGTATTATGTTATATTATTGTTCTTGAGAGTTTCAGGTTTGAATCAGAAGAAGGCGGAATGTGCTTTTGATTTCGTATCTTGAGCCCGATCATCGTTATTATTATTATTGTTATTAATATTAATATTATTATTGTATCGTGTGATTTGGTGTAAGACGATCAACTGAAGAAGAGAAAGCTGAAAATTGTGGGAGCAAGTAGGTGGTATAGTGTGCGTGGGGGTGTGAGTGGAGTGAGTTCGTGAGTCTCGTGAAGAAAAATGCCTCATAGAACGACTTACTTCTTCCCCAGGCAATTTCCGGATCGTGGATCCGATGCATCCTCAAGCAAGCAAGTAGTAGAGAATCACGAGAAGAAGTCTGTGAAAGAAACTTTTAACATTGAAAATGACCGAAAGTCATCCTCAACGACCACAAAGAACTTCAAGACTTCAGCTCTATCAGATCTCTTCACGAGTGGTGACGAAAAGTTTCAAATAAAAAAGCAGCAATTTTCTGCCTTTTGCGACTGGTTGACAGAGAAAAAGGGACCAGAGAGATCTTCTCACGTGAAATCAAGGCCATATTTCAGTGATGAAGATCGTGAGCCCTTGTTACCAACTCCTGAATCCGTGTCCGCGCCGGTACCTGTATCCGTACCCGCACCCGCGCCCGTACCTGTAACAGAGACTACTGTCATCGTTGATGACAGGAACTTTGATCACCAGGTGTCATTGCCGAGGTTGTCCAGTACTGGGAGCAGTTATGCGGGGAGCTTATTTTCTGGGACTACTGTAGATGGAATTTTTTCTAGTGATGTTAAGGACACGTCCACTCGCATGTCCACGACTAGACCGGAGGTGGAGGAAGAAGAAGAGAGTAAAGACAGCTTGGCCCAGAGGACGAAGGAGAGTTATATGCTGCAGCTTGCGTTGGCTCGCAGGCTTACTTCGCAAGCAAGTCTTGTTAGTGAGCATGAGATTTTGCAGGAGTGCCTCCCGGTTGCTGATGCTCAAACTGTCTCTTACCGTCTATGGGTATGTTCTCACTCTCACTCATTATGAAATGATTATCTTTCTGGGAGGGGAACACTCATTATGAAATGATTATGTTTCTGGGAGGGGAACATATCCAAGTAACATTACCGTTCTGAAGGAACTGGCTTAGGCTATCTTGCTGGGCAAACTTTATCGCCACCTCAACCTCTGATCATCTTCCGGCAGATAATGGGTGATCCAAAGGTTAATCCGACACTATTAACCTAACTTTTGGGAAGGTCAACCTTGGGTTGAGTAAAGATTAACATTAATATTTTAGTTCATCCATAGTAACCAAATTACTCTGGGGAGTTACGCTACCTTGCCGGAGTTTTGTTATCTCCTATCAACCACTGGATGATCCCTTAAAAGATTAAGGCAGCAGTCTGATATGGGTAATTAGTACCCCTGTACCATAAATACTCCCCTTCCCTGAGAAAACTAATAACCTTAGGTACTAAAAAGGAAAAAAGAACTCACCATTTATTTTTAGCGTTATTTATAGCTCAGCCTTGAAAGTTTTTTTGATAGCTGAGGCTCTTGAAAGTGTGCTATTTTTTGTTATTGGCAAAAACCCTGTTTTTGATTAATACTTTATTGCTGCTATTCCTCTGTGTCTGTGTATATGAACTAAATAACGAGGTTTTCTAAGTTTTACTTAGTAATTCACTACCATTTTGCTTCTCAGGTAAGTGGTTGCTTGTCATACAGTGACAAGATATCCGATGGATTTTACAACATTTTGGGGATGAACCCGCATCTGTGGGTGATGTGCAACGATTCAGAGGAAGGAAAGCGGCTGCCATCTTTGGTGTCGCTTCAAGAAATCGAACCTACTGAAACCACCATGGAAGTGGTTCTTATTGATAGACATGGTGACACCCGCCTCAAGGAGCTTGAAGACAGAGCTCAGGAATTATATTGTGCTTCTGAAAACACCTTGGTCTTGGTGGAGAAACTTGGCCAACTTGTTGCTATCTGCATGGGGTAAGTTTGGAAATCCTTCTTAATTTGCTTCATGTTTGAATCTTTTGTTTTTCTCGTTCGATATTCAGGGTATCAAATCTGTTTAATTTTTAGAGGAACTTTCCCGTTGGAGCAAGGTGATCTCCACAAGCGCTGGAAATTAGTTAGCAGGAGATTGAGAAGATACCGTAAGTGTATAGTGATACCTATTGGCAGTCTAACTACGGGACTGTGCAGGCATCGAGCAGTTTTATTCAAGGTAAACATAACACCTTTCTTTTTTCTTATATATATTATTTTTCTTTTCTAAGCTTACAGCACCTGAAAACTATTACTGAAAGAGGGTAATACAGTTGGTTGATGTTTATATTTTATCAAATTAACCTGATTTAAATGAGAGTATATATAGTGGCGAAAAAATTAATGTGAACAACTGCTACTCACTTTTGCAATGTAATTAAGTAAATAAAAATTTTGATCTGTGAATGTAGATGTGCATGTCAGCATGTGCATTTGTGTAAGAATGGCATGATCATCCTTTGAAGGCAGGTATAAGGAGTCCATACTGTTCTAATTAATAAACAGAAAAAAGAAAAAGTCTTTCATCATCATTGATAACTAATAGGTGATGTGTTTTCACATATGCAGAAATTGGCAGACTGCATAGGTTTACCATGTCGGATAGCTCGTGGTTGCAAGTATTGTGAAGCAGATCACAGGTCTTCTTGCCTTGTTAAAATAGAGGATGACAGGCAGTCTTTAAGGTTGAATATTTTAGCTGTTGTTATTGGCTTCCTTTTCAAACTAAATGCTGAAGTTTTAGTTGGAATTTAATTTGGCTGCTATTGGATTCAGAATTTGATATTCCCTTTTAAAGTTCTAAATCACATTATTTATTATCTAAACTTTGTTATATGTTTTGTTCTAGATGATTTGGACCATTGCAATAGGATGATTTGGCTTAGGTTAATGAAATACGTGAAATGAGAAAAGGATCACTAACAACTGATAAAAGAGTAAACCTAATGTTTATGAGAACTTCCATTTTTAAGTTAAATATAACCAAAACCTTAGCCAGCTAAAAAAAGTCATGTACTGAATCTAGGGTAAGATGGGTTGAGTTTTTATGCGTTTGAGGATTTTACAAAGTACTCCATTTTTTTTGTCTTATTTTTATTATATGTCTTTAGCGGTATCTTTCTGTTGTTTACTTACTTTTAATATTGACAGGGAGTATGTAGTTGATCTGGTTGGGGAACCGGGAAATGTCCATGGTCCAGATTCTTCAATTAACGGAGGAATTTTTTCTTCAATGCCATCTCCGCTTCAATTTTCCCATTTAAAAGAATTCCAACAACCGTATACTGATACGGATTCAAAGAACTCTAGCACTTTCCCTGAAAACCATCTGTACTCAGGTATGTCACATTTTGTATAATAGGGATTTTTTTTCCTATTACTTCACGCAGTTAAGAATGTTAAAAAAACTTAATGAACCGGGCTGGAGGCATTGCCATAATTATTTTGCTTCTACTAGATTAGCTGGCATTATTGTGGTTGATGATGATTGTTCATTTCTTCCATATGATAATGCACACTGTGTGCAATTGAAAGCACACGAGATTTACCAGTGGCTTTAAATTACTCTAGAACATTTTTTTTATGGTTTTTAATCTATATAAAGTGGGATGTAAAAACCTCCAAGTTATGAGTAATTGAAAGCACACATGAGATTTACCAGTGGCTTTAAATTACTCTAGAGCATTTCTATATGTTTTTTAATCTATATAAAGTGGGATGTAAAAACCTCCAAGTTATGACAATGCTGCTTGTAGCCATCTGAATACTGGATCTCTCTCTCTTGCAGTAAGCGAGGAAGGACAACAGTTGAAGGATACTGGTTTATTTGAAAGTCCAAAGGGTTTTATCAATGCTCCTGTTGAACAAGCTAGTCCTGAAAAGGATTCATCTCTGGTGCCTCTGAAATTGGAAGGGAACCCTGATGCTTTGGGTGTTGCTGCTGGGGAGCTGATAAATGAATATCCTGGACTGGCTGAGAAAAATGTTATTATACAGTCATACAAAAGGGAGATTATTGCGTCTGGAAGTTCAATTAGAAATAAGGTTGTCAAGCAACCTAAAACAAACTTGTCCAGTCAGCCGGTTAAAGAGGATGAGAGTAAACTTGAGAAACGAGGCATATTTCCGGCAACAACCAACGCAAGATACTTGAATCTGGAGCCTTCTCTTGCAATGGACTGGCTTGAGATCGGATGGGATGAATTACATATCAAGGAGCGAGTTGGTGCTGGTATGTCCTATTCTTTTCTTATTTACTATAGCTTTACTTTTTTGAAGCATGTGAATCTTAAGCTTCTCTCAAAGAGCAATCGTTGAAGAACAATGCCTGTCTTTGCTCCTTGTAGGCTCATTTGGGACAGTGCATCGTGCTGAATGGCATGGATCGGTTAGTATTTCATACCTTATCATTTCATATTTTATTTAGAGTTCTATGGAAGATAAGTTGATTTGTCATTCTGGTGCAGAGTGCAATCACTATACTGAATCTGTGATATTTTGAGCTATAAGATGTCTAACCATGTGCTGTATTTATGTGAGCTTGTTGATTTTTCTATATTGCTTATCTGTAGCTGGTCACTTTAAGCAATGACAGAGTCTTTACCCTTTATAAATCCCTTTTAGTGTCTCAGCCTCGAAGTGCAAAAAGGACTCCACTTCACAGCAAAAAGTTAAAATTTCGTCAAAACTTTATAGCAATATTTTGTCAAACATGTAGGGTTGAACTGATGAAATAAGTTTCATGGGACATGATAGAATCCCCTTACGAGAATAAATGGGTCTTATGCTGGGGAACCTAATAAACATTAACTACAGTAAAAAGAATTGACAGTTGCATATTCTTGTGCTTAACCCTTCACCAGGTAAGCAGAATCCAATTCTTGTTCCATGAAGGTAGTTGGCTAGTTATTTAGTTCGGTCATTATCCTGTCAAATTGAGGACGTATACATCTTGGTCTCAGGGGTTTCCTTGTGATGTTTCACCATTTCAATGATTGACTGTTCCTTCAAAACTGAATTATTTCTTTCAAGTCAACATCTGTTTTAAAATGTAAGTCATGAATGCTGTATCTCTATGTGGTTTTTCCATTTTTATTTACTGTTCAGGGTCCTTATGTAAATGTTTCAAAATAATTAATTCATACAGACAAGTTTCTTCCTTCTGTAGTTATCTCTTACTGAAATATGAAATCTCCACTTGGCAGTTTTATCAAATATTTTGTCTATGTTTTCCTTTTGTTCTGCTTTCTTGATTTCTTAATGTATTTCATCATTCTCTGAATGTAGGACGTTGCTGTCAAGGTATTGACAGTTCAAGATTTTCACGATGATCAGTTGAAGGAGTTTTTGAGGGAGGTATGTACTGTTAAAGTGTTTTGATTTGCCTAAGGTGATTTTGATCATTCCTACATTCTGAGGTTGTCAACTGTTGCATGTTGTGTTACCTGTTTCTACTGTCAAAATACATTAATGCGTCTTGTTTCAGTTTTCACTTTCAAAGCCAGTTTATAGAATGTGCAATATATATACATACTGGAACATGACTGTATGCATTGCTTATCAGTAAATCATTTGATTTTGAGCCCCTTTTCTAACAATGTCTTTCTGTATGGCTATTTTTACGTTATTTTGCAGGTTGCGATTATGAAACGTGTCCGGCATCCAAATGTTGTTCTTTTCATGGGTGCGGTTACAAAGCGTCCTCATCTGTCAATTGTGACAGAATATCTGCCAAGGTGAAAAAACTAAGCTTTCTACATGGAAATTGATTTGATATGTTCTGAACCAAAACATTTGAGATTCTTGATTTTTGTGGAGCAGGGGTAGTTTATACCGCCTCATCCATAGGCCAACTGGAGGGGAAATGCTCGATCAAAGGAGGCGGCTACGCATGGCATTGGATGTGGTATGCAACAATTATTGTAAATGTTTTGTCTTAATCTAACTGCCGGAATGCTTTCTATTAGAAAATACTGTATTTATGTTGTGTGCTCGAATCAGGCCAAGGGACTCAACTATCTTCATAATCTAAACCCTCCTATACTTCATTGGGACCTTAAATCACCAAACTTGCTGGTTGACAAAAATTGGACTGTGAAGGTATGATAATTTTTTCCCCCAATTCTAACATTCTGGGAAAAATTTTTGGTTGGCTTATTAAGTGCGGAACTTCATCTTGTATTTCATTCTCAGGTCTGTGATTTTGGATTGTCCAGATTCAAAGCGAATACTTTCATATCATCGAAATCTGTTGCGGGGACTGTAAGTATCTTTCTCTATCAAAAGGTTAACTGATAAGTGAATATGGTTCAAAAGGTGTTTGTGTCAAAGTCATTAGCAAAAATTTTCATCCTTGTCCTCTGTAATCTAAATGTCACCTTTAATCCTACGTCAATGTGCACCCCAGAACTATAGTTGAGTGATAATCGTTTTAGATTGGGGTTGATTGTTGTGGTTCTAATGTCTTGATTTATCTATATGAAAAAGTGTTCTGCTGTTCGAATAACCAATAGGGATACTTGATTTTGAGTGAGTGACAGCATGCCTGGTCTTGCTTGTTGACGGAGAGGAGTAACGGGTTGGTTGTTCAGTGATGTAATATCATCTTATCTTGTAGTATTGAAATGGCAGAATACAGAACTGAGGATTGGTGGTTTCCTACTTGAGCGGAATGCATTCGAACCCAACATAAGCTTGATTTATATTGTGAAGAGAGAACAATCTCATTTATCACTATTGATCTATTTCCTTTATTTGTGATGATGGTTACCAAATGTTTATACCTGTCAACTGTAGGCTTGATTTTCATACTGCTTGAATAGCCAGAGATTTCCATCAACATCTTGCAGGTTGAAAGTTTTCTTCGCAGCACATCAATCAGCATGTAACTCTGTTGCTTTTATTTTCAGCCTGAGTGGATGGCTCCAGAATTCCTTCGAGGAGAGCCCTCAAATGAGAAGTCTGATGTTTACAGTTTTGGAGTGATCCTGTGGGAACTTGTGACAATGCAACAGCCTTGGAATGGGCTTAGTCCAGCCCAGGTATGATAAACTAGCATTAGGAATTTGTGTTTGACTAAGTCTGAATGATGCTGTTTCTCTTCTTGTTCTTTCTCCTATTCTTCTTCATGATAATTTGTTTCTCTTCGGTGTATCTTTCTAACTACATCATTAATGTGTCATTATTTTGTTTAAGTCATTATTTTGCCCAAGTTATGATTATAACAAGACAACACCTGGTGGACGGTGAAATGATTTGTGTCCGACTAGCTTTATTATTATTGTTTTTTAATTTTGTTTTCAAATTGATATTGATACAACATAACAATGCAAATTTTCAGGTAGTTGGAGCTGTTGCTTTCCAGAACAGAAGGCTTGCAATCCCACCGAACACATCCCCCGTATTGGCTTCCCTCATGGAATCTTGCTGGTCTGAGTAAGTGTGCTCAAGTCTCGTAGTCTTACATTATACATTGCTAAGATTATCATCAATTAACAGCAAGGAACATTCAAACTCTTGCAAAACTTTGTATGTCTTGTTTTTGTAGAATTTAAACTTGAAGATTTTGGTCAAGTTCAAAATAGTTGAAAAAGAGTTCTGATAGTTGCTAATTTCTGGTCTTTGACAGTGAACCTGCTCAACGCCCATCTTTTGCTAATATAGTAGAGTCACTAAAGAAGTTGTTGAAGTCTCCAATCAAGTTGATACAAATGGGTGGACAATAATGACAGAAGCCACAATCACACATATTTAAAATATAAATAAGCTTGATTGGGAGATTTAAATAACCCATAGAAGCTCAAAGGAAGCCCTAGAAATTATGTTATACTAACAGGCCAGTGTAGATGTGTTGCTTATCTAACCCATTTTGGAAGGCAGAAAAACCCCCTATTAAAACTGAAGCCTGTAAATGTAAAAATGCAGGGTCCTCTACGTTTACATAGGTATATCTATCTGGCAGCCTTCTCTGGCAAGTTGTTCCTCAATTTCAATCCGAAGTTTTTATAAATTTGGATCTACTTATATGTGTTGTAATACTTATTCTGCATCCGGACTGTAATCAGTATATCTGGTTCTCCATATCCATCCCCTTGATGATAATGTTGTTAAAATAACGGGACTTAATAAGCAAATTATAATTTGCATATAATTAGTTATTCCCTCTAGGCAAAGCTTCTTGTATTCCCCTTTGTTGATGGTTTAATAATTAGTGACTATGTTATTATTATTATTATTATTATATTTTTTATTGAATTCTGTACTGTAAACTAAATCAATAAATTGATTATTGATACAATCCCTGCGAAGATACATAAGAATAGTTGAGGGATGAAGATATTAACTTAATGCGATCAACAACATATTTTTGGCCTTAACAAAAATCTTCAAATTTAGAAACCCTAGGTAAGTAAATTTAATTTCCTTTAAAAATAGCATGATTTTCATATTATTAGAAACCTACATCCAACCAGTGTTTTAAAACCTAGCTTGACTTGGTCGGTTGAACCAGGACTTGGGCTTTCATTGAGTTGGATTATCAATTTTACTATTCATCAAAAACTTTAAAAATTAAGACGATGATCCGTGAACAATTGAAGGTTGAAATGTTGGGGACTTTGAAGAGGAAGGGTTGGTAAGTGGAAAAATGGTGACAGAGGTGATTTTCGGTGAGTGAATCAATTGGAAATATCAAGACAACAACGAGCTATTATTGGTGATTGGCGATGCGAATGAGGGAGGGGTGAGGTAGGTTTTGAACAAGAGGTTGAAGGGAGAGTTTTCGTGGTGATGGGAAGTATTGTTGTCGTCGAAAACAAGTCCTATTTCCTTGGATTGTCGACGTCGATGAATGTGTTTGAGGTTTTTTAAAAGATTTCAACTTATATGTAATTTTCAACAGTGTTTTATTGAATTTCAAACTTTTAAGTATTGGTTTCATGCACCGGTTAACCCGGGATTCGGCCACTTTACCGTACTTCACCGCGGGTTTGTTATTAAAACACATTCCAACCCGTACTCTATAAACGATGTTTCAAGCTCTGTTTTAAAAACTGGATCGGACTGGGACTCGGGGCCTTCTCCGGGTTGGTTCACTCTTTTTAACTATTTAAAGTTTAAAATATAACAAACACACCCCTGATTAATACCATCAGTCCCTGAAGGTTTCAAATCTAGCAAACACACCTTCTGGTCAAATGCAAATCGGTAATGACCTCCCATTTTCCGGCGACCTTCCACCTTCCCTTATTGTCGGAAACCACCTTCTGAGTTCTGACTTTCTCCGGTGCTGTCACGCTTCATCTCCAGCCGCAGCGTGATGTTTTGTTGTCCACCTTCGCCGCGAGATTTTTCTTCAATTTCTCGGCATTGATCGGCCTTCTCTAGCATCGACAGGCTTCCTCAGCCACCGATCTACCTTATCCCAAGCTCTCTTGCCGTCGTTCACGAAGATCCAGTCATCTCACAAAAAAAAAACAACCGCGACTAGTGACTTTACCACCGATCTGCCATTTTTCGGCGATGCCTCTACTTGCTAGCTGCTGATTCGCCCTCCCTATCATTCGATCTACCCTCCTTGGTGTGTCGCCGCTGCTCTCCCAATCGATCATCGATTTGCATTTGATCAGGGTTGTGTTTGCTAGATTTCAAACCTTTAGAATCTGATGGTAATTATTAAGGATGTTTTTGTTAGATTTTAAACCTGTCAAACTATCGGTTCAACCGACGGTCCAATTGGTTGGACCGGTTGAACCGTGACCTGGCCATTAGAGGGTTTGCCCTTTTCAAGTTGAAAAAGAGAACGCTAGTTGGGTCCCACTCGTCGGAATTCCTGGTCAACCAATGATCCCCTTCTGAAAATCCCATCAAAACCCCGAATTCAGCAAAAACCTGCTTCACCGTTTCAAAACCAAATTTAGGGATTGAAAAAAAGATGTGGACTGATATTCTTCTGCAAGCAGTGCTGATTTTAGTATCAGTGTTTATGTTCTTAGCTATGTACGACATCCCACAGAAGTTCTTAACGAAGCTGCGCTTCCGTAACCGCGCCGATCTTCAAGCAAAGCGCCATTTTGTTGTCGGTGCCCAGCTCTTAGCCCAAGCCAAATCTTCCAAGACTTCCCCATCTTCCGCCGCCTCATTAGCCAAACAAGCCGAAGCAGAAGCCGACAAGGCTATATCTCTAGACCCTAAGGACGCCGCATCGCACATCTTGAAAGCTTTGGTGCTGGATCTCCAGGGTTTCAAGACGTCGGCTCTCGACTCGCTTGACGTCGCTCTCTCAAATCCGGCCGTCAAAAGTTTGACCGACGGAGAGAAGGGTGATGCACTATTCAAGAGAGCGGAGGTGAAAGTTGCGATGAGCCGGCGAGGTCGAGTTGACCCGGCAATTGAGGATCTGAATGAAGCCGTGAGGCTGGGTTGTGACGGCGTGAGAGTGTTTTGTTTGTTGGGAGAGTGCTACGAGGCTAAGAAGCTGGGTGAAGAGGCTAAGATGGCTTATGAAGCGGCTTTGAAGGCGGAACCGAGTTCGACCGCCGCTCAAGCCGCGTTGGCCCGCTTAGGGTCGTAGTGAAAACTGCTAAATCTTATTCTTCGAATACTAGTTTCTCTAATGCTTTGAAAGTGTTGATGAGCAGTTCGTGAATACTGAGTAACTATAACATAGTCATGGCGATTGTATCAATAATTGCTAAATTGATTTGGAAGATGCTCAGTGAGAGATGGGTGTTTTGTTTGAGAAAGTTTTGGAATGTAATTCTTATTATAAGCATTGTTTAGTTTCTTCAGCCAGAGACTCCATGATCCAAGCTAGAATAAAAAGGGTCAATTTGTTATATGTACTACGCAATGGCAATTACACAATTCCATTCCATTAGCTCAGTCTATTTCCCTTATCTTGAATAAATTAGATACATCTTGTACAGATTCATTTCTTGTCAAAACTCCGGGGATTTCTATCACTTGGAATATCATTCTTAGAGGATTCAATCCAACTAATAGAACAAAGAAAGCACTAAAACACTGTAAGTTAGATAAACCAGTTTCAGTGAGAACTATCACTAGAATTCTTCCCCCTTTCTACTCTTCCCTTGTGCTTCCACCGGGCTTTTCATTCTGATTTATAGATACCTGAGGATGAACGAGAAAGCTGGGGCAAAAAATTCATTCTATAATCGACCCAATAAATTACATCCAAAAATTCAAAATCATTAACAACAAGAGAGTTCTCTGCGTGCTCAGCAAGCTACCAGTTTAATACCAATGCCATTCTGCTTGATTGAGGTTGACTTCGTGCTCCCCAAGACTCGAATAAGCCATCCCATTCCCATCTCCTTGGGGATCAAATACATTATTTTACAAATATCACTACTTTATTTTTATTTATTAACTCCCAGCAAGCAAGCAAGTCTTCTGATATACAAAAGCTCCATCACATTCAACAACTTAATCGTCAATCAAACCCTGAAATCAGAATAAAAAAATTAATTCCACTCCAAGGCCCATGTTCAAAATCTGTTCTTGACTTTGACCCACTTACCGACCAAGAAGCTTCCCACCATCAATTTCTACCTCTATCATTACGATGTTGATGACTCTGACCTTAATTAGTCGTAATCTAATGACCCGTGTGTGTCCATATTGAGAGCCATTCGATTTTTTTATACACGTCTGCCACGGGCACGTGCTCGGGCCTTTCATTTCTATTATTTTTTGACTATCGCGCCTCCTAATTGTAATGAATAATTGTGTATTCCGGTAATCTGCAGTTGTTTTTTTTAAAACAATACAAATTATTATTTATATTTTTATTAGTTTTCTTTCTATAAGGGACCGTTTTGTTTCATATTTCATATCCTATTTCAATCATATTTCTAAAATAATTATTTGTTTCATTATTCTCAAAATACTATTATATTTTCTTAACTATTTTAAATCCCTAAGTTTATTAATTTAATTAAACACTCTCAGAAAAAAGTTTAAAATTAACAAAAACACTTTTATCTATCCCATTATCAAATTCTGGTCACTATCATCAGAGGTGACCGAAATCTAGTATAATAGCCACACTACCAGCTGGATCTACCGTAACCGATAGTGTGCCGATCTATCATTTTTCAGCAATCCAATTCAAAGATCTGCCGTTGATCTTTTGCCATAGCGGTCGCAACGATGACGATCTTTGACTGTCGTTGAGAGCCAGAAAGGCCGTATATCTGACATTTTCCAACCAGATTCATGGTAAATTTAGCCGAAAAAAGTCACATTGGCACACAACGGCCAATCTGGCCGATCGTGCGTCGTAACGCCAGATTCCGACAGAGTGGGTCGGATCTGGCAACTGTGATGGGGGTGTTTTTGTTTATTTATAAAAATTTTATATATTGGGGTGTTTAGTAAATTAGCAAACCTAGAGAAGTGTTTTTATTTTTTTCAAATTCTATCTCGTTTTCTCACCAAACTTTAAAAATATCAAAATCCTATCTAAATAATGAAACAAACGAAAATGTTTTAATTATTTTTAAGTGTAATTTTATAAATCTAAAATTATTTAAACATTTTTAACATAGATTAATATATTTTATATATATAAAGTTACAATTAATATTAATCTAATAATTTTTGGACCGATATACTATTATGATCTTATTCTGTCAAATAATACTTAATAAGTTTCCAATTCAGTAGAGAAGATAGATAATTAAACACTCGTACGATGAGTTTGAATCCAACAATATTAGTAAAATTCAAATTAAATTTAACGTTGACATGGTAATACATGAATTCAAATCAGACAAGTTGCATAGATCATCGATATCCATGTTTCTATTCTCGGCCACTGTTTTCTATAGGTTTTTAGGCCAAAATTTGACATATATACTTTGACATTTAAACAATTAGACCTCTATAGAACGCTATAATTATTATAATTGTTTGCCAACAATAGATTGACAAACGCACAATAATGTATATATTAAGCCATTTTTTTAAAATACAAAGACCCCATACTTTGTATTACAAAGATCTCTCCTCTAAAATCTCACCATCATCTCGCACCACAAAGATATGCCATTTGTCACCTTTTAGTGTTATTTTAAAAGCATAATTAAGGGAATTAAAAAAAAAAAAATTCTTAGATTCCACTGCACTCATCAATATGTTTGATACAATTAGTACCGCCGCGCATTAAATCACTTCCCTTTGTATACAAGTGATGCTAAAATAAAAAATAACTTAGCTTGGTTTGCATTTCAAGAAAGTCGGTGAAATTTTATGCGTCTATTGTCTCCTTCACTTTTTATAGAAATCAGCAGTGCTGGAGATCTGTATGTGTTCTATATATTTCTTATGATTTCTTTAAATGGAAATACCTTTTGTTTATTGTACAATAAACCATCACTTTAAGTCCAAGTGGGGGGTTATTTATTCAGAAAATCCACCAATTAAAAACTAACCTTATGGCTCCTTAGTAGGCCTAGTAGGGTCGCGCTTTAATTACAAAATATTGGACCAACCGATATATAATGTCCAATCACATAATTATGCACCTATAAATAAGTTCTAATATTATATAAAACAAAACACGAAACTTGAAAGTATCTCTCCAAATTAATCATACTGATGCAAACTATGATGATTTGTACGGCGTTTAAGTTTAACACGAGGACCACACGTTTTTTGCTTTTATTAATCACAACTAGTACACGTTTTAGACTTTTAGTACATTGAACTGAGCACAAAACTGTCCAATGACTGATGGTTACTTTATTATAAAGATGGACTACTCCAGAAGCTCTGCCTTTTGATGGAGTCATTCATCGTTTGCTGGCTCGCCTTAGTCAACACTTGAATACTTTGCTGGGTTAAAAGACTTGTATTGCAATTCATTTTACTATTTTAGTACCACTTAAAAAACAAATAATTAAAAACCATAATATAAAATTTATAATCTGACAACCAACAATTTCAGGAATCAAGATATAACTTTTATATACCTTATCATAAAATAATATCTTTTATTGGAAATTTGTCGCCTTTTTTATTATTATACTATGTCATTGTGCACAAATAAGAAAGCAAATTTTCTAATAGTGGCATGGGCAAATCGTTCTCTGGCAGAAGGTCAGAAAAAAAAGGACAGGTGTTTATTTTGGTTTCGTTTGGTGGTTTTTGGGAATACTTAAACAGTAAAATACCCCAAAACTCACAATATATTCAACTTTATTCAACATTTTTTAAACCCCCTAATTTGTAATTTAATTAAATACCCCTAAATATTTTTAATGTTTTGTTACGGCGACTCCGGCCACCCTCCGGCGGTGTGGCCGGCTGTCCGTATTTGAGGGTGGATTGAAGGTGTTTTTGTTAACTTTTAATGTTTTATTATAAAGGTGTTTTGTAAAAAAACAAACATAGAGGTATTTTAACAATTTGTAAATCCTACATCGTAATACCCCCCAATTCAACTTTTTTTTAACTTTTTTCAAAAAACTTTCCCACAAACACAAATTGTGAACCAAACGGAGCCTTTATGTATTAGAATATATTTTGAAATAGTAAGAGTTGAGATATAACGTGGTAGAATTTAAAAATTAACAAAAATATTATTAGGTTTGTTAATTTTAAACACTCTTGTAATAAATATTAAAATTACAAAAATACCCCACCATCCATTAAATATAGGCAGTCGGCCACCACCACTGAGGGTGTCCGAGTCACCGTATAGGAATATAATTGACTGGATATTCGGTCGTACTCAGATAACCTTTTTCAGTCAGATCCACGTGGATCTGACAAAAAAGGTCAGATCTGGCCATTGACGGCCAAATCTGTTGTGTTTGGTCATCTATGAAAGACAAAAATTTGGCCGTTGACAACCTATCTTTGACCGTAGATCTAGCTGAAATGCTATATCGGCATACTACAAGCCATATTTAGTTTGGTAGTGTGTCATATATCGATTCCAGCCATCTTTTGACAGTGGTGGCTGAATTTACAAATGTGGTGGTGAGTGTTTTTGTTAATTTTTAAACTTTTTTTAGAGGTATTTAGTAAATTAATAAATTTAGAAGATTTAAAATAATTAATATATATATAATATATTTTCAGAATAAAAAAATATCGTTTATTTTGAAAATAACATAATGGATAGAGAAAAATATGAAACAACACCGTGATTTTAGTAGACCACCCCTAAATATTCCAACAGTCACAAACACACCCAAAGAAGAAAATTAAATATAACCTCTAGCTTATTTATAAAGGACCTTAATCCAAACAAGATAGATTAGGAATAATGAAAAATGATAAATTAATTAATCCAGCATCACGCATTCCAGTGAATGTGAAGCAAGTCTTAGCTAAAACCAATCCAAACACCCCTTTACAGCGGAGCAGCAACTGTCACATGCCGTTGGACAAAAGCCAAACTGAAGGAGATACGGGTCCAAACCCGTAATTTGAAACGGGAATTAAGGGTATTTACGTCTTTGACTCTCGCTTTTTCCCAATGACGATATTCCATTACCCCAACCCAACTGCACATAACTCCAATTTTATAATCTATTCCCT